TGCGGGCCTCGTTGCTGTCCGGCCGTCTCGTTCCTTGAGCCACCTCTCTCTCCAGGCCTCCTCCATGACTCTGTCCGTGTCGGCAGTCCCTCCCGTCCAAGCTGCAATTGTGTTGGCGGCTTTTTCTATCGCTGTGGGCTCCTGCGGCCCAAAGGCTCGCGGTCGGCTCCTGTTATCCGTCCTCGAGTTGAGTATCTGATATATCTTGCCGCAGGCCGCATCAACAATACTCCCTGCAGTCTTCTTTCCGCCTCGGCCGTCGGCCAGAGTGGGCATTTGAAGCCGGGCCTCAAAGCCTTAACGTTAATACAGTATCAACTTCCGACGCACCAGCCTTCAAACCACACTCGTCTGAAGTCGTGAAACTATTTTGACACATTGCGTCACATCAGCAACCATTCCAGGCCTCTCACGCGACTCACTAAGTATATGCAAGGACTCATCATGGCCGATCTCTCCATCCTGTCTGATATCCCACGGCGAAGAGCGAGCTCGCGCAGCGGCGTTCAACCGTGGCGAACGAGAGCTGGGTTCGCAGCCACTCCAATGCCAGGCCGGCAATCGTCGTCGAGCCGTTGGTGCATGTCAAGTTATCGGGCGACGACGAACCATCACAACTTGGCCCCGGCCGCACCCTGCTGTGGTCATCATCGATTAATCGGTTCCAGCTCCTCGATCAAAAAGTTGAGGCAGACACAGTAGTCACGACGCTGCACGATAATACCGGACTGCGAATCAAACACCGTCTCTCTGCCGGTTTCCAGGCGCTCACGGTCCGGAGTGAGACGGTTTTTGAGAACAATTCTGACGCCCCGGTTCGACTCGAATTGTTCACATCGTTCTCTCTGAGCGGCATCACCCCTTACGCCATCGACGATGCACCCTGTCGCCTCCGTGCTCACCGGTTCCGGTCTGTCTGGTCGGCCGAGGGACGTATGGTGACAGACTCTATCGAGCATCTCCAACTCGAAAGGTCCTGGGCGGGCAACATGAACTTCTCTGAGCGGTTCGGGCAGGTCGGGTCAATGCCGGTGCGGGGGTGGTTCCCGACTGCGTTGGTCGAGGACGCGGAAGCAAAAGTAGTCTGGGGAGCGCGGTTGGCGATTCCTACGAGCTGGCAGATGGAACTGGGTCGACGGTTTGATGATCTGCTTCTCGCTGGCGGCCTGGCGGACAGAGAATTTGGTCACTGGACGAAGACAGTCGAGCCCGGCCAGTCATTTACCACCCCACAGGCTTGGTTGACGTGTGTGGTCGGACCGGTGGATGAGGCTTGCGATCGGTTGATCAGCGTCGATGTTCCCGCCGTTGAAGCTCAGCCAGCGATCGAGCAGGAACTGCCCATCATTTACAACGACTACTGCACAAGCTGGGGACAGCCTCGCGAAGATCAATTACTCGCCATTGCCGACAGGATCGCGCCGCTTGGCGTTCGCTACTTGGTCATCGACGCGGGTTGGTACATGCCAATGAACGCCAGTGCACACTGGGCGACGACTCTGGGCGACTGGCGCGCACATCCGAGCCGGTTTCCCAACGGACTGGCCGGTACGGCGGCAGCAATCAGGAGACGCGGGCTTGTTCCGGGTATCTGGATGGAGCCGGAGCATGTGGCTAAAGACTCGGACGCATTCGCTGAAACTGACCACATGCTGACCAGAGACGGGAAAGTACTGACGTTAGGCCTCCGGCGAGCCTGGAACTTGCATGATCCCTATGGAAAGTCGTATATTGATGACCGTGTGATTGGCATGCTTCGTGAGGTTGGGTTTGGTTACGTCAAGATCGACTACAGTGAGACGCTGGGCATTGGTGTCGACCATCCCGACGGGCTAGGAGAGGGACTGCGGCGCCAGGGCGAAGGAACACATGCGATGTTTGACCGGATCAGAGAGGCGTTGCCCGACTTGGTGATCGAACTCGTTTCGGCTGGTGGACACCGCATGGAGACGTCGTTTCTCCAGCGTACCACGATGGCCAGCTACTCGGATGCGCACGAGACAGTCGAGATACCCATCATCGCCGCGGCAGTTCACCGGCTGATGCTGCCCCGGCAGTCTCAGATCTGGGCAGTCTTGCGCCGAGACGATTCCGTTCAACGGATGTACTACAGCCTAGCGGCGACATTTCTGGGCCGAATGTGTTCGTCTGGCGATGTCCTCGACCTCGATGAAAGTCAACTCTCCCTTGTAAAGGATGCCATCAAACTCTACCAAAGAGCCGTTCCGGCTATCAAGTATGGCAAGAGCCGAGTCAAGGGTGATATCGGACCCAGCTGGCGCCACCCAAGAGGCTGGCAAGGCGTGGTTCGGACCACGGAAGACGATGGAATTGTCGTCATACACACTTTCGAGCAGGCACCCGAACGATTCTCTCTCCAACTTCCCGGGCCGGATTGGCAGATCATGGGGGTGCTCACTCCTTCGGCAGTCGAGATTAATGGCGATCAACTTGGGGTCGTTGGTGTGTCGGTTTTCGACAGCCAAGTTGTTCTTATGCGGAAGGGTGCGATTTAGAGGTCATAATTGGGTTGGTGACGAGAGAAGTGAATAATCGAACTGAGTGCTACATAGGTCTCCACTCAGTGCTAAGAAGGTGTATAAGGAGCAGCAGAGAGGTACACCAAGTCAGTGACTCGCAGACGGCTTTTATCAATTCTCCGAGTCTTTTATCATCTATCTTCACTCAAACTTAGATTGTATCTAAAATACGATTCACAGGGGCCCTTCACTCTCAAATGAATTGAATCTCCACTACCTCTTTGTCAACCGGCTGTTTGACTTCGTTCGGGGGTGTTTGCCCATGCTTCCATCATTGTTAGTTGGCCGTTACAACTGTCAAGACAACATGAAGACAAACTTGATGCGTTCCTTGTTGAAGTGGTGACATGGTCAGAATAAACACAAACCAAGACCATCCTGGACCCGGGTTCGACACTGGAATTCAATGTTGAGGGCCACACAGACTAACGGTGACACTGCTTCCTCCCACGACAGTACTTTCAGTCTTCTCCCATCGGTCAACCATGAAAGACGCATATTGCAATGGCTGCGGCCAGCCTGCACTCAAATACCCGTACGTGGACAACCAACATGAAGCTTGGAACCTGGAGAATGGCTTTGTACGAGAGTGACAACCAAGGGGCAGAACTTAGAAGAGGAAATACCCCCTCGGGTACCATACTCTCTGGGTACAACCTCAAGGGTTATCACTCTGTGTGTCCTCATTGAACATCGTTCAATTGGCGGTTGGATATCTAGACCCCTATCCCTATTTCTAGTGGTCTCTCCATATCCCTTCCAATCAACCTGATAACTCTAGAACCGCGCAACGGCGCCAACACCCATACTGGCTCGTCCTGCGAACCAACCAATGCATCTTCCCATTCAGTCACCCCTTATCTCGTTGGTCAGCTCCAGAATCAACTTTGCAATATTCTCCGACACCTCTGTTGTCCTGGGAATGTCATGCCCGCCGCCATGATCATACAACTTCCTCTTCTCACAACAGTACGCCAGCTGCAACGAGGCGGGCCAGCGCGGGTCCTTGGCTCCATAGACATGCACAGTAGGAATTAGAATTCGCAAGTCCTCAGGCATGGCCGTGAAGTCCAACCCAAACACATCCCTCTCATCCGGCATCTTCTTCGGATCGTGCAGCAACCCCTCGACATCATCCCACAGCCCAACGCCCTGCTGGATCTTCTCCGGGTTCGCCGCCATATCCACCAGCTTGCCAGCCTTCTGCTTCATCATCTTGCTCGTCATGTCGTTGATGGCCTTGGCCCGCGGGGGCACGTTGATGCCGAGATCCTCGAGCACGGGCAGCGGCATGCCGCCGCAGATGAAGACGGCCGCCTTGAATGGCAGCGGCTTGTCCGGCGTCTCGCGTGCATGATACAGGAGGTAGCTGCCGATCAGGGAGCAGCCCTGCGAGAAGCCCAACACCATGTCGAAGGGCCCGTGGGCCGCGACGAAGTCATCCAGCACCTGGTGCGAGCCGCGGATGCCATCGACGGTCTGATCTGTCCACCAGGCGTAATGGCCCGAGGAAAAGAGGATGTCGGTGCCCGGGGCCGGGGCACAGGTGAAGGGCGCGTCGAGGAACTCGAATGTGAAGTTGTCTGGGAGTTTGGATCGAAAGGCGACTGGAAAGAGTTGTCAGAGTGTGTTAATTCGGCGGTCACTGGGCCCTGCTAATCACGGAGGATTGGGATAGAATGAGGCGTGCTTGGGAGGGTAAGTACAAACCTGTCTGGGACTTTAGGATCTCGGCGCTCGTGCCCATGCCGTGAAGGCCTAGGAACCTGATCTTCTTGGGTTGTTCCGCCATGCTTTCTGCTGTGCCGTTGATTGCTGAAATGTATGGGTTCAGTGATTGCTCAAAAGGCTCTGGAACGATTGAACGGCCTGATATCCACAAAGGTATCGACGATATTACCAACGCTGAACCAAGGTGTTGTTTCAGGCTTTATTTCCGATAGAGGCCAGCCACCTAAGATAAGGTAGCTCAAGTTACCGTGAGTAAAGTGAGCAGTGTGCCACCTGCAAGTGAGTTCAGATGGAAACCAACTTAGGTCACCAACCGGAAGGAGCACTCTCTTCTCCAAAGCAAAAGGGCGGGAGCGCAGGCTGGACCAAGTTGGTTTGAATCCACCAGGCGAAGGCTGCGTTGTTGATTATTACCAGACTGTCAGATGCGAATGGAATAGGAAGGGGCATAAGGTTGAGATCGCCGAAAGTAACTCCGTGTCTAACCAGGGCAGATCGCCGGGGTCCGCTTGGAGAGATCCGGAAGGAAAGACCCTTGGGTCTCTGGGGACGATTACCACATCGGAGACCGATAATCGGACTCCGAAGCGTACTGTTTGGGGCAGTCGCCCTGCGCAGCTGCGGCGCGGCGTAACTGAAGCCCGGTAAGATATGCTTTGAAGAGCTTCGTCGTTTGAGGATGATCAAAGCAACGCTGGCTGGAGTTGATTTTCCCGAATTTCTCATTCCGCACTGAGGCCTTCTAGGATTCCAGTAGTTTTAACCATTCCTCCCCCGACCGATAGTTCTTGGTATCATCCTCATAACGCCAGTCAACAACGCTAAACAATCGAAACTTTTCCAGTTTTACCCGCCCATCTGATTACCCATCATCCTTTTCCAAGTCCTTTTCTGTCCAAGCTCCAAGGCACATCACACCTCTTGACCCGGCATCAGCCTCCCTCATGGTTCATGTTTAGCCACATGCCTCCAAGTCGAATCACCTCGTTACCTCCTCCCCCTCGCACCCATCCTCCCCGCCCTCCGTTTCTTCCCCTTCCCGGCGCCTTTATCATTCCCGCCCATCAACCCGCCAATGACCATCTGCGCGGCCTGCTTCGCAAAAGAGTGCCGCAGTCCGCCCTTGCGCATGTTGGGATGGCGCCGCGCCACAAACGTGTCGACGACGGCGGCGCTGAGGGCGGCCGCCGCGATCTGGCCGCCCTTCTTGCCCAGCCAGGGCGACGGGTCATCACGCAGGCGCAGCGCGGCGATGGCGCCTGCTTCGAAGGCATGTTGGGCTGCTTCCTGGGCGAGCGCGAGGGCTGATTTTGGTGATTGGTGACGAGAACGGGAAGGAGATGGGGAAGGGGATCGGGAGTAGGACCGGCGGGTGTGGTGCCGGCGGGAACGGGGTGAGGAGTTGCGGCGCGTGTCCCGGTCCCGGACTCTCCCTCCCGTAGAGCGAGGGTGATGTGGTGGCGGTGATGGGGAGCGGGACGGGACGGATGGTGAGCGGCGTCTGCGGTGGTGGTCATCGCTGTATGGCGATGGAGTCCGGGAGGATGCGGAAAGTGACCGCGCTCGGTATCGAGACCGCGACCGTGAAGGAGAACGACCGCGTTTGGATGGACTGAATGCTGGTTCCCTTCGAGGTACGTGATCATCCTCGTCGTCTCCGGAAAGGTAGTACTTGTCCCTTGGATCGTAGTAGGTATCCCGAGAATCTACACTCGACGCACGCGGATGCGTTTTCCTCCCCGATCGCCGATGTGTCTCGGAACTCGCATAACGGCTTTTGCTGTAGCGGTCGCCGTTAACATCTCGGGAGGATGTCGGGGGAGTCGAGTGGCTTTGTCGGCGATTGAGTCTCGGCATCCTGTATCAAAGATCTTGAACGAAATGACGCTCTAGAATGATGAAAACGGAGGGACCAGGCTAAGGTAGTGAGGTCTTGCCAAAGCCTTGAGCTATTCATTAGCAGTAGGGAATCAGGTATTACTGCGTCAATAAGCTGGCAGATTCAAACTGCTTGAGGACAAGCCATTGAAGAATTCCAGATCTACGATAAGTCCGCTGAATATCTGATACGCCTGAGTCGAGGCCCATAAACCTGCTTCCACCAACTCGTCACACACGTCGATCACTAGCAAGTCATTGGTTCGATGCGTTGGTCCGAAGCGGAACACCCAATGGTCTGGAACAGCTGAAGAGAAGCTGATATCATCGTGCATACAGAGAACACAGCTTAAAACTTACCTTAGCTTCACCGATCACCCATATGCAGCTATGACTTACGCCTGACATCACTTTGTGAGACAGTCAGGTTCAAAATTTCAGCCCACTCACGCCGGCGGTCTTTTAAAACTAAGGATTACTTAGAAGACAATAAGTTACCTTAATATTAACAAAGCCAATAATCTTAATCATGCCGTTTCTCGTTCAGGATCCATGATTTCCCTATCATCATCTTTCGCATCCCCCCCTCTCTCCCCTTTTTGTTCCTCTGCTTTATCTGGTGCATCCCCTTTTGCCTTATTTTTACACTGTCTTACACAACGTTCTTCACACGCTCTTAGTATGCATCTCTAATCTCGAGGAATAAAAGTCAGCTGATACAGCATGACGCCACGCCCTTTCCATTCCCCACAATCCAACCCTATTCCCAAGTGAAGCCCCATGCTGTAGAACACCCCTTGAAACACCCTTCGAGCACCCCTCTTCAAGCCCCCCAACTTCAGCCCGACCTCAGTTTAGCGCATTCCAACGTGCTTAACCCACGTTAGCCCAGCATATCCTGCCCCAAGTCCACCAGGCAGCTACAGCGGCTCCCCAAACACCATGTTACCCCCTTGGTACTCGTATGCCGCCCTAGGCCGCGCCATAATGCGCTGCTGCCGGGCAATTGCCTTCTGCTGCCGCCGCTGCTCCTTCGACGAAGTGGCGGGCGCGGGCCTTGGCGGCGGCCGCAGGTAGTGATCCCGGAGCGGCGGATCTGGTGGCGTCGGTGCCGGCGCGGGCGCGGGCTGCGCGGCAGGACGACGACTCCGACGAGGGGGCCCGTCCAGCCACGTAGGCAAGCGACCATGCCTCGACATGGCGTTGAAGATGGGCGGCTCGTCCGGCGGGTAACTGATGCTTGGAGCGCTGGTGGTTGCAGTGGCACCGCCCCCGCCGTCGCCGCTAGAACTGCCTGGGTTGCTGCTACTCCCGCCCGGTAACAACCAGTGCTCGGGGAGGGCGGTTGTCAGGGCTTTACTGGACGGCATCAGCGCCCCGTGCATCACCGCGTCCCACGACAAGTGCTCGGGCTTGGCGTGCACTGGGGCCGGGGTGGTCGTGCCGTTGGTGGCGCTGTTGGATGACTCGCCCGGCAATGGTTCGCCTTGGCTAGCCTGGCCGGTGCTTGGGATGTCCGACGCCGAGAATGCCTGGATGGGCTCGAGCGGGTACGCTTCTCGGGCAGCCGACCGCTTCACGCGTGCGGCCTCAGCCACGTCCCTCAGATTGATGTAGAGGGAGTCCTGCCTGTCCCGCTGGTTGCCGTTCAGCCCTCCCAGAAACCCAAATTTTCTGTTGTTGGCCTCTGGCGGGGTCGAATCGCGGAACAACCAAGACACTGTGGTCGTGGGCAGTTCGGAGCTGCCCGGATCGAATCCAAAGGGGGCGCTATGGTGGTTTGGCCCTCGCTGGCCCTGCTCGCGGTGCTTCCGCTTCCACCTCAGACAGCACCTGCCCGCTCCGATGAGGGCACCGACGGCAAGGGCACAGCCAACGGCAGTGCCGGCGATCCAGCCGGGAGACATGGGAGTTCCCTCGGGCTGGACGGCGTACTGCATGGCGGAGAGTGTGACTGTGACCGTCACCGTGGGTCTGTACGTTCGGTGTTGACGGCTGCTTTTGGCGGGGATTGTAGAGGGGAGCGGTGTCGCGGTTGGGGGCGGCGTCGGGGTCGCCGGCACGGCCACGGAGCTGTACCACGGCGTTGCGCCCCCCAGCGGGGCGGTCCAGGGGGTGTAAGCGCTGGCGGCAAGGGTTAGCAATCTTGTCTGGGTGTGACAACGACGGGACTCGAGGCTTACTTGGGACAGCAACCCCCAGCGACTGAGTAATAGTCGGCGGGACAGCTCTTTACAACCGCGTCCTTGGCGTCTCGTGATTGTGGGCAGATGCGTGTGGAGGTCCCGGCGGCGCCCACGGTGGTTGTCACGGGCGTAAATGGACAGCACTCAAGCCGGCTGTCGACGCACCCTATGAACGGCACGTACGACGCTGTTGAGCCGTAGTCGATGAAGGTGTACTGTGGCGTGCCACAGGGGTCGGTCCACAGCGTGCCGTTCCTGGAGGACAGGGGGCTCGAGAGCGGTGAGCCCGGGAACGGAGACGGAGACGGCGAAGAGGTCGAGAGTGCTGCCAAGAGTCCGGGCCCTCCACGGTCGGCGGTGACTGTAAAAGTGGCGAGCGTGGTCGGGACGCGGGGTGCCGTGAGCGTCAGGAATTGCCGACTGGAGAGTCGGTCGAGTGTTAGCCGACAAACCCGGGCGGGATCAAGGCATCTTTATGTGGGAACACTTACCCGTCCATGCCACAGCGCACTCGAGAAAAAGGACAAACTCCATGGAGAACCAGGAATTCAGAAGCTCAGTCAGGAACGTCAAAGAAGTTTGAACTGTTGTAGGAAAGAAGTGAGCTGAGCAGATGGACTGAAAGGCACAAGTGAAAGGCGCCTTATATACCCTACCGACCCTACCTTCGACTGAACACCGTGATTACAGTCTGCAAAGATGAGCGAGGAATAACGTCACCCAACATCGACGCAAGACTGCAACTGACATAGCCGGAGCATCGGTTTTAGGTGACAGACGGCCTCAGAGGCTGCCCGACTGCAGCATCTTCGATCGCAATCATGATCAAGAATTTGTCTGTGCTTCTCTCCTGCTTCGGTCAGATTCGACCTTTAGACAATTGGGCAGGGCAGATGAGGTACTAATTACTCAACTGTTTCATCATGAACGATGGAGCGCATGCCTGGCCGAGGAACAGGCGGTAAAACGCTTCGATTTTCAGATTCATGAGTTCATGTCATGGTGAAAACCAAATGTCCAGAGGCTCTGTGTGTAGGGTAGCGTCATACTCGGAACAAAAGAGAGTCAGGTCAGACGAAGCCTAATATTGTTTGTCGTGTGGCCGACAGTGCTAGTAACCTAGAGGGATTCGGTGATTAGTGACTGCGTCGAACGATTCCCAACTCCTAGAACTCGCACCTCTGTATGGCTGTAACTGCCTTCTTTGCCTCTGCAAAGAGGAACCCCAAAGCCTCAATTGGTCCACAATGAATACATTTAGTTGTCAAAGATGCAGACCATCGCCCATCTAGCTCGAGTCCGGGTGGACAACTTAGTAGGGGCGTGCCGGAAACAACGAAGCAAGTGGACGGCGGAATGGTCGCGGGAGTGAGCCGGAGGCGTAAGGAGTCGGCATAAAATGTATCTTGATCAATTCTCCTCGTGGTAGGTATTGAACACGCCTACAGCCATCAGCTCTAAGAGTCCATCGCACCCCACCCATACGACTCCGGTCTTCAGGTCGCTCCGTCTTCATAATTCTGCCGTTGTCGTCTGGGTTGATCAGATCGCCGGTTTGACACACGGCAATTGAGGAATAGCTTCAACAAAGCGCACCAGCCTCCTTTCGAACGGGTTTCGCTTTTACTCCAGGACTTCGCGCCATAGCGCACCGAGCAGCCGAGATCGAGGTGGGATTGGAAATAAGGTTGCATGTGCGTGGTAGCCGGGCGGCTGGAGGTCCATCGCAGTACTCCGTACCTTATGCACCTCCGTAGTACCACGTGTAAGTGTCCCTCAGGATGCCAAGGGACTAGTGCAGTGTCTTGTTGCCCTTTGAATTATTGCCCGCTACCTCCGTATCGTTATCTGTAAGGTAAGTGGCGCGAAGTCAATACGGTCTAGTACGCTGCAGTACGGCTGGTAAGACAAAGTAAGGTAAGTTAAGGTACTCGTACCTTGATGGTGGAATCCGGGTATTCGTATTGGTGTCTCATCGACGAGACCAGACACAGCGACGGTTGTGCATGGAAGTGTAGGGTGCCTCACATGGACGATCAAAATCGAGCGACATGGCTGACATGTTCGAGACGGAGTTGGCGAGTGTAAATTCAGTTGTCGCTGCACCGTCGACGGACAAGAGCGCATTGACTCAGCCGCCGCACCAGCAACAAGATGATCAGATACAACAACCGCAGCAGCAGCAGCAGCAGCAGCAACAACAACAACAACCACCCCAACTCAACCCTCAACAACGCGTTCCCGAAACCAGAGACCCGTCCGAGTCCATCTTTCCGCCCCTGCACAACAGTGCCGGCGCCGATGCCGAGTCGATTGCCTCGGGTGCCTCAGCCCCTTCTCGGGCAGGCGGCGGCGGAGTGGGCCATGATAATGATGAGGACGAGCCAGCGATTGCCCGACCCTTCCTCCGCACCTCGAGCCCCGACCAGGGCATGCGGTTAGGCCTGGGAAAGCTTGTTGAGGATGATGACGATGAAGGGCGAATCACCTGCAGCAGTGGACCGATCCCGTGGTCGCCGAGGTCCAAGCAGCAAATGCACAAGTTCAGCCTGTACGAGACGGCAAGCCGCTTCTACATTGTCGGCGGCGACGTGAGCGAGAAGCGCTACCGCATACTCAAGATTGATCGCACCGATAACGACGACGTTTCCGAACTGAGCATCACCGATGACAAGACCGTCTACACCCAGAAGGACATGAACCAGCTGCTCGACACCATCGACGACGGCAACAAGGGGACTGGCGGCTTGAGGCTGCGGTGCACCACATGGGGCTTGCTGGGCTTTGTCAAGTTCACGGGTCCTTACTACATGCTGCTGATCACCAAGAAGAGCACCGTCGCCATGATCGGCGGCCACTATGTCTACCAGATCGATGGCACCGACCTCATCCCCCTGACATCGCCCAGCTTCAAGATGGACCAGCGCAATAACACCGAGGAGTCGCGCTTCCTGGGTATTCTTAACAACCTGGACCTGACCCGTTCCTTCTACTACAGCTATTCCTACGACCTCACCCACACGTTGCAGCACAATATTACCCGCGAGAGAACAGTCCTGATGGAAGGCCGCCCTTTCTCGGCCGACGACAACCACTTCAACTCCATGTTCGTCTGGAACCACCACCTGCTCCAGCCGGCCGCCAAGGCCCTCAATGCGCCCTTCGACTGGTGTCGCCCCATCATCCACGGCTACATCGACCAGGCCGCCGTGTCCGTCTACGGCAGGACCGCCCACATCACCATCATTGCCCGACGCAGTCGCTTCTTTGCCGGCGCGAGGTTTCTCAAGAGAGGAGCCAACGACCTGGGCTATGTGGCCAACGACGTCGAAACGGAGCAGATCGTGTCCGAAGCCCTGACCACCTCCTTCCACGCGCCGGGCCCCAAGTTCTTTGCCAACCCGACCTACACGTCGTACGTGCAGCACCGTGGCTCCATCCCGCTGTATTGGACGCAGGACAACACGGGCGTCACGCCGAAGCCTCCGATCGAGCTGAACTTGGTGGACCCCTTCTACACGGCAGCCGCCCTCCATTTCGACAACCTGTTTGAGCGGTACGGCGCTCCTATCTACATCTTGAACCTGGTCAAGGCTCGCGAGCGGACGCCGCGCGAGAGCAAGCTGCTGGAAGAGTACACCCGTGCTATCGCCTACCTGAACCAGTTCCTGCCGGCCGACAAGAAGATCATCTACCGGGCGTGGGACATGTCACGCGCTGCCAAGAGCCGCGATCAAGACGTAATCGGCACGCTTGAGGGCATTGCAGAGGACGTCGTTCGCACAACAGGCTTCTTCCAAAATGGCGACGGCCACACCACGCCCATCCGTGTGCAGAACGGCGTGGCGCGCACGAACTGCATTGATTGCTTGGACCGGACGAACGCGGCCCAGTTCGTCATTGGCAAGCGAGCCCTTGGGCACCAGCTTCACGCCCTCGGCATCCTGGGAGACACCACAATAGAGTACGATACTGACGCTGTCAATCTGTTTACTCATATGTACCACGACCATGGCGACACCATCGCCGTGCAGTATGGCGGGTCACAGCTCGTCAACACCATGGAGACGTACCGCAAGATCAACCAGTGGACAAGCCACTCGCGTGACATGATTGAGAGCTTCAAGCGCTACTACAACAACTCGTTTCTCGACGGCCAACGCCAAGAGGCGTACAACTTGTTTCTCGGCAACTACATATTTGCCCAAGGCCAGCCCATGCTGTGGGATCTCGCCACCGACTACTATCTCCACCACGAAGACCCCCGGACATGGCTGGAGAAACGGAAGCGTGACTACATTCACTGGTACACTCCCGAGTTTTTGAAAGAACGGGAACTCCCAGCGTACCCGCCTATCCCGCCGGCCGCACGCCGCAAATCGATTTCGGCGTACGACGACTACTGGCTGGAGTACTACCGCCCAGCCACGCTCTCCTCGTTTCCCAAGATGTTCCCTTACAAAATGAACTCGACCATCAAGTACATACCCTTCAAAGCGACCCAAGACGGCCGCTACGATCTCAGTCCCTTCCGTGTGCGCAACGAGACCGACAGCGACGCCCACAGCAGGAAGAAGGGCAAAAAGGAAGTGACCATTGTCGCACCGCACGACCTGGACCGCATCGCTGATGACACTGAGACGACGTCGTCATCCATCAACGAGAAGGCCCAGCCTCCCACGCCCACCAGCGCCAACGCGCGCATGTCGCTCCATCGCTGGCTGCATGAAAAGAACCAGCCCAACGGAGCCCACCATCGCCGTCACTCCAGCTTGACCAAAGACTCAGCTCCTTTCACCCACACCCACAGCCGCAACAACAGCGCAGACGAAGCCACGCCCGCCGCCTCCCCCAGCCACCTCCACCACCATCACCACTTCCACCACCATCACCACTTCCACCACCACCATCAAAGTCCTAATAGTCATCACCTCGAAACACATCACATAAACGACAACTCGGCGACGACCGACAAAGACGGCAACAAGCCGCACCAGACCGCCCTGGAAAAGTCGCGCGCTGCCCAGCAGACCTTCACCCAGGTGGTGCACGACTCGCTCAACCCGACCGTCAGCGCGGCCGAGGCGGCCGACTACGCCCGCTACGTCTCGCACCCACACAACCTCCCGCTCGTCGCCGTCTCGTCGTTGTCGTCCGAGTGCGAGGGCGCCCCTGTGGACGAGATCGAGCCCGAGTATCTCGAGTTTGTGCGGGGCCGGTGGAGGGAGGAAGGGTTAGGTGGATTGGAGCTGCTCGGGTTGTCGTCTTCGTCGTCGCCACCGCCGGCCCCTGCTACGGTAGATGGTGGGCGTTTGTCTGGTGTGAGGGCTGGGACGGATGGTGGTGGTAATGGCGCAGGCGGAGGGGATGCGAGGCGGGAAGAGGCGGGGGTGAATGGGGGGAGCAGTGGCGCGGAGGAGGATAGTGATCGGGCGTTGTATGCCGAGACGGTGAAGGTGCCGGAGAACCCGCTGACTGTCACGGAGGAGGACCAGCTCAAAAAGAGGTACAAGGCCTATCGGAAGTGGTTGAGGGGGAAGAGCTTGTTTAAGCAGACGCCGGTCGACTAGGAGACGCCGGCTGCACTGGGCTGGGGTGGCGGTACCGGCGGTCGGAGAGGTGCCAGTTGGGGAGTTGGTTGGGACGTTGAGGGAGAATAGAAGCGCCGGACAAGCTGTCGGGATGTGATGCGAAAACCGCGAGCCTGGTGTCAGTTCGGAGGGAAGAGCTTCCCTAGACGGGGCTCTTTTGTTACCAGGGGTGCGACGTGAGAAGACAAGTTGGTCGCCTGCTCGCCCTCCCTGGAAGCCGTCTTGAGCACGGCCGCTAGCGCCTTGGACGAGGTCAGTAATTCCTGCTCAATTCGGGCGTGATGCTTGTCAGTGTCGGCGTGGTCGTGTTCGGCGACGTTCAACCAGCAGAGGACGAGGGCATTGATGATTTCGTCTTGCCATAGCGAGACCGGGATGCGAGGCCAGCAGTTTGCGAGGACGGCCTGCATGGCTTTGATGGCGGATAACAGCATTTTCGGGGCCACTGGCGCGAAGGGGTCGGTCATGATGGATGAAAGCATCGGGATCAGATCCTGCATTGTCTCAATGAGCCAGACTGTCAGGGTGCGATGGGATTGTGGCGAGGGTGTATAATACTCACCTTGAGGTGCTTTACAGCATGCACGCCCATTTCGGTCAGCACCGCCACCGTCTGCTGGCAGAGCACCGCGACGATTTCCACGTGTTCCTTGGCGTGGAAGTACCCCATGAACACGCCGTCGCGGAGAACCTTGTCCAACAATGCATTTCTCGGCCCGCCCGAGATGCCATCCATGCTCAGAGCGGGCTGTTTGTTAGCCAGACTAAGCAGCGCGCCGTAAGCCGGGCCAAGGAGCTGGAGCGACTCATCCTCGGGCGTCAGGCTGGGAAGGAAGGCCAGGGTTGGGAAAATGGCGTCTTCGAAGACCTTTGCCAGGCCGGTGTCGTGCAGGGTTTTGTCTGAGAATTTGGCGAGGAAGTCGGTCAGGATGAGCAGGCCACGCCGGCGGATTAGGGTGGCGGGATCGTCGACGAGGGTGAGCAAAACGGGGATAAAGAGCGGCCAGTGCTTGGCGATAAGTTGGGTCTTATTTTTCGGGTGGGTTGGAGTCAGTTTTTGGTTTGTTGTTGAGCACACATGAGATACCCCCATGGAATCCAAATTGAAGACTGGATGATGGAACTTACGTCCGCCTCGCGAACTGCCCATGCTACTGCCGGAATGGCTCTCAGATCCGTATACTTCCATGGCTTGGTCAGGGCGGATTCGTCTGGCATGCTCTCGGCCCGGGCGGCGGCGCCGTCGGTGTACTCAGCCTTTCGGCCCGAGGTTGTGATGGAGGAGGGCTTTGACTTGAAGAATAGCGGGCGCAGGTAGTGCTTGAGGAGCGTCTCAGTGAGGAACTGTTCCTTTGTGGGACTGCCGGGGACGCTGAATTGCTGCTCGAGGAGTCTCTGTGTACTCGCTTTGATCTCGCAGTTCTCCCAGGGTTGTGTCTTGTCCGTGTAGACGAGGAGAGTGTATAAAACCTCATCGTCTAGCCGGACTGGGTCTTCGGTCTGATTCATGAGCGCTTCCAGTGCCCGGACGCCGAGGGAAGAAATCGCCCGGCAGTTCTCGAAAATCGCTCGACGGATTTTGGTGAAGTCCTGATTCGGAGCTGTACAGGGCGATGAGTTCTGCATCCAAGCCATGGTCAAAGTTGAGTAAACGTACCCTCGAGGGAATCAGTGTTGTCGCTGCGGCTCGCTTCTGGAGTGACAACAGGGGCGATGGTCTTGGCGATGTTCCGGGCAAGGTTTCTCACGGTGTCCTGGTCTGTGGTTGACTCGTGGACAATACGGCCTTCGAAGTACAGGCAGGTGAGAATTGAGACAAGGTAATTCCGCAACGTTTGGACCTCCTGTAGACAGTTAATTGCTGCATGGAGGATAAGAGTAACGACCCTCTCATGCATACCCCCGGTTTCTCAGAATGCGCCAGGCTGAGGCATCCTCTTGCTTCGTCGGCGAGCTCCTTGAGACTGAAGGTTTGGGGCACATCTGGATAGCCGTTAATCAAACCAGATACAGGAGTACACTGCCATTCAAGCGGCCAATGTAAACATACATTTGGACAGTTTGTCGCATGCCTCCTTTGTCAGCTCGGGTTCCGAGGCGAGGCCCGCTTCAACCGACAGCTGCTTGAACCATGACATCCTCGATCGTGACCGGACCAGAGTGTCAGCTTCAGTTCATGCACTTGTGAATCGCAAGAGGATCCTTTTGGCTTGGAGTTGCAGTGCCTGGGTTCAAGAATAGATGTTCGGTTGGTGATCGAATTTTAGGTAGGCGCTGGAAGTTAAAGTGCAAGGACCAGTGCTCAGAGGCGGTTGGATTCTAGAGGGTCTCGACCCCTGACAGGGTGTGAGGGCGCTGGACGCATGCTGTATTTCCAACAGCATCAACACTACCCATTCCCGTATTCAACACCTAGAAGGCAACAAGAGTGAGGTACAGTAGCAATAAAATACCTTACAGAATACCCGGACATTTGATTACAGAACCGTGAGCAGCTTGAGTGGCTGAATACCTTAGCTGAGATCATAGCGGCCAAAAAATCATGTGCATCCGTTGCTCCTTGTATCGTTTGTCTAATTTGGCGGTCAACTTCATTGAAGAAGTTCGAATGGAGGAGGATGGAAGATATTGTAGGTATTTCGAGGTCTCATTCAAGACAAACTAGGGGCGTCAATACCCAGGGTATCATCTCCGTCTACGCAAGCTTTCTGACTTTCATCAGCGGATCCCCAACTCATCTCTCCTCTTCCGTACCTCCTCAATCGCGCCCGCCGGGTCCTCGACGCCTGGATTCCTAAACTGCCATGCCAGTGCAACATCGAGCGCCGCGCCCGTCCACCGCCCCGGTCTGACACCCAGCTCGTTGGCTAGCATCTTGCCATCTACCAACCGCTTGATCGTCGGCGCATTCATCACGTCCATCTCCACAAGGTGGTCCAAGAACTGCTGCCACTCGGCCAGCACCGACTCTTTCGTTCGGCTTCTTGCTGGCTCCTTGCCCGCCACGGTGCACTCGGCTACCTCGACCAGGATGGCGAATAGCACCTGCAGCCGCCAGTTACCGCCACGAGCGTCCCAGTCCCTGATTGTCATACCAAACCGGTCCCGCTCGTCAACCCCTGCCCTCTTCTCCCGGACTATATCCCTCAGCTCCACGATGGCTGGACGATGACGGTGGGCGGCGGTAATCACATCACAGAGCTTGTTGGACGCCTTGAAGCCCGCCCTGGCGGCCTGCATAGGGAGCGGCAGCGCAAGTTTCCCTGACGCCAGGGGCGGATCATCGGGCAGCTGTTCCCAGGGTATGAGGGTTGCCAGCGACCATGCGTAATACCGTGCTTCCTCGCTTGTGACAAGCAAGTCGTAGATGGAGCCGGGCGTCTTGGTGGACTCGAGCAGCTCCAGGCATTCGTAGCCGGCCTTCCAGCTCGCCGTATCCGGCCTCGGCATATCGGCTCGCTCAGGATCCGTGAACACGGCGTGGTAGAGCCCGAGCCTATCAATCAGCCGAAGAGCCTCGGCAGGGCGTTTGCCTGCAACAACAAGTCAGCCACCGTGTCCTCAACATAGCAGTTACCATGGTGTTATTGCGAAACTCACCCCTCATCATTTTCTCCAGCTCGACCCCGATCCTCTCCCTCGAGATCTTGACTCTCAAATTCCCCAACACCCTCTCATCCCCCATGACCTCCTCGGCCTGCTTATCAATCCTGAACCCCAACCGACTCGCAAACCTGACCAACCTCAACACTCTCAACGGATCATCCAGGAAGGTCTGCAAAGGCTCCATCGGCGTCCGAATCAATCCCCCCTTCAGATCTTCCAATCCCCCCACAAAGTCCTCTACCTCTCCCGTGCCCAGGTTATAAAACAGTGCATTGACACTCGCATCCCGCCTCAGCGCATCCTCCTCCGCTGTCCCAAACTCCACAACAGGGTTCCTGCTCTCTTCGGTATACGTCTCCCGCCGCAAGTTCACAAAATCCACATCCAGCCCGCACAGCTTGATGGTGCTCGTGGCTAGGTGCTTCGACTTGTCCGGGTTGCGCGGCACCGTGTGCAGCCGCCCGACGTCCTCGGGCGCCAGCGCGTGCCGCGCGCGATGCTCGGTCACGTCGCAGTAGTCGCGCAGGCGGTCGACAAAGGCCTCGCCCGTCATGGCGTTGATGGCCGTGTCGATGTCGTGCGATGCGATGCCGAGCAGCTTGTCGCGCACCCAGCCGCCGGCCCAGCGCAGAACCAGGGGGTCACGCCGCGGTGGCGGGGGTTCAGCCGGGTTACCGCCAGAGGGGGGGTGTTTGAGGTCGTGGTCGTCGATGAACTTGGCGGCTAAGAGGAGGAGGTCTTTGAGTTGCTCCTCGCGGGGCGTGAGCGTGATGGTGGGTTTTGAGGCGGCGACACCAGCAGGGCAGTCGAGATCGACTTGGGCCGCGAGTAGCGCGGGAGGATGCCCAGCCGGGTGAGCGGCCATGGTTGCGGTGGTTCGCTTGGTGGTTGACGGCGGTGGTGATGGTGATGGTGAGATGTGGTCGAGCTTGCGCTTCATGTGCGTAGGCAACTTTGGGAGAGGCCGTGTCTTGAGCCGGGCAAGACGAGTGAGCATTGATGACAACTGGAAGTGAGGAGGCACTGTTCAGTTATGCCTCATAAGCTGCTCATGTTTTGAGCTGGCCCTGTGACTCGGTTCCCTGGACGGATCGATGTATTGAGCATTGGATGCAAGACACCCTCTTGCTGGGTGGGACTTGAAATGTCAGCACGGCTCAGTCATAAGCTAAGTTTTTAGTAGCCCCGGCTGATGCCGCAAGTATTTAACTGTAAATAGCAATGTGAGTTGCAAGTTGTTGGCGAAAGTTTTGGCGCGGGTTGACTGATGAACAGTGAAGAGGAGCCGTACAGTATGTTGCAAAATACACACTGTACAGCGATACTGTGCACCTGATGGAGTGACAACGACTACCTTAATCGAAGCAACTCAGAGTGTCCTGTGCATCTGGTCATGCTCCAATCTCCTCTAGTACAACCGACGGCAGCATTCGCGGTTCCAGCCAGCTCCGTGGCTAAACTTGAGCGGTATGTGCCTTCCACAACTCAACAACACGCTCATCAAGTTGGTATCGTTTTCCGGTTTCCAAGCCAAAAGCGTCGCACCTCCTCACGCCCCCTTCGTCTCCCTTCACACTTCCACAACAGTTCCACCCTCTCCTGTAGCTGGCAGCAGACCAGCAGACTTAGGCGGCTCCTCCTCCTTTACCGGCTCCTCCTCCAGTGCCAAATCCGCCCTCAGGTTCGGCAAGAACCTATCAATCCTCTTCCATGTCTCGTTCCACAGCTCCTCCTTTGTCTGATCCTTGCTCGGCGGCACCAGATATCCGTTGCTCGACATGATGAGGAGCACATTCTTGAGGTTTTCTGGCACAGCCTCCTCCTACATCACAAACAAAATATTAGCCACAAACCGCTCCCCGCAATGGCGGATGGGAAACCTACCAAGCTATCCCCCTGCCCGCTATTCATGAGCCGGTCCATAATCTCAATGATCTTGACCCACAGATCGAGCATGCCCTCCCACTTGGACAAGACGACCAGGTACTGCAGAAACACCTTGGACAGCAGCGACGCGGCCTGCACGCGCGTCTCGCTCATGCCGTCGCGGTCCGACGAGAACACCTCGGGCTTGAGCAGCCGCAGGATGAGCGGGAAGAGCACTTCGCCAAAAATGGCCGTCCACTCTGAGTGCTCCTCCTCGGCCGACCGGAGCTCCGGCGAGAGGAGCGTGCGTTGCAGCAAGCTGAAGGCGAGCTGGCGGATCTCGCGGCACGGGTTGGTGCACTGGGTGGTGAGGGCTTGGAAGACGGGGAGCCAGTAGGCTGACCAGGCTGTGGCTGTGTTAGGAAACCCTGTGGTGAGTGAGGGAAATTGACGCCCAGGGAGGGCACTCACCTTCGCTGCTTTCAAGGTGCGACTGCTGCATGAGATGCGGGATGCGTGTTGTCATGCGCGATATGCTATTCAGCGCCTTCACGCCGCGTTCGACGACAGCATTCTCACTGATCGGGTCAGCAATTAAACCCCCTTCACTACTCGTTTAATGTTAAAACCAACCTAGGCTTCTCCTGCTTAATAGGCCTCGCCCCCTTCCTCCCCAATTTCCGGTCATTTTTCTGCTCCGCCACAGCCCCGATGCTCGCCATCGAAGCAAACTCATTGAGCAGCCCCAGCGCCGCCTCATAGTTGTCCGCCATGATGGCCGAAGGCGTGGTCGATACACCGCTCTCCAGGATCTCGAACACGCCCGGCGCCGCATCGGCGTTGGTTGCCAAGGTCTGAAGGATGACCCAAAAATCGGGCGACGTCATGATCTCGTTTCGTAGCGGGCAAGGCTTCTCGGTGCAGAGCTTGAGTCCGCGCAGGACTAGCCCTGCCGCCTTGACCAAGGTATCTTTGGGAAAGCTTGAGAGGGTATGGAGAAGGACCGGGACGCGGACGTAGTCGTAGTCCTGGCAATGGTTAGCTAAGTCGTCTTGTCAGAAGGAGAGAGGGGCTGCTTACATAGCTCGCCTGAAGCAAGTTAAAGAGATAAAAGGTCGCTCGTTCAATAAGTATCGGATGGTATTGAGGCACATCCCTCAAGATGGCCTGTATGGCTTCCACCACGCGTCTCCCTAGCCGCTCAACGGTGCTGTCGTCCCGAAGTGCCAGGACAGTGCAGAATTCGAGTATGTAGACCAGGGCAGGGTCGTATATCGCATTGCTCTGCCGCGACTGCTGTCCGTTGGTTTGGGAAGGGGGGATGTTGTCCGCCTTGACGGTAATCACGCTCGAGCCATTGTCCTCGGGGATATGGCCGAGGAGCGTGTCGACCAACACCTCGAGATTATGGCTGGGGAGTTGTCTACGCCATGTCAGCTGGGCCTTTCGAAAGCAGCTGCTCTTATTGGCACTTACGCAACATTGGCAAACACATCGCCCATGTGGCACTGGTTGACGCAGTCCACAGTACACAGCGTGCTCTCCAACTCCTCATCCGACGGCTCAGGCGGATCATCAGCGGCGTAGCTTGAGATGTACGATGTGAACGCGGAGAAGAAACCGGTTTCGCTCTGTTTGGAGCCCCGGTCAATCACCTGTGAGGGCGGCTGCAGCGGTATTGGTGGCAGAGCTAGCTTGTCGGCCTCGGTGGAGAAGAAGGACGGTATCAAGGAGTTAACAAAGAGGTTGAGCCATATACGTATGACCTGTCCACATCATGATCAGTACCCTCATGGTATTCTCGTTGCGAGCAAGCAGACTTACATATTTCCAGCTCTTTCGAATTACGTGCTCGGAACCGGTAACAACACGAAACAGCACCAGCGTCGCCAACTGCGGCCGCACATCCCTCCCAAACTTGACGGCCAGCTCGCTGACCATGACGCTGTTCTCGCCGACCTGCACCTCGGTATTGAGCGACGTGTTGGACAGCGTCTCGCTACTCAGCGTCGAGATGTAGCTCAGCCGATACACAATCTCGTCGAGCGCTTCCGAATTGCCGTACTTTGTCGCGATGCGCGCGCACTCGTCAAAGCCGGTGATGACGCGGGCATAGACCGTGTCGTCGGTCGCTGACATGAAGACGAAGAAGAGGCACGACACGATGGGATTCCAGGTCGTCGCGAACATGTCGGCGTCGTAAATGTTGGTGTCGCAGAGCACCAGTGGGCCAGCGGCCTCGGTCTTCAAAAGAAGCTCTTTCCACGCGTAGTCAAATGCATGCTTGTTGTCGTGCTCGTCAGGGAGGATAATCTCGTTGGTTTTAATGGTATCAAAGATATCCTGCAAGTACTCGGTCGGGAAATCTTGGCCTCCGTTCTGTCCGCGGAGGTTACGAGCAAAGTCCTCGAATTTCATGCGTGCCTGGTTCTTGAGCTGGGGGGTATGTTGGTCCGTGTTCAACATGATGATGGCATATGTCAGAATGAAAACGGAGTCCTTGTCCGCTACCCCTTCAGGAACTGAACTGGAGCAATACTTGCCCGCAAAGGAACTGACGATGCGCTCGATCAACGGCGACTCGCCAGGAAGACGGAATGTCTCGAGTAGCATCCGGAGCGCCTCGTCTACCCGCTTGCCAGTAAAATCAAACTGGTCGATGAACGCATCCAGGATCGCCTCATTACCCTTCTTGGACAGGAAGTCGCCGAGGACCTTCTTATTTATCCGAGATGTTCCCTTCAGAAACTTGGCAACGCACAGCGGATCGGTGACGTTCTCGATGATACCCTTTTCATGGAGGTAGGCCAATCCGCCTTTCGGGCTCTCGTTGAACTTGGTGGTGCCCTTGATGATGAGCTTCTTCCTGCGCCGCTTCTCTCTCAGCATTGCTGGGTCCGGGTATCCCTCCGTCTCGGGTGTCTGATCTAGCCTTTCAGCAATGAACTGGATGAACCGCAGCAGCGCATCCAAGCACAACGGCGGCACACTCGTAGTGCTCCAGGTCGCAGAGTCCGGCAGGGCATTCCTAGATAGTAGCCCTATCAGGTCTTCACAGAGATCCGCGCGGTCTTCGTCGCAGTCGTAGTTGACAAACAATTCGGCCATAAACGTGGGCATTCGCGCCAGCACGCCGATGTTCTCGACCATGGCCTGCCTGGCATCCGGCTTGCGGGCACCGCCCTCGAGCCCCAGCTTCTGGCGATCCTTAACAGGCACAGGTGTCGAGCGGCCACTGCCGGGTTGCGTCGGGGACAGCTTTACCAACTTTGGCGACTGCGGGATGCCAGAGTAGAGGCTCGGATCGATTCCAGGCTCCCGAGGGATTTCCACCGCAGGGTGTAAGCAGGCTACCAAATATGACAGGTACAGCTCCTGCTGGAGCTTAAGAACACCTCTGCAAGTGGAGAGCAAGGTGCTAGCGACTATCAAGCTTTCCTGAAGAATGGCCATGTTATCGGACCGCACCAGTTGGAAGAGGTAACAGCAGAGCTGGTCTTCCGCAATCGACGCCAAAGCGGGGTGTCGAGCGATTGACGGGCCTGCTACTTCGAGCGCCACATGGATGATGCGAAGGGCCATGACCCTCATTTGATCGGGGTGTTTGCGGTCGTGGGGGTCCAAGAAGCTCACGAGCACCCGGAATAATTCCCGAATTGACGGCAGAGAGTAGGGCCGGAGGTCAACAGACGCTGCGCTTTCAGTAGCCGAGCTCGTGCTGGGCCTCCCGTCGTCCGCGCTGGCGCTTCTGGATGTCTCTGAACCGCTGCCCTCCCGTTCTGAGCGTGAAGACGGCCTAGGCTCAGCAGATGACTCGGCCGCCTCGCCGGGCAGACCGCCGTCTGTCACGTCGGGTCGCACCGCTGGCACATCCGTCCCGTTAGCGGCGGGATCCATGGTGACAGAGTCCATGTCCCGACTCGTCTGGCGATCCAAAGCCTCGGTCTCATCGCCAGCCTCCAGTTCGAGATGCTTCAGGTCCTCAAAAATGATCTGCACCATGCGCACCATCGACGCTTCCGCAGTCCTGCGCAGGACTTCCGAGAACCTCGGCCGCGAGCAGATGGTGAGACCGCGCCCCATCATGTCGCAGACACTCTCGTCGCTGAGTATGTCGCCGCCCGGCCCGGACATCATGTCCTCCATCAAGTGCAGAATCATGAGCAACACCACCTCCTCCTGCGCCGAGTCGCTTATGTCGAACTGGCAGTGGGTGATGGCGGCGGAGAGTGACTGCATGGCGAGGGCGAAGCGCGGAGATGCGGGGGAGACGAAACCGTAGGCGAGGAATTTTTGTATCGCTCTAAGCGCGAGGATGGTGACGGGGGCGGCGGTGCCCTTGGCTTGGATGATCTGGAGGAACGGGTAGAGCAGGACCAAAGAGTCGAATCTGTGAATGTCTACAGCCCAGTCAGCGTTCGCTCTAGCTCAGCCTCCTACCCCACCACAGATACCTTTGACGCCTGCCAGCTCCTGGCGCAGCCTTCCAAAGCCGGAAATCAGCGGATTATCCTGCATGCTTTTGCCCTTCTTTCCACGCAGCCCCCATCTGTTCGCGGCAAGGTCGCCGGCACCATCAGGCTCGGGACCGGCCGCCGACTTCTGATGACGACGACCGCTAGGCCCAGGTGGCACGAGCTGTATGAGATTGGGGCTGCCGCCGAGGATGGCCGACACGGACGAGTGCGGGGACCGGGCATATTTTTGGATGGCTGAGGTGATGGCGATGCACTCGGACATGACCAGAGACACGGGATCAACGGCTACCGAAACGGGGCGGCTCCGGTACTGCATGCGTGAAGAGAACAGAGGGTTCCGCCTAGGTGTAGACGTCCCCGGTGCTGTTGCGACGGCCGGGTCCATGGGCGCGGCGAGGTGAGCATCTCGGCTCATGCTGGAAAGGACTTGAGGTTGATGCAAGTACCGGCGCTGCTTCCGACAGCGGCGCTTTCCAAAAAGTCGTTTTTGCGGTGAGGGTCGAGGTATCAGGTTGCTTGTGGATGGCGAGGGCTGTCGACCGGACGGGATTGGGACAGATTGTCCTTGTGACGGTGCCACGTGTGGACGGCCGGATCGCAGTTGCTCTGCCTCAAGAACTACCTCGGCCAGAAGACTGCTGTTTGGCTCCCGAATTCTTTAAACAGTCATACGAAGCCCCGAAATAGGTCCTGTCAAGAGGAGCTTACTGTGCAACTCTGCTGGGCCGGTACGATGAAGCAACGAGACGGTTGCCAATCATTCATGCCATTGTTGGATGGAGGTCCATATCCCTGCTCAAGACTCTGGACACACAAGCCAATCAGCTTTCTGGAGTTCTCTGCTTGGCGGGTACTTCAGGACCACGGTTCGGTTAAGCCGGTGAACGCCGGGTTGAAGCTACAGTACCACAACACTGGGGAGCTCCCGCTGTATGTTAGGAGCATAGAGGAAATCAGGAACATTGAACAGTTGGCTGTGATCAAGACAAACAGCCGCCTCACTGTCTGTCTTTTTCTCTATAGTCTAGGCGCCTGTAGGCCATAATGATCCAGTCACTTAACTACCATTATTCTTCACATAATGTACAGCATTGTCCAGAACTTCAGAAATCAGATAAGAGGGGGGATATAAGGTTGGTATATCCATCCAGCATTCTGATCAGAGTCATCATACTGACGGAGAGACAGTGGAAACGACCGATGCGCAGACTGATGGCTTTGGGTTAACGGATGGATCCATCACAATGATCAGTGAATGACATATACATCCGTACCTTTAAACCTCTTTGTATTTAACGTAAATTTCTAGCGAGTCGCCGCATATAAGTGAGTCGTGTACTCTAACAGACTCTACAGACTTTAAATGAGAATATGTATCATAGGACGATAAGAGATTGTTTGAGGGCTTAGCAGTTTCTTATCGTCTTATTGTTCACAACTCTATCAAAATTGTTAGAGTGCACGACTCACTTGTATGTGCGACTCGCTTATAATATACGTCAACTTCTAGACAACACTGGACACTGCCTGACCTGCTGTTTCTGCACCTCCCCAGCTTCTTTTCTGTGCGACACACTTAGGTTGCCTTGCACGCCACTCCGTACGGATGTCGCTACCAAACGAAAATGCTCACCGCCTTAGAAAATAGCCGGCAGTATTAGCCGGTATTTACAACAGCTGTATTTGGTCCTTCCCCGCAGTGTACGTCCTTTTCCATCAGCATCCTCCTTTAACGAACCCTCTTACTATGGTTTACTACGATATTGCTACGCGCGCTCAAGCGCTTACTCTCAAGCTTATAATCCAGCTCGATAATAGGCAGATTGAAGCGATTACCGGCATCAAGCCCCGCGCTCTCAACAACCTCGCTAACAGAGCTCTTGAACGTGGCTTCGATCCAAACGGCTCCCGCCCTATTATCCTCGACGAACACGTCCGCGATGCTCCAAAGACTGGCCGTTCCTCGAAGCAAGGCGATAAGAAGGAAGCGGTTCTTGAGAAGGTTCGCCAGGACCGGTTTGGCCGTGAGATGACCTGCGCTTATATCTCCGCAGAGCTAGGCAATACCATCTCGCCGATGACTGTCTGGCGTATCCTCCGTGCCGCTGGGATGAAGAAAACGAAGCCAACACGCAAGCCTGGTCTGACGGAGAAGATGAAGAAGGATCGCCTTGAGTTCTGTCTTCGCTATCAGCACTGGACTCTTGAAGATTGGAAGCGGGTTATCTGGTCCGACGAGACATCTGTCGTCTTGAATCACCGTCATGGTGGCTACCGCGTTTGGAGAACCCCTGAGGAGAAGTATATCAAGTCTTGCATTCGCGAGCGATGGAAGGGATACGCCGAGTTCCAGTTCTGGGGCTGTTTCTCATACGACTCAAAGGGGCCATGTCACATCTGGCATCCAGAGACCCCGCAAGAGAGGAAGGCAGCCGAGAAGGACCTTGAGGAGCTGAATGCGAAGCTGGAACCTATCCTCCGCGAGCAGTGGGAGCTAGAGACTGGTATGAGGCGCTTGAAACTGCGGAATCAAGGCGGGCGAGCTCCTCAATGGAGGTGGGATGCAAAGCACGGCAAGCTTACACGACGAGAAGGCTCTGGCGTTGATTGGTATCGCTACCAAACGGAGATTCTGATGAAGAAGCTTATTCCGTACGCCAAGCAGTGTGGTTCGGATGCTCTTGTTCAGGACGACCTCGTACCGTCTCACGCCCACCACGCACAAGCTGCAGTCTTCTCAGCGGCTGAAGTATCAAGACTACTTTGGTGCCCCAACTCGCCTGATCTTAATATGATTGAGCCGTGTTGGCCGCATCTAAAGCGGGAGACGACAAAGAAAGGAGCCCCAAAGAGCAAGAGCCAAGCAGAGACAGTATGGAAGCAGGCGTGGGATGATCTAGAGCAGTGGAGGATACAACGTTGGATTGAGAGGATCCCGCATCATATCCAGGAGGTCATTCGCTTGAAGGGCGGGAACGAATACGCAGAAGGGAGGTCAAAGAACCGCCGTCAAGATGTGGTTCTGGCACCCGGGCCCAGTACTGAATAACCAGTAACTAGCAGGATGCAGGACGATATGGGCAGGAGGTAATTTACCCCCTTACAGCAGCTTACAGCGGTGGCGTTCTTGGCACTGAAGGCGGTGAGCATTTTCTTTTGGTAGCGACATCCGTACTTGGGCTCTACTTCATTCATCTAATTATGGCTCAACCGCTCCGGGTCATTACCATTCAGGGTCATGCTGGTGTGCCGGGGGTTGATGTGGGCGAGCTCGGCGTTCACCTAACCTCCCTATTCGTGGAGCGTTAACCGGACGGAATATATATCAGACCCCACCCGAGTGAATTCGGCAACATAAGTTTCAAAGTCCATTACGCCATACCAGCTATCATCAATGTGCGTAGCACCGCGGTCGAGGAAGTCTTGACAGTCCAGGTTCGCTGTCCAACGGGGTGCAAATCGAAGATACGTCAGGTGCAGCTCTGGACAAGCGAACGGCACCTCTCCACCCTGCCGAATCTGAACTGGACGGGGGAAGCATCACACTCCGAAAGAGCTTCATTCGCGTCATCCCAGCGGTTCAGCTTGGGATTTGGGGTCACGCTTGACCTCGAGATACGCGGACAGGATAGCTTGGATGTGACTGGACGCTTTGTTATGATACATTCGGTTGGACTTGTTCTGCAAGAAGTCTGAGAACTCATGATGTCGGCGGTGTCATCATTGGTGCTTTCTGTTTGCTATTTGGGGCAATCTCATTGACTCGGGTTGGTTCCCACCAGGTATAGCTGGGTGTTGCTGAGGGAGGCTAGGTTTTCATCCTTCGTGAATCAAGATTGTCCCAGGTCTCTTATCCTAACTCTAGATGGCGAGAGGCAGTAATACGTATATGGGACATGGCAGTGGCAGCCGGTGTGGGACGAGGGCAGACCTTATGTTGTCGTGACGTCGCTGAGACGGGGACTCAGTGTTGTCGGCCAAGCGGTACATGTCTGTTTCATACATCAGGGGAGTCTTATGAGTCGAAAGTGTCCCGTTGGCCAGCTTGGTGTTGCATTTGCTACTTGAGATGACGTGTTGAGGAGCTCAGAGTGACAGCCAGAGCATGAGCGGCGTCGCATGCCGCTTCCACGTCCCTCGGAAACCCATTGACGATCCTGGCAGCTTCAGATCTCTTGAAGACAAGTTCACAGGTAAGCGTGTCGGTGATAGAACTGGATGACCTGCAAAAATTTATCGTGGTGAACAATGAGGTTCAAGTCTTCAAGATCTAGTACTAGTATAATATCAGTTCTGCTGGGGTGTAACACGGCCTGTTTCTGGTAACCGCCTAGCCTAACGTAACCGCCGATGAGTCTGACGGAAGAGAGACTGCTAGAGGCATTGAATGGTATCGTAAGTGAATTACCGCCATTAGGGTACTCAGGTACCTGGTATAGAAGCAGCCGCGCTGGCTCCTATGCTTGGTCGTCCTGCGGTACCATGCCCTAGTATGTATCTGGACCTCCTCATACATTAACAATTTCAGACTAGCTAGGTAGTTCAGGTGTGCGGGACAAATGACGTTGGGTTAACGAATGGATGCCGTCATATCAGCGACATACGTCTTATATTAGTACCTGCATTGTACTGTCCGACCTACTCAGTATTTCATCTTTTCTATCCGACACCTTCGGGGGGTTCTTGCGGGACGGCCGGGTCTATGTTCACAGTTCATTATGCCTGATCAAATTTCTTACATTAGCGGTATTGCTGGTGTATTGGAGGTTGATTCTACGACTTCTAGTGTACACTTTCTTGCTGTTACGGGAGCACTGATGCTCTAACCGCTCCCCCGGTTACCCTGGGCAATCAATCGGCAATGGGTGCATTATGCGATACCGGTGATCTCACCTCTACATGATGATCCGAGTATCTTGCCACCCTTACAAATCAAGAGAGTCTGGGTTTGCTTTGCGGCCGGGGAAAAAGGGAAAATAACGAGTTTGCTTCTTAAAGACGCTTCGAATTCGGACCTGCTCCTCTGGCCGCAAGATCTCGACTGGACAGGAGTTGCGGCACACTGGGAATCTCCTACCCTCCCCGAACCTAAACTGTTCGGCGGCGGACTCACGCTTTCCCTGCAAGTCAGGATAGAAGGAGCGAGAATTCGGGATGATTCCCATGGGGTGGAAAGACGTTAGAATCTGCGGGAGTCACTCTGCAAGACTTCGTGCTCGCGCCTCGGCTCTGAGGTTTGGGAGGAAGGACCAGGGGACCACGTTGTTACGGCATGGTGTTTTCTTTCCAAGTTTCCTTCATTTAGTTATAAAGCCACAATTTTAATCAGGTAATGCCCTCGGTGTTGGTTTTGTTCCTCTTAATGGGTTTTCCAACACTGTCACAAAATGTGGAGGGCTTGATAATATCGAAAACGGATAACCTCATTGACGACCAATATCATACCAGATAACCAACCAGACCAAAACGCCTCTGCCATGAGACCCGGTTCTCTATAATGACAATTCATGCTGACATGTTCCCTTTTTGTCTTTCCTTCTGGTAGATATGCGCTCTGTGCGCAACTCCGTGGTCTAAAAGACAGCAGCCTGTGCTCCTTCTCTTCTCCGATCCCGGTTTGTTGCAAGTTCAGGAGTAACGACGTTATGGCAGCAGACAAAAGAGAAAGTTCGAATCGGAGCCATCATAAATCATGTCTTGGCCTCCAGACGCTCGTTTTGCCCACCGAGCTCTTCCACTTTGCCAGCCGCGGCCCGGGCACCCGCCTTATCCTTAGAAACGGCGGCAGCGGCAGCAGCAGCAGCTCCCTTCTTCTTCTCCTGAACGGCAATGTTCTGCATCGCAGTCTTGTCTTGCTCCCACTGTCCCGTAGCATCACCAAACGACTCCTTCAGCTTTTTGGCCTTTTCCGCCTTCTCCTTCTCGGCTTGTTCCCGAGCGAGCTGTTCCCGCTTCATTTGCTGCAGTGTGTCAGCACCGACGATCAACTATTAAGCACGAAAGAAAATCACTTACCTCCATGTGCTTGATGTCGTCCTCACTGGGTTCATACGCATGCCAGATGGTGTAATGAGGCAGGCCGATGACGGAAAAATCCATCTTCCTTGCCATCTACAGCCAAATTAGCCAACAAATTAGAAACGCAAGACCCTGTGCCAGCCTACCTTTCCGAACCCCTCCGTTTCCGCATGCTTCTCAAAACTGAAGGCTGGGAAGTGGACACCGTAGCGGAATACCTTGGCCTTAGCCAAAATACTCACACCGCCGACACCGTCAAGTTCCATCTCCATGTCCGGATCGCCGTAGGGATCCCGAAGATACGCCAGATGCGGCCGGTATGTGGCGTACTCGGCGTAGCCCTCCACGATGACGGCATCCTCATCCAATGTGTCCGCAAGTTGCAGAGCCGTGTCCGATTCCTGCCACGAGTTGAGATCGTACGGCTGCTCTCCCCCCAGCCATTCAGGGAGCGGACGCCAGACGTCTGAATGTCCGAGTTAGCCTCCGGATCGAGCCACAATATCCTTCCTCCCCGGCTCTGTACTCACTCGGCACGATGACATCCTTGTTATGCCGCATGAGATCCTCCAAGATGGTAAACGGCGCCGTCTCCACATCCACATCCCGCCAGTACACCCACGAGTGATACGGCCTGAGTGCCGCACTCAGCAGCCAATTCCTCGCCCTGGCCATGAGCTTCCGCCTCCCCGCCTGCGCGGCAAAACCGTGCCGGCTCTCCACATCCTGGTTCACCGTCTGCCCAAAGTCCTTCTCAATAATCGACACTTCCCCAAAATGCATCGCCTCCTCCTCCGCAGCCTGGATGTCCTCCATGTTCTTGACCAGCACCTCGAGCGTGTTATCCGTGGAATCCGACACCAGAAACGCCACGTCAATCAGGTGATGCGGATACGTCAGGTTGCGCAAGTGCGAGAAGAACATGGGCAAGTGGGCCTCGGCGTCGCGCAGCGGCACGCACAGCAGGATGCGCTCCTCACGCTCCCACCCGCGGGCGGTGCCCTGGACGTTAGACAGGTCGTGGTAGCGCACCGTCTCGAGCTCGAAGTCACCCGGGCCCGAGACGAGGCCGAGCGAAAAGACGGAGAGGATTGAGGAGCCGCGGGACCAGGAGATCAGGGTGACGAGGAAAAGGAAGGCGGCGAGGGCGGCGAGACGCACGAGGGAGTGGGTTCGTCGGCGGTAGGCTGGCACCGTGCCGCGCGGCTGGTATCTGGAGATGTGAGAAAACAGCTGTTAGAAACCATGGATGCTTCGAGGGTTTCGCGGAGGCCATGTTGGGAAAATCAAGCCAAGGAGGGAATAGGGATCGAGGGTCCGACGTACCTGTGAGGTGAGATGTGGAAGGTCTTGCCCCTTGGATAGCCGTTTGGATAACCGCCGACATGGTGGCGAGGGGTCACCTTAGACCCCGGCGAAGAGAACGGCAGCATTGGGTCGTCGAGGGTTGACTACCTTCAGGTGCAGCACCCGACAGAAACCTCCGTTCCTTCGTGCATGCGCATGCGTCTGCTGCCGCACCGCACTAGTTGAGAAGGAATTTGAATCAAGCTTCGAGAAGATTTATCCCGAATCTGAGAGGGCCGATGGTCAGCACATGGCTGTTGTTCGCCGAGGGAGTGCAACACACGTCGTACCAAACAATTGGCCAAAGGTGTTCGCATCAGCCTCACCTCCCTTTTCGAGTCCACCAGTGCGCTGTCTCGACAGCACCGTGACGTTTGTTTCTGAAAACACCCCAGCAGGCTTGGCGCTGCGTCCACTTTTTAGATCTTGGTTCGCCGCAGCTAGCCCCGGGTCCGAATACCGAGGTACGATGGACATGGGTCACTTTAGTCCAGATTATGCTAAAGGAGACTTTTGGTGAAGTAGCTGATCCGATGGTGTGCCACAGACCTGCAGCTGTCTGAATCTGAAACGGGAGCTGTGGATGTGGGTCTCGGCCGAGTCGAAATTCTCCACTAGTCATACACAGGCTCTATGCACAAACATCTGGGAACATGCCGACGAGTTGCAGCCTTCTGAATTGTACTAACTCTGTTTTCTACCGAGCCAATGGACATAGGTATCCGTCTCTGGATAACCGTAAAGGCGCCCCCTGCTTGGTGAACGTTATCGCTTACCTCTGGGAACCCTAATCGGCAAATGGAATGCTCTGGGAACGCGTCAGCGATCGTCCTGTAGTACCCGGAACCGCATGAAGAAATGGTCAAGACTCCAGCATCAGTCAAGCCAGTTTAACTCAGCCCTACGGACCGGCCCGAGCTGACATGCACCATAACGACACATGCCACACACGAACAACGGAAGCCTAATTACGTCCCGAGAAGGACAACACCACAACTCGTCATAGCACCCGAAGATGCTCAAGTGCGGATGGAAGGCTCGGCCCGTACATTTCGTTGAATGGATAAGCTATTGTCATCATTGTGGAAAGGAGCAAACGGCCGAGACGCCATGGTACATACCTTAACGATGAATGCCACAGAAGAAGGTCGAGGATGATGGAACGTAGTCCTGTGAGCCACTTGAACGAAGTCAGCTGATGTTCAATGGAGAGAGTTGTACTTTGAAACGAAGGGATAGTAAGATCAGATTTTGATTTGGTATGTGGTTGTCTTCATCCTTTTTCAGAAGCAGAACTGAATTGAAGATTCTCATCATAGAATGGGAAATGTTTGTGCTGGTGAGGTGATGCTTACCTTGTCTCTGCTTTTCCCAGCAGTGAGGTCGTCAGTCAGCTAAGAATCTAGAGATCTGCCGCCATGTCAGTCGATCGTTGATCAACAGGAAGAACGGACAACAATGTCGAAGGATGAAGGAAGTCAGATGGTAGTGCATGTGTGTTCGTTCGCTCATAGAAGTCGCGAGAACTGTGGATATGGAATCATCATGCGATTGATTGGGGAATAAACGAGGGCCGAGAGGATAAAGTTGACTTACGCGTCAAGCAAAGCTTTGATCCTAGTCATTAGTGGTGTAGCGTGCCAGGCCATGTGTCTCCGGCCTCGGCATCGACGATCACAGGTCAAGAGGTCCGTCGCCGAATCGGCTCGACCACGACGGTTGTCTCGCAAATGGAATCCCACCGCCACGACTAACCTGTCGAGAGAAATGGTGTTGTCTATGACGCTGGAATCGATTCCATCGGACGGAGGCGCGAAGCCACCGTTGCAGACCGCAGCGCAGCCTCGACGTTTGCGTTCGACGGAAGAAAGGAAGAAGGAGGCTCGTCGATAAAATTTCAGTTTAAACCCTGCCCTGGCTGTGGTGGGGTCCGTGTGGTCCGAGCGTTCGAACGCCGATTCCGTGGCTTGACTGGCTCGAGACAGGCTTCCCATTTGTGGCTTTTCAGAAGCTTCTGAAATGAGACCGGCAACAAATGAAAGGTTCCTACACCTGAAGTTCCAGAGTCGGTCAAACACCAAAAGCAACATCCATCCCGTTTTGGCAGCATCATCACACGTTTTACTGTTTCAGACTCTTTTCTGTGTCAGCCGGACACGTTACATTCACAAGAAGGTCGTATCTAAACCGATCTCGCACAGCTTCAGCATCGCGTCGGAAGTCCCTAAAGTCGACCTCGCCATGAGTGACAGGAGACGGGTCAATGGCCCTGCTGGGACCACGTTACCCCCGGTCTTTGATGATGCGGTTTTCGAGAAGCTCGATACACGGAACGGCAGGTCGCGCCCTCCGAATGCGACCAGGAAATTGTGTATGTGACTCGCCTCTGGGGTGCCGAATCCTGCTGACCTAGTTCAGTTCTCAAGACTGGTGTCACCCCTTCAGCTTCCGGATCTGCCTATTTGGAAATTGAGAGTTCCGCAAAGCCAGGTGTCTCTGGCCTGAAGCTTAGCTGTTCTGTCCACGGACCACGGTCGCTGCCAAGATCCGCCCCCTTCTCACCTCACATCGTCTTGTCCACCCATGTCAAGTACGCACCATTTGCAACGAAGCAAAGGCGTGGCTACCTTCGCGATCCTAGCGAGCGGGACCTCGGAATTCACCTTGAGGCTGCTCTCCGTGGAGCCATCATCGCCGACCGATGGCCCAAGAGCGGCGTCGACATCATCATCTCCATCATTGAGGGAGACCAAGACCGGGAGACGTCCAAGTTGCAGGGTGATGAGGTTTGGGACATGATGAATGCGCTGAGTGGGTGCATCACCGTGGCGGCGGCCGCGCTTGCCGATGCTGGTATCGACTGTGTCGACACTGTGGCAGGAGGTGTCGCTGCGCTTGTTCAAGACGCCGGCGATGGCTCCACGCCGAGCATCGTCGTCGACCCCATCCCTTCCGAGCACGAACAAATCCTGGCCGCCTGCTGCGTCGCATACCTGCCTACTCGAGATGAGGTGACAAACTTATGGTTCAGGGGTGATCTGCCGGCGTCCGACTTGGAGCTCTACACAAGCATTGTAGAGCACGGGATACAAGCCTCGAAGAACGCTAACCGGGTCCTTATTGACTGTCTCAGCGGGACTGTTGGATGAACCATTGTCATTTGGCGAGTGGCAATGACTGTTATCCCAAAAGCACAGCCTCTGATGGTTGCAGGTCAGCTTGTTAGCGAGGAATTTCGAATCGGAACCCCAAGCTCACTCTTTTGCAAACCACGGGCATGGCAGCACGTCATTTTCCGTGTCGCACCGTCACACCATCCTCGGCAATTCTCGAACATACAAAGCCAGAGGCCAGGGCTGTGCCCCGCCCACTGGCCGCATTCAGAGATCCTCTGGACTTATCGCGGCCCAGAGCTTTGATGTGAGAGACATCTGAATACGAGATTGTTACATTGACCCAATCTGTTTCTGCAACCAGCAGGAACTGGCTGCCTTGGCACCATCCACGAGATGATTTGAGCCGCCTCGATCCATGGGCCTGAGGAACGTGGGGGACGAGCCGAAGGCGGGGTGATTACGGAACGTGCTATCTATCTGCCCTGTGTCAGACAACTCGCCCAGATTCGAAGAGCTCGGCTACACGTATGGCTTGGTTTGGCAGTTCGGCCGCTTTGCTTGAATTTCGCGCCCCTTTGCCGCTACAGGAGTGCGTCTATGCAGTGAAAAATCAGTTCAGGCTTTCTCTGGCTGGCAGGCTCTTCGAGTTGGAATTCCACTTTGTTTCTTCGGCGGTCGGTAAGAAATACGGATAGTTACAGTGCAGTTTGGATCCACACGCCTTGCCAAGCCTCCATGATTGAAAAGCACACTAGTGGCGGATGCTTCTGCATGATTCGCCGCGCCCCCTGACGTTATCAAACGTGTCGCTGCGCTCTTCGACAGCAGGTGCAACCTGCCAAACTTGCACGAAACACCACCATCTCGACTCGACTCAGCCGTTCGGGCTGTGTACCTTCGTTTGACGATACGCCACAAATTCTACTTTCATTATCCTAACACCATGCGCTTTGCCTATACCGCCTTCTAACCAATTCGAAACATTCGTTCGCTCACCTACTGCGAGTCTTCAATTTCTCCAAGTTCGAACCATTTGCGCAAAATTCTCGATCACTCGAATCACCTCGATGCCCTCGTACACCGCGATCCTAACTTAGCCTATGGTCCTTTCCGAGATCGATTAATTAATTGGCACTATTGTCGCGTGGCAAGCTAATCGACTACCTTCCTGCCTTTCCGCTGCCTTCCCCCGATGGGCAAGAAGTGGCGATGGGGTGTCATTTTGGACGCCGGTTCGTCTGGGACTAGGCTGCACATCTACCGATGGAAGGACCCCGAAAAGGCGCGCAAAGGCGCCTCGAAGGAGGACTTGCGCAGTCTGCCAAAGTTAGTTACGGAGAAGAAGTGGACCAAAAAAATAAGGCCCGGGGTCTCGACATTTGGCGACAACGTGGAGGATGTCGGGCCAGCCCACTTGCAGAAATTGATTGACCATGCGCTCAAGATCGTACCCGAGGACAAGGTTCAGGATACTCCGATATTTCTCATGGCGACCGCAGGAATGCGCCTGCTTCCGCAATTCCAGCAATCGGCCTTGACGCGCGAGATCTGCTCCTATCTCCAGCGTACGACGCGGTTCTCGCTACCCGACTGCAACCTACACATTCAAGTCATCAAGGGCGAAACAGAAGGGCTGTACGGGTGGATTGCTTCGAACTACCTCTTGGGTGGCTTCGACCGCCCCAACGAGCATCAGCACGGGAAAGGGCATCATACTTATGGATTTCTGGACATGGGTGGCGCATCTGCGCAAATCGCCTTTGCACCAAATGCGACCGAGGCCGAGAAGCACTCAGACGATCTGAAGTTGCTACGCCTGCGCACACTCGATGGCTCGCCGTCCGAGTATAAGGTCTTCACCGCGACATGGCTCGGCTTTGGCGTCAACCAGGCGCGCGCCTCCTACGTCAAGAATCTTGAGGATCGGTATGCGAATACTGACGCCGAACTACCCGATCCGTGCTTGCCTAAGGGACTCCGGACAACTCTTGGCGGGGACCCAGTCAACGACAGGCAATACGGCATTCCCACCTTGATTGGCACCGGACACTTTGATGAGTGTCTGCAACTGACTTACCCTTTACTTGGCAAGGACAAACCATGCGAGGACAACCCCTGTCTGCTGAACGGGCAGCATGTCCCGGCGATTGACTTCAACGTCAACCACTTCATTGGTGTTTCGGAGTATTGGCATACCACGCACGGTGTCTTCGGTGGCAAGGGTGACATGGCGTACGATTTCACGACGTACCAACAGAGAGTCAAGGACTACTGCGGGCAGGACTGGAATCAAATCCAGTCCAAAATTAATAGTCAGGAAAACAAGGATCCGAAGATTGCTCAAGAGGCATGTTTCAAAGCTTCCTGGCTGATTAATGTGCTTCACGAAGGGATTGGCGTTCCCCGGATAGGGCTCGAAAAGCTGCCAACAACAAATGTTTCCAAGGGCGCACTCGAGCATGCAAAGGAGAAGGGGTTTCTCGATCCGTTCAAGCCAGTGGACAAGATTGACGGCATTGAAGTCAGTTGGACGTTGGGGAAGATGGTCCTCTATGCCGCTGGGCAAATCCCTCCTATCACCCGCGACGATCGGTACCCCGTCGGTTTCGGCAGCAATGTGGATGGGACTCCGCACGACTTTCAGTTCGCAGGATCTAGCTGGAGACCGTCCAACCGCTACGGCAACCACACCATCGACGACAATGACGATGACGGCGACTGGGACCTCGACGCCGAAGACATCCTTGACAAGGCCAAGTCCAACTCCACCACCGGTTTTTTCGCCTTCCTGCTCATTCTCGTCCTCTTCTTATACCTCTTTCGCAAGCGCGACCGGCGAATGCGCGTTTATAGCCGCGTCAACTCGGCCCTCCGCCGCCAGCGCAGGCCGAGCAAGGGCAGCGGTGGCGTCCGCGGCCTCTCGGGTCTCGCGACCAAAATTTTTGGCGGCCGGCCGTCCGGCGGGGCCTACGAGCGTGTCATGGAGGATGGCGATGCAGACCACTTTGAGCTGTCCGGTGGCGACTCGTCCGACGACAATGAGTACTCCGACTCGAGTGACGGGTCGGGGTCGTCGACGAGACGATTCGGACTGTCATCTGGGCTGGCTACGCCGCAGATTGTAGACCATCATCATTATCACCACGGCCTGGCGTCGCCAACGGTTTCAGCGCTAGACCGGAGCGGGCTGGTGGTGCGGACGGATAGCCGAGAGAGGTTGATGCTGCCGCCGCATTTGGCGCTGTCGGGGGTCGGGAGGAGGAGTAGGGCTGCCAGTCCGACGAGACTGAAGAGTCCCTTGATGACGCCCCTGGAGGAGACGTAGGATTGTTGATGTGTAGGTCGGGCTTGTGTGGGATTACGGTTTCATTGTCCTCATACTTCTTCTGCTGTTGATGCTAATCTGTTGGGCGGACTGTTGGACCAAAACTCTTTCAGTATAACTATTTGTATTTACATTCTTCTGTGGCGGTACGGCAAGCAGGCATGGCAGGCGGCGAAGAGTTGGAGCATGGTCTCTGGGGCGACGGAGAGTGACTGTCATTTTTGGACTCAACTCGGCGTCATATGGGGTTTGATTGTCGGCCGGTTTTGGGCCTTTTGGCTGAGATGGTTGAACGACCTCCGGACTGATGAGGTACTGTTGTGATGATACATACTACCTAGAGACTACTAGTATTTTTGATGGCGAACACTTTTGGCGAACTTGCTTCTGACCCAACTTGCGCTCGGTGAGAGCGAAACATGCCATCACCACTCAACACTGCCTTTGGAGCTATCCCGCTAGCTGCCCACCCCCTTTTGCCCCCGATTCATGAAAGCCAGCTTCCCGTCAATCATCCCGCTCTAAGAAACCCGGATCGCTCCTCACTCTCCCCTCAAATTTCCGCCACCACTCCTCAAACGCCTTGAGCGGCACCACTTCGACCTGCCCCGCGGTGCCACTGAAGCTCGCCAGAAAGTTGAAGGCATTCTTGATGATTCGCTGCGCTAGCACCAACGTGCTCGGCTGCTGCTGCTGCTGTCCCGCGCCTGCCTTCACCAACGCCGCGTTGCTTGCGCTCCCGGTACTGGTACTCGGGCCCGTAGTCGACGACGATGAAAGCTCGGCTATCCTCCCCGCTACGGAATCGGCCGGCTCGATGGAGATGCCGATCACGACGCTGTCCCCCGAAGCTGCTGCTGCGGTTGTGCTGTTGAGCTTGAAGATGGCGCTCTCCTTGCCCGGCCCGATGCCGCCGAGGAACTTTGAGTTGGGCTGGGTCTGGTTTGGGCCCGTGGGCGGCGTGACGAGGTAGATTGCTGCAGCTGTGTTTGGGGGGAAGACGATGTCGGGGAGCAGGAAGACGACTATGTGCGAGAAGGGCTTGGTGCCGGGTTGCGCAGGAGGGATGGCATAGAGAAACGATGTTGGGGTTGGCGTTTCGGTCGGCGTGACGATGACCGGGTGGCCCGCGGGGACTAGGCCGAAGAGAGGTTGGGACATTGTGGTTGTTGTGGTGATGTTTGGAGGTGGATCGAGGTGGATGTTTGTTGGATGGGTTAGGGGGATGGTGAGTCCCCTCGTGTCTGCGTTGTGGACAAGGCTTCAATCACACAGCTCAGGAACTTGGTGCTAAGACTTTCAACTCCCGTAGGCACTCGAATACGGCCCAGGAGATGTCGAGGCAGCGTTGCTGCGAACCGCTTGTTGGTGGCTTGGAGTCAGTCCTCGACGCCGAGTAAGAGGAGCCTGGAATCTGATTCTGATGTTGATGCTGACTAGATTGACCAATGAGAACCACCTCGAGTCGTCCACAGCGAGTCAATTCATACAGCATGTGATAGTTTAAGGTTATAGATGTATCCTTTATTAGATTTCAACGTTCCAATTCAATGCCGTGGAAATTCTATGAGATCATTCTAGAGTTGTCTAGGAGATGCCAAGCCGTCAACAATGAGGTCCATCAAAGTCCGTTGTGGGCCTCAGCTTTCCTGCAATCGATGGCACAAACAGCTCTTATTCTCTTTGTCCTTTCTTTCCCTTTCCCAAACAAGTTGGAAACAGCTGCCAATTTCGAAGGTAACAGTCGCAACGCAAGCTCAATCCGTAAACTCTGGGGCCCCAGGGAGAAGAGACCAGCTGACCCAGGAGTCGTCATCAAGCCGCCTGCTCGGGGAAAGACGGGCAAACAGCCTCTCCATATCAGTGGAGACAGCAACCTCGTGGAATGAGAGAATAAGAGGCCAACTACCCTCGAGCAATCGACAGTAACGGATAGTTTTGCTGAATCATAGGACTTCCAGTGATCTTCTTCCTTTCCTCTGTCCACCCGCCGCCAATTATCTTGGTGTGCTGTACTTGTATTGGGTCTCTATCGTGGTTTGCTGTTGACCCGATTCACTTCACACTTCTCGGTTACAGCGCCGCCGGTTCTGGTTTCAGCACGGCTTTCTCAACACAGCCCCGAAGTGTCGCACAAGCACTGTACACCACAAATTCGGTGCAGCTATGGCGACCCGGCTCACGACGATAGATTTAATCAACAAGGTCGATGGGTATGTTTCCACTGGCCTCGAATTCCCTGTATCTGCCCACCGATAGCGGAGGTCCGAATGTCGCGAGATATGAGAGTTAAACAAACGCATGAACAAGTTGTCACTCACACACCACCCACTATGAAGGTTTCCGGATCCAGAGAGAGACCCTCAACGGTACTCGGAAGAAATCAAGAGGCTCTACACCCTCATATGGAAGGACGATGAAGGGTTCTTCCCCATCGGCTACGTGCCTCTCTCGGTCCTCGAGGCGCTTGAGAACACCCCAGCGGATATCAGGGGCCCAATGGACGTCGACCATGAGGCGAGAATGATTTGTCTATTCCAGGAGCCGGTCACCGAAGAAGAGCGCACGGAGCTCGTTGGACGTCTGACCGCATACTGGCGCCAGAACGAGACGTTCCGCATCCTCAAGGGCTGGCGCAACGAGCTGTGGCCTGTTTACGGACGCAACGGCGACCTGCTTTTCAGCATCGAGCGGGTGGCCATGGGGCTCTTCGGTAATGCACGCTTTGGCGTGCACATGGTGGCTTTCCTCCGTCGCAACGAGGGTAACAGCCGCTACGACTTAAGGATCTGGGTCCCGAAGCGAGCCGCCAACAAGTCGACATATCCGGGCATGTTGGACAACACGGTTGCAGGCGGGCTCATGACCAACGAGGACCCTTTTGAATGCATCATTCGCGAGGCCGACGAGGAGGCATCGCTGCCAGAGGACTTCATGCGCAAGAACGCCAAGGAAACTGGCACCATCACGTACATCTACATCACGGACGAGCGGGCTGGTGGGGAACATGGCTGGATTTACCCCGAATGCCAATGGGTCTACGACCTCGAGCTACCGGCAGACGGGAGTGTCACTCCCTGTCCAAAGGATGGTGAGGTGGAGAGTTTCAGCCTGCACACAGTGGAGGAAATCCAGGAACAGATGGCCCAGGGACTGTGGAAGCCGAACTGCGCCCTGATCATGCTCGATTTTTTCACCCGGCACGGGATATTGACGCCCGAGAACGAGCCGCACTATGATGAGCTCCAAGCCAGGGCGCATCGCTTTATCCCCTTCCCCGGCCCGCATTGGCCGAACTGGCAGCACGCTTCGCCGCCAGAAAGGAAGGCCTAAAGTCAAGGCAGCGAGCAGGTTCAACAACGGGCGCGTTCCTCGTGGGTATCGTTTGCCTTGCGCTCGCCAAGTTCTGCCTCACATTTGGTTCCCATTTCCTGAACGCCGAATTCCCCATTAGAATATCACCACTCAAGTCGCAAGCCATCTATATCACCCTTGTCGGCACTCCAAAAGTCGTGCAAAGCTGATCACCGCTTCCGGGCGAGGAGGTAGACGTAATCCACACGCAGGGGCGTAAGCCTCTTGTATGGCCCCTCCAATGACATGAGCAGGCCGCCAAAGGAGATGTATGCCTTGCTGTTTCCCACAATGTCAGCAATACCTTCCCTTTTCCCGGCCCCCCTCCCCTTTCTTCTCCGGAAGCGCCGAAACTCACATGGTCTTCCCATCCTCGGCATCCTCAAACTTGTAGATCTTGCCGTAGCAGACGTAGTCGAATATGTCGGCCAGCGTGGCGTCGCTAGCACCCGCCTTGGCCACGTCGCGCCAGCCGCGCTCGTCGTCCTTGGAACCGTCGTAGTGCAGCGACGTCGCCAGCGCCACGTGCAGTTCGTCGTCCACCTTGCAGGGGAACAGCTCCTTGTTGACGTCGAGGCTCATGCTGATGCTCTTGTCCTCGGAATGGCAGTAAATACGGTCCACCCGGTCGTACTTGGGCTCGCTGAGCCGTTCGACCCGAAAGTGGTCTTCGAAGAGCTGCGCGTCTGAGGCAATGCCCGACATTTTTGCTGTTGGTTTGTGGAATTGGAGGACAGGCGGGCCGGGTTTGCGTCCTTGAGGGCTATTCCCAATCGTGGCACGTTTGCGGTGTGAAGCGAGAGACGGAGTCGGGTGCCGGGTTTGTGTTTCGATACGGTGATTGTGTGTGTACTCCGTAGGTTGACAAAAAATTCCGGAAACGTTCGGCATGGCGACAGGGACTTGACTCCGTTCCGGCAGGCAGATCTGCTGATAAGAGCTCTGATCTTGCTTTATCAAAGTTCGACCCCTCCGATAAAAAGTCTACTGTACAAAACCTGGGTGAGATCCTAACACGCCGCCATGTCATTCGTGAAGAGAAATACCGTTCTCTCGGCAAGGCCAGGACGGCCTCCTGCTCAAGCGACACGGTCCCCAGAAAAGCAGCAGCTTGCACCAGGAATACGGCCGTCGCCGCTGGATGGCAGGCCCACCACATCGACAGGGACGTCATCTCTCGACCAGCTGCTTGCAGGGCACGGAGGACTGCCGCTGGGCACATGTCTGCTGATTGAAGAACAAGGCACTACCGACTTCTCGGGCATTTTGTTGCGATACTATGCCGCCGAGGGGCTCGTTCAGGGTCATAATGTCCACCCCGTTGGTTATCCTCCAGAATGGAGGCACCAGCTTCCTGCCGTCGCAATGACAGACACCAAATCCAAGGCAGCCCAACCACCACCTGCCCCAGAAGAGAAGATGAAGATTGCATGGAGATACGAGGCGCTAGGTAACGCCGCGCCCGCAGACGCTTCCGCAAGGGCAGATTCCAAGAATGGGACATTCTGCCATGCCTTCGACCTCACCAAGCGCCTTGCGCCGAGCTCATGTAAAGGCTCGCTCCACCCGACGCCCAGCACATGCCCGCCCATACTCGACCAACCCAACCACCTATCCACCACCTCGCCCTTCAAGGCGATCATCAAACACCTCCAAACCAAACTATCCACCTCTCCGCTGACCGACATCCACCGCATCATCGTCCCCGGCCTGCTCCTGCCAACCCTCTACTCCCCACACTGCAACCACCCGTCCGAAGTCCTCCAATTCCTCCACAGCCTCCGCGCCCTCCTCCGCCAACACCCGTCCCAACTCACAGCCATCATCACCATCCAGACCTCGCTATACCCCCGCACCACGGGGTTGGTCAGGTGGATCGAGCTCCTCTGCGACGGCGTGCTCGAGCTGATACCCCTGCCCGCCAACCCCGGCGCCCCGCTCCTGCCGCCGCCTGCTTCGTCGTTTTCTTCGTCTGCGTCGGGATCTGAAAAGAGCGAGCAGCCTCAGGGCCTGCTCAGGGTGCACACCCTGCCGGTGTATCATGAAAAAGGGGGCGGCGGGGCCGGGGCGAGCTCGTTCCGGGAGACGCTGGCGTTTAGTTTGAGTGCGTCGAGGGGGTTGGTGATCAAGCCATACAGTCTGCCGCCGTTGGAGAGGGAGGGGGAGGGGCAAGGGAATGGGGAGAAGAAAGGCGGTGGGGGAACGGACGAGATTGAGTTTTGATGTGGGTAGAACCCATTTGGATGCGCTGAAGGAGGCACACTATCGGTTATTCGAACCCAAGCTAGAGGGATCGTTGTGTTGACCCTAGGTGACCAGAAAACCTTGGTTAACACAGTAGAGCATGTTTCACAAGATAACTGACTTCCAGGTTTGCTGGCGAAAGGAGGCATGTTCGAGGATAGCTCCAGGGATGCAAAATAAACGCAACACGGACAATTGGGCCGGTCGTGATGTCAGCCCATCATAGCGCTGATTGGAAATACACATAAATTTAAATCATCGTCATTTTCTGAAATCCATTGTGTTAGTTTATTGTTTGAGTGCTATAAGGTCATCGCCGAAGAATCTTCAACACATTACTGGTACCTTGTTTTACCATAAGCAGTCTCAGGGTCAAGGTATTCCAGCAGACTCCGTTCCAGTCTGTCATCCTGGTTCCACTCACTACCATTCTTGGCAATCGAGATTGCCACACGGCGCAACCCCACCAGCCAAGCGATGCCAAGCAGAGAACCTGGCCTGGCCGGTGAGCTTGAACCACGAGCCCATGAGCCACCGACAGGCTGACCGCCGGTGGGGCATTTCTGGCTCTCATCCAGAGGAGAGCTCTTGCGATTGAAGTCGAGTTACCAACTTTCTCCCTTCTCACGATCGGTTTTCCTTTTGGCTTCTGCCCCGATCCGGCACAGACTCGACGTTTTTACCCAAGCAGAGGTGCTCATCCTTTTTTTTTCCTGCTCACAGGCGCCAGACTTGTCAACAGGTTTTGAGAGGGACGTCAGGTTTCAAATCCGAGATAAAGGCCGGACGGGCAGCACCGGTGTAGCGGAAACTTTGCAGCACCCAGCATCTCGCGCAAGACGCTTCCTACGTGCTTCCATCATGAACTAGTTATTCAGACGGCTGCATCGAACGGTCAAGCGGGTGCGAAATCGAGCACTGAACCGCCATCACAGCAAGACCTCGACCGCCATGGTATGACATCTTTCTGCGTCTTGGAGTTCTGCGACCATTCTCCCATACTGTTCCCATTTCGTTGATTGCTACCGCCACGCAACTCTCTCCCAGTCGCACGATGGCTTTTTCAGCCAGCATCTAGCTGGCTTTATGCTTGTCTTCACTAATATTTGTGTAGGGTTGCTGTCTCTCCCGTGATGGGGGTCCCAACTCCCCCTACCCAGGCGGCGCCGGCGCCGGCGGCTCTGCCCGAGCGATAAATGAGGCTGCCCAAGCAGCTGGCACTACCAGCTCACAAACCGGCATTGATGAATCACTCTCCTCTACCTCCCATCGCCGGCGTAGGCACTCGAACCAACCACTGACTCAGCACATCAATAAGCCCTTGCGGCGGCACGAGTGGACCAGCCACGATAGGCAATGGACCCCTGCGGCCTTGCGGCGCGAGCGAACCGAGTTTTTTGAAACCAGAGTTACCGGGAGAGAGGAGATATGGCAAGCGTTGCGTACTGCACTCGAGGTGCTTTGGGCTGCCGACGAGGCGGCGCGCAACCGTCGCTTCCCGCGAATGAGCGAGGAAGATGGGCCAAGCGAGGAAGACCCGGCTGTTGCTTTAGCGACTGCTCAGAGCATCCTCGATGCCGCCGATATCACCCTACCCACTGGCGACTTGTATAATGGTGCATATGATGCGCTCGGCAACTACTACCCGCTGACTCATCCGGTTGTCGCCGACCCTGTGAACATGCTGTGGAGTCCTGGCTCCCCCGAAGAGGAAGAACTTGACGATGTCAAAGCCGACCTGACAGCTGGCGAAGAAACGGAGCGAGAGTGCGGTGACGAGGAGGCTGAGCGGCGAAGGGAGGAGAAAGGCAAGGCCGTCTTGGATGTCCGGAATCAGATCACCATCAGAGCGAGGCTGAGTGACGGATCCGGGGATGTCAGCGTTACGGTGGGCAAAGGAGACTCTGTTCGCCGCATCGCAAGACAGATTGCAGAGGAAGGAAAAGTGAGTAACCGAGCCCGAGTCTTTATACACTGCATTCCACTGACACTATCATGCAAAAAAGCTACTCTCTACCAAGAAAGTCCGGATCGCCTACATGGGCAAAATCCTCCAAGAGAATTCTACCCTCAGGAACCAGGGCTGGAAGCAAGGACATGTCATCAACGCCTTGGTGTTCGATCGTTAGGACCGCTTCTCACCATTGCCGGAAGACCTGCCGTCTCAGTCATGCTCTGCGGCATTCGAAAGTGCGAACCCTACTCCTATCGACTCCTCTATTACGAGACGTGCCCGCTTATCTCCCGCCATACGGAAATTCAAAGGCCTCTTGAAGCCGGGCAACTCACACTCCTACTCCCGACTCGTCGATGCGGATCAAACTGACTCTCGCTCACGAGAGAAAAGAATGCAGCACCGCTACCGGCGCTGCATCGCTTCCATCAGATCCCGCCGCGAGTCCAACAAGAACCGCGGCTACCGACAGCGCACGGGCGACCAATGGGTCGCCTATGATGCCCGCCATGCCTGGATTCTCGCAGCCTTTTACATGTGCATGTAATCTCCTCTCCATACCGAACATACCCGTCATTCCACGAAGTCAACACAATTCCGCGGACCCATCATCGACTTTTCTCAACCGGCTTCAAGACTGGCGGCTACCACGCATCAGCGTTCAGCCACACCCCCAATTTCGACTTCAGCCTTGCCCCATGTTCTCTCCTTCATCCATACCGAACTTCATAGGCGTTTGATCTGGCTTGTTTTAACGCGATAACGACCCCGATCTGGTATCTTTGCTTTGATGTTCCCGGTATTCTCTCACATCGGTTGATGAGATGGTTATTTTCAAAGGGATGATTTATCACCCCTCGCATCCTGACAGATGATGCACTCGGCTCTACTATAATCAGGAGGCAGTCTGCAATAGGGGCGTATACAGAAACGGCAATACCCAGTTTGTGAGAGAGGGCAGGTAGTGGACCACTAGTCGATTTCATTTTCAACAATGATGATTTTGCTCTGCATATGAGCCTACCCGTTCCTTTGGTCCAGAATCAAACGGTGAATCTCATGGAATGCTGCTGTATAATCTAAACATCTCCGCTGAACTACCTCTTGCCGCCCTTTTTCGCATCCATCTCATTTTTGGGCCCTCAACTTCCATGCGGTCTTCCAACCCTGAACTCCTACTAGCAGTCCCACCAACAACCCGCTCGAACATCCCTCCTCTACCGTATCTAATCCCATCAACGCTGTGATTCAGATCGGAGTCCCGCCTCGGCTCCTCTTCCGAGTATCACGCACGGCGTCTGCGTCTGCCCTTGCCGCCACCGGGAACGGAGAAGTCCGCTCCGGTAATTTGGCCCAAAAGAGGCTGCAGGCTTCGCTATCTTCAAGCAGCCGCCGAGCCAATCTTGTTCAAACCCTTGAGGGATCCCAGGCTGAGGGCCAGCCCCTGCGACCTGCTGCGTATCCTGAGGAAGCCAGTAATGGGGCCGTCGTCCCCTTCTTTCTCGATGCTCAAGTTCGCCAGGGCATCCTCGCCTATTGGAAGAGCAAGAGTCAGCATACAAGCCGTGCAACACCGTGGATGTTGAAGATGGGTGCGATGAGGAAAAACTAGAGAGAGACTTACCGAATACACTCCTGGCATACAGATTGGCGCTCAAGAACTGGCAGTCGCCCTTCAAACTCGCCTCGGGGGTGAGGCAGTTCATGTTCGTGCAGGCCATGAGTTGGTCGAGGAAGTCGCGCAGCGACTGGGCCTTGCTGTTGATGTTGACCTTGTTCTCCCACTCAAACTCGGTCCACATGGTGCGGAATTGCGTCTCGGAGCACGTCGCCGGTTGAATGTAGTCCATGATGTCGACGTGCAGGTCGTTGAGGATGACCACGCTGGTGTCGGTCGAGTGCGCGCCTTCGTACACGACGTTGCCAAAGATGACGCCTGTGTCGGTCGAAGACACCTTGATGGTGCACTGCACGTTGTGGAAATCGTGCGGACCCAGGTTCTGGCTCGTCGGCCGCTCCACCACCTTGAGGTCGCCGAGGGTGGCAAACTCGACGGTAAGATTCTGCAGCGTGTCGGTCGTCTGGTTGACGAGTAGTACGTCGAGAATGATGTCGAACTGGTGGACTTTGACGTATGCCTCGGCATACACAGGATCCGAGAAACCGGTGAGCTGCACAACGCGGCTAAGCTTGCCAGAGAGATCTTCGGCCGCGCTGCTGTCACCGCCTGTTGCCCGCTCTAGGTCAAGCTCGATTGCATCAGCACCGTCGACGGCATTCTTCTTAGACAACTGGCGGATCGAAACCACATCATCGACCTGCACGGCCGTCTTGGCCTTCTCGAACGCTGCTTTGGCCTCGCGCTTCTTCTCCTCCACCTGCACCATGGCACGGAAAGCCTTCCTTGTGTCCTCTAGATATACCGTCTCCAGCTCCTTGTGCTCCTTGAACTCGGCGAGCGATCGTACGCAGCTCATTATGCGATCGACCGAATCTTCGTCAATAGGCGCCTTGACGAACTGTGACTGGCCGACGCGAATGATGGAGATCATGATCAGCATGGCCTCGGCCCGGAGAGCATTGGTGCGAGCGGCCTCGGAAGAGATTTCAGAATGGCGCATGACCAGCTTCGTGAGCGTCGCGGCTAAGACGGCGGCCAGATAGTAATCACCATCCAGAATGAGCTGCCTGAGCGGGGGCTTTGAGGATGCCTTGACGGCTTCTAGTTTGGCGGCAGCGGCAGATTGGCTCGTGAGGGCAGTCTCGGTTGCATATGTCCCATCCGCAAGAACCTTCCGGGAGCCAGCCGCGGTCGATTTGGGATGCCCATTGACCTGAGCATGGTCCTTCTCCTCCTCATTATCCATGTTGTCAAGCAACCGCTGCTCCGACGCCAAGATGGGAATCTCGCCGAGGCTAGCCCTAATACCCTTCCAAGCATCCCGGATATCCTTCTCGTCGAGGGAGTACTCGCCAATGATCCAGAGAATACCGCGGTAAACCTTCCCAGCGCGGACCTCCCTGAGTGTGTCGACGAGTCTTTGCGTAATAGCCGGGCGCAGTGCGGGGAACCTCTCCACAACCTCCTTGACGAAGTTGATAACGTCGACAGCTGAGGCGTTGGTGAAATCGGCAATGAAGTCCATGAGAAGATCTACAACGCTGGCAGCCACCTCGGAGAACTTGACTGCGCACTGGTGGATGGAGTGGATGAGGAGTTGGCGGTATTCGCTGTTCTTCTCATACTCCTGGTCGACCGTCTTGGACAGTTCCTTCTTGAGAAGGAGGACAACCTCCTCGACGTTCTTGCTTGACACCATCTCCAACGCGATCTCTAGCGCCTTCCTGCGCACATCGATATCGGGACTCGATAGCACGCGCAGAATCTCCATTATTAGGTCATCAAGGATTCCCTCGTTCTTCTGCCGGAGCTGGTCAACCCGGTCGAGCACGATAAGTTTGACGTTGTTGTCTGCCTCCTTGATCGCAAGCTCGATGAACTTTCCGGCGGCGGCCTTGACAGCCACGGGGTTGTTAGTCAGCGCCGTGAGGGAGGACGCTGCCTCGTAAACAACTGTGGATGTATTTGCCTCGAGAAGGTCGAAGATGAGCCGCAAGTACCGCGCCTTGTTTTGCGAGTTGTGGACGGCATCTTTCCTGATGAACTCGAGCTCGACGAGCTGCAGGAGCTCCTCTGCATTTGGGATACCATCGAAGACGGCGCTTAAGTAGGCCAGCGCCTTGTCATGGCTGATGCTGGACAGGGCAGCGAAGCCGTTCCTCTTGCATGTCGGGTCGCTCTCTCCTTCGAGAAATGTGGCGATGAGGTCGGCGGCATCAGGGATTAGCGATGGCGAGTGCTGGTGGATGGATGCTACGGCGAAGACGGCGTTCTTCCGTACGTAAGCGTGACGATGCTCCAGACACGAGCGCGCCGACGAGAGCAGCGGCTCGAGGAGCTCGGGTTCCCGAAGCTTGCAGAGGAAGCGCAACGTGTTGCCTCGGATGAACTCGTTCGGATGTTGCAAGTCGTTACGGATGCCGTTACTGCAAAACTTGTCAGCGCAAAATGGTAAACCGCCAACGACACCCATCAAGAAGGCCTTACCATACTAAGATGAACTCCTGCTTTAGCTTCCCATGAGCGTCGAGCTTGGGGCAGATTTCGTAATAGAAGTAAAGCAGCTTCTTTAGCGGTTTGGACTTGGACGGCATGACGAATCGGATGATGTGCATGAGCAATTGGGGCATAGGGTCGCCGTTGAGCATGATGGTCAAGATGCGCTTCATGGTCTCGACCTTGGTCTCGTCGGTGCCCTTCTCGAGCTGGGTCCGCAGCTCGGCCAACGTGGGGGTGCCCTCGGTGGCACTGTCCTTGACCAGACTGTATGCATTGTCTAGGAAGGACATGGTGGGCCGTGCACGGCGGCGAGCCAGTGGTGATCGCAGTAAAACAGAGCAGAGGTCGGAGGGAAGGGCGGTGCTTGCAGCAAGGCGACGTGATCGATCCGGTGTTGGAAATGGGTTCGGAGGTCGGATGGATGGCTAGGAGGAACGAACACTCCTGAGTGAGCTGTCCTCGGGCTCGGGTCGCAACGCACCCCTTGTCGATTGTCGGAGGCAGAGTCTGCGGATCAGAAGCTTGCCGTGTAAATGAAGCGTGGTTTGGTGGCCGCTGGCAGCGTCGGAGAGCGGAGCATCACCTGCGTGTTTCGTGGTCGAGAGCCAAAGGAGTCCACTCCCCCGATACGGTCAGTCAAGATCGAAAGGAACCATAGGAGTGCATGGGAGATGTGGCATTACCTGCGCCTGTGGCAGCTGTGTCTGCCAACTGTCAAGAAGCGACAAATCACGTGGGAACTCCATGTTCGCCAAGCTTTGCGTTGGTGGGGTTTTGCCCCGCTGTCCATGAAATGCATTCGACCGAAGCCGTGAAGGTTCCCAATTCCCAATCCATCCTCGCCCGCCATGTCGAACCTCAACGAACCATTTTACATTCGATACTAGTATGCGACGACTTCCTTGCGATTTCAATACCGATGTACTAATTTTTTATTGGCAGTTCCGGCCATCAAGGTCGATTCGGACACGAGTTCCTCGGTACGTCGCAGCCACCATCAAGCTACACCTGAGCGCACCCAGCTGATTGGGCTGTGACATGCAGAGTTCGACTTCCGCGTGGTTGGCGATGGCCGGAGCGCTACTGCCCGCTACGCCAACAATTCCAACTATAGAAATGACAGCTTGATACGGAAAGAGAGTACGATGTCTCCCTGCCCCGCAAGCTGGGAACGATCGCTGACGGACCTGCAACCTCGACACAGTGTTTGTCAGCTCCCTGGTTGTCGACGAGATTAAGAGGATTGTGAGGGAAAGCGAGATTATGAAGTACGACCGGCAGCTTTACCAAACCTGAGAGTCACCTGGTTAACAGGACACAGGGAAGATGACGCGAAATGGCCGACCAAGAACAAGGACGGGCGGCAGGAGCTGGAGATTCGACTCGGGAACGATCACATTTCGTTCGAGGTGATTCACAACGGCATCGCTGGCTCTCGGTAACTGGATTGCTAACTTTGCGCAGACTGCCAAGATCGGCTCGATCAACGACGTGACCGAGTCTGCAGACCCGGAAGGTCTGCGCGTCTTCTACTACCTTGTGCAGGACCTAAAGGCCCTCGTCTTTAGTCTCATTGCGCTGCATTTCAAGATCAAACCTATCTGATTCCCGATCGACCCCAGACGTGCTGTGCTGGAGCGGGAGTGGGCTTCAGCAACAGCGCACGGCTTCGACAGAAAGAGACACGTCAGATCGGGTTATCCTGCTCACCACGGAATTGGGCGAGAGTATACCGGCCTGCTCATGGTGTCATGGTCCTTGGTCGGGTCCACGGCAAGCAGTGGATACTCACTGCGAAGGGCATACCGAGATAGAGGCCGGGTGATTCTCACTTCTACTCTTGGGAATGCAAGTGGAGGGAGGAAAATGTATGATCAGGCAAACGACAGCCTGCCCTGGTTTTCCCGGCCATATTCAACCCCACGGTTAGCGTTGAAGCCGACTGTTTTACCAGTGCCAATCATTTGTTGACAGCTGTGTCCCTCACTGCAGTCCGTTCTCTGCATGGAAAGCTTGGGGTGTCGAGCAAGGTTCCATCCAGTAGCCAGACAAGGTTTGTCTCCGATGCGCAGCAGTTGAACGGACACAGATGCAATACGCCGCAGCAATTAGTGACGTTGAACATGCTGAAGAAGTTGGTGGGACTCCTGTCATAGACGCGGGGGTCGTTTCCGGATGCCAAGAACGCGCCCCAGAATCAGGTCCCTGGACATGGATTCACTTAAGGGGCGATCGTCCAATCGCGCCGTCGTCATTGCTGGAACTTCCAACTCTTCCATCTCCCCGACGCAACTTGATACTCGGTGTTTCTTTTCAGCCTGGTGCCAATATTGTGCTCAAAAGAAACCCCATCCTGCGGTTCATTTCCCAGGCCTGAGCCCACGCTTGGGCATTTACACCCCAACCGATCCTCGGAGACATCCTGACCGTGATCTTCCCCGCGACGGGATTTGACATATGGCGCTTGGCTAAGCTCCGCTGAGAGCGAACCGCACGAGACTATCGCCAGCTCTCCTGCGCCCAAGAACAGTGCCGACGTCCAAACATTTGCCTGTGGTTGATATCTCCAATCCATTGCGCCCGTAGCGCACGGGAAGTAAACGTCAACGCTTTGGATATTTCCCTCAGCTTATGCACAGATTGCGCCTTCGTTCGAAGCGCTTCCCAGGTTTAGAACCATCACCGACCTGACGATCGCGAGACCTAGATTGTTGTCACTGCACGCCTGTCAACGCAGCCGACCTCAATCACCGTCGCCGCCAACCGCTCGCCATGCCCACGCCCTCCTCCAACGCGTCTGATCCACCTTCACCGCGCTTCTACCCTCTCTCGTCATGTCCCGACCCTGAGGAGCAGCAGCCCACTTCGCAAACGGCCTCAGAAGTCGCGCCGACATCGCCAGAATCGCCATCGCATTCAGTCTGGCGGCGCCCGCTATCTCCGAGCAGCCATCCCGCCGACCGCGGCGCGGGCCCGAACCCGACCGTTACCGACGACTCGCGATCGGCCACCATGTCGCCGGGGCCACAATCGGAGGGCACTGTTGCCGATATGGGACACGAGCCCGACAGAATGGTCGTCTCGCATGACGTCGCCGGGGAGAGACACAAGCCAGCGGATGCGGACGATGACATGAGCGCCGCCAGCGACGAGCACGCGCGGGGTGGCGCTGGGGGCGGGAGTTGCGGGGGAAGCAGAGACGGAATCGCGAGGACGACACTAGGCGGAGCAACGGGCCGGAGGAAGCCGGCGACGGAGCGACTCTCCTCCGTCATGGGGAAGTTGCGCGAGGTCGACGTCTGGAACCCGGCGGAACGGGGCCCGCGGTGGGTGGAGGACAGCGGTCTCGTCGGGCTGGGACTGGAGTATTCGCACATGAGGGTCATGACTCCGGCGCCGTCGCTGTACCTTCAGCCGGGGAGTAAGTTTGCGGGGACACAGCAGTCGGAGCGGCAGCGGTATGATGTTGAGGTCGAGATTAAGCACGTGGACATGCGCGAGTCGTTTCTCTGCGGCTATCTGAAGATTCAAGGTTGGTTTTCGCTCCCGGAGCAAATGGCCCAACAGTCGGAGCTAACCACTCTCGTCCGCCAGGCCTGACCGACGACCACCCGACATTAACAACGTATTTTGAGGGCGAGATTATCGGCACCAAGTACGGCTTCATCACGCAACACCAAGGATGGGGCGCGAGCGAGAAGATTGACCTGTCGCACTGGTCCAAGTTCACCGCCTTCCGGCCGTACCTGAAGCAGGCGCGCAAGGGCGGACACACGGTAATCAAGGATGTCGACCAGAGGGAAAACATTTTTATGCGATGGAAGGAGCACTTCCTTGTTCCAGACCATCGGGTTCGGACGATTAATGGGGCGAGCTTCGAGGGGTTCTACTACATCTGCTTCAACCAGGTCAAGGGGGAGGTGAGCGGTATCTACTTCCACAGCAAGAGCGAGAAGTGAGTGTCTCCAATTTCAGTGACTGGATGTACGAAATATGCTGACTTCGTTGGCTAGGTTTCAACAGCTTGAGCTGAAATATGTGGACAACAAGGGGTGTTTTGGGGCTATGGAGTTTCGATAAACGCAGGGTTTGGACACGTCAGGCATCAGGGTCACACATGCTACACAATCAGGGTGGAAGGTCTATCTGGTTTTACGTTTTGGGAGGTTATCAGCGCTGCATATTGTCTGCTTGGATAACGATCATGCACACCAATCGCAGGCGGGATGGAACACATGGATTTGTTGCGACTGCGTGGAGGTGGAGGTGGAACATCAAGCCCAGGGTACGAGCCACTGATGGGGAGGTTAGCGCAAGACGAGACTGGTGGAGGACGGGGGCGGCGCAAACGCCGGGTTGAATGCGGAGCGTTTTATTGTACATCCGAAACGGGATATGGGTATCTAAGGCGCATCGTTAAATCCTCCATCGACTGGCTCAAATTTGCTGAAGTAGGCCTTGCGGAAGGGATTCAGCTCGTCAGCTGTCTTGCCCACAGGTTTCATCTCCTCTCTCGCCTTCATTGCCTCTTGATCTACTTCTCTGTCAGGGATCCTCCGGTACGTGATGAGGCGGCGGGACCCTGTCTCCCGTCAGCACTGCCCAAGACAATAATGGTATGGACAAGGCAAAGCATACACTTGTTGAAGGTCTGTGTACAAACTGAGACTATTTCGAGATAAGGGTGCTTCGGCACTGGTATCTCCTGGTTCTGGTCGTTGGCGGTAGGCATCCAAAATGATAGCCGCCCATTGTCGACGAGTGTTTGGGCTGAGAACTGCAAGATGCTGTCCAACATGGCAAGGAAGCTGTAGGGCTTCCTTGGCGGGATGAAGTCGGGGTTCCTGAAGAGTACACGGTTAGTTAAGCCTTAGCCTGTCCTCAACCGTGTAACACTCACTTGTACATCTCCTTGCCCTTGGGTATCACCCATGGACACTTCTCCGGATCACGGACCCCCAGTACTCTCAACCCTTCTCTTACCCCATACGGCGGATCACACACAATGCCATCGAATAACCTCCCTGTAACGCCATCTCCGTCATACCTTAACTCTGCCCTCCTAATAGGCGAGTTTGTCAAGTCCGCTGTAAACATTCCCCCTAACCCGGCAAGCAAGCCGTATTGCTCAAAGTTGGCCCTCAAAGTCCTCTTCTTCTCATCCCCCCTGATACTCCTCCCATCAATATCACTCCCAAACGTCAGAGCCCCAAACTGCGCGCACGCAATCGGGAAGCTGCCCGTCCCGACAAATGGGTCATATATGACCTTCCCGGGCACCGCCAGCACCAGGTTGGCCGTCACCAGCGCCAGCTCAGCGTCCATGGACGTCGTGCTAATGTACCGCCTCTTCTTCAAGTCTAGCTTTTTGGGCAGGTCCCGAGCCCCGGACGCCAGGTAGCGCCCAAAGTAGTAGTACTTGGGGTCCGGGATGCCCAGCGGCGTCGAGTTGAACTCCCAGTCCTCAAACAAGATAAACTCCTCGTCCGGGCGGCGCATCTGGATTGGCCCGGCGAAGCCGAGGTAGGCGAACGAGTTGATGATGCGGACCTTGTCCTCGGCGCTGCGCGAGCCCTGGTACGAGTCGATGGTGAATTTGAAGGAACAAATCATGTACCGCGACCAGAGGTGGCGCGTGGTGGCCTGCACGGCGGCGTGCACGGCGGACAGGTCCGGACCGGAGCCCCACAGCTCGTGGATAGACATGGCGAGGATGGAGCGGCGGATTAGGCGGGCTGCGGCGTCGGGTGAGGGAAGGTTGACGACGCAGAAAGGGGACTGACGAGACGCGGGTTAGCAAGGGGGCTGTTGATGTTGACGATATTCAGGGGGTGGGGTAATGGATGGCAGCCAATGGTGGTGATGGCAAAGGGTGCTCTCAACCCTTACGAGTCCAGTTCGAGGGAGCTTACTTCAAGACTGTAGAATATGACCTTCATGTCAATTCCCTCGATTAGGGCCAGGGATTGAATCTCAGGGAGACGGAACGTCTCGTGAGACTGGGAGAAGCGAATGAGATAGTTCATCTTTTCGCGATCAGGGTGTCGAGCCCGGTTGTCCGGTCGTTGTTGTTGAAATCGGAAATTCGGTTATAGTTTCAATGCTAGTCATCTGGTCAATTGCTCGAGTTGGGTTTGTGAGTTCCAAGACACCACTCCTCGTTTGACTCGAATGCAAAAGCTTGAGTTTGGTTGAAAAGGGCAAGTTTGTGCAAGACCTAGGATTACCGGGGCGTGAACTTAGCTACGGATTAGTGGGGTTTCTTTCATTTAAACCAATCATATGTGGACAAATTGCTTGATAGACACCGACCGTGTACTTTCAGATCTTAGAGATTCTGCCTCGCCGAAAAGTTCTGGCCCACTCGGTCAGACTCAATGTTGAGGTTCCTGCAACTAGTACCTGACCTGACACCACAAGAAAGGATAATATTCACCTTGGATCAGGAGTAAAGTAACATGTTGTCCTTCAATCCACCAGCCGTTTACCAAGCCTCAAAGTGCTATGTCACGTACGGGGTCATGAGGCATCTGGACCCAAAACAGGCCCCTTCGAAGTCGAAGCCGTGGGCGACATTTACAAGCCAAGACTTTGTCCACAGAGTACGTTGATGTCTGCGGCTGTATTCCTCAGAGGTCCTGTGGTTAGAAGAGGTTACTGGCTAACCCGCCTCTAGGCTGACTTGATTATACCCCAAGAAGTATTTGAGCTGGTCCAAGAAAAGCTTCTCCAGGAGATGTCGGCCCCTGAATTCAAGAGGGTGGTCATGTCACTGCATAATATTTTGTCTGGGGAGTTCTTCACAGAGTACATCAAGAATGGTGAGAGGGGGGGACCCGTTTGAGCCCGAAAGCCGGAACTCGCTTAACACGTAACAGGCAACATCATGATGCTCTCTGAGGGCAGGAGAGGAATCGACAACGTCTTTGCTTTACGAAACGGCACGCTCACCATGATCCTAGATAAGGAAGCATATGAATGCGCAGGCTTGGTTGGGAAGCCCCATGGCGTAAAGGGGAAACGCGGGCTCAAGCCCTGGTGGAGTGAGTCTCAAGAAACCAACAATTTTGCGTTTTCCTGCTGACATCCATAGTCGTCGAATTTGACCTCACGGCCCCTTCCATGTTTCCAGGAAAGAAGGGGTTTGACCGGCTGATTTACGCGAGCAGAAATGCACTCGCCGAGCCCGTGACATGGCTATTCTGTAACATCGGTTCAACAAGTAAAGAACCCTCGGCCAACGCTGCATTTCTTGACTAACCACAATTGCAGCTCCTGAACCGGATCCGCTGGCGTGCCACTTTCCCACCAAGTACACATCCAGCCCTGGTATACTGCGGGACATCCACGTGGTGATGCCCAAGCTTTCTCCGGACGTCGACTCCCTCTCCTCCAGTGGCAAAGACGACTTCGAGGACTTTTCAACCGGGTTGTACGAGTGGCTATCTCTCGTCCGCCTTCAGAGCCCACGCATCGAGGTGGGGGACAAGATAGACCCGTACCTCTCACGGTACCAAGTCCCGGAAGCCCGGACGGAGAGCAAGATCTGCAAGATCAGCTGGCAAGGCTTCCTTGCACCATGTTGGTCCCGGCAGACCTTGATCAACATCATCACCACGCTCCAGCCCAAGACCTGGTTCTCGTTCAGTACAACCACCTTCTCGAAGGGCCTTGCCGGGGATAACGCCGAGTGCACAATCCTCCGGATGCCCAACCCGACAGGGGAGTACCTCATGTGGGAGGTCATAGGACACGGGTGACACGGCGCCATTTTTTTTTCTATCTCAATATTGCCTCGGCCGTACGCTCCTCTCTTCGCTGAACTCCTCCCCGCGTATCGCGTCCTCAACCAACCGCCGCAACTCTGCCTGGCCCTCGGGTGTCTGGAAATCCTGCCTGGCAGCAAGCTCCTCGATCCTCCTGCGGAATTCGGGATCCGGCTGCTGCCCTTGCGTCTCGGCCACATCCATTGTGCCCACTGTCACTTGCAAGCCTCCCGGGATCGGGGGCAGTTCCATTCCGTTCGGTGCCTTGCCATTGGCGGCTGACGACCCGGCGTCGATACTCCGAAGATACTCAGCCACCGCTGGAAACTCAGCTTCAGCCTCAATCTTCTCCCTTGCTGTCTGGCCCTCCTCGTTCTGAATCTTGCCGTCTAACCCCAGCTCGTCGACCAGCACGCGGGCGGCGTCGACAGATTCAACGACGAATAATGCCGTCTCGCCGTCTTCGTCCTTGAGGTCGACTGGCACCTTGAATTCGCGGACCAGAGCGCGGAGGAGGTCCAGGTGGTTGTAGCTGGCGGCGGCATGAATGAGGGAGTAACCGTGTTCGTCTTGGGCCGACGCTAAGGAGGGGTCTTCGCGGAGGAGAGAAATGAGAGCTTGCGGGTTGTCGGCTGCGAGGAGGTAGGGGTTGGGTGCCATGTTGAAGTGTCGCGCTGACTCGGTCCAAATTCCTGGTACTGGGGTGGATGTATTGCTGATAGAATATCTTTGGTTGAGGACGACGACTGGGTGCGGAACCTCCACGGCGCTGATCGTGACGGTTACAGGTCCCGAGCCAGCGAAACTTTTGGTGGGGTCAAAGACATGGCGGGGTTGATTCGGGGAGCTTGGACCTTCCAGGTTGCTGTTGGTTGTTGTGGGGCGGTGCCCCTGGCAGCGGCTGTTGGCTCCAAGTCAGTCTCCATTGATGAAGCATTGCAGTAACCAACTGGGAATGTGACTCTTCGGCGAGGTTAGAATTGAGAAGCGTCCCTGAGCGTCTTGAGCAGGTGCTTTAACTTCTTCTGCATCATTTCCAATTTGCGCCACGCTGAGGACAACGTTTGACTCATACGGTAACCTTAAGGTACCTAGGACTTGTCTGAGCAGCACCTGCTCTTTCTTGTTGGGGGTTCAGCTTCCTTGTCACAATTCTCGATGAGCCAAGCAGTGCATCTATGTTTAAAAGCATCCAAACTCCAGCTTCTAGGGCTGCCCTCACATCTCGTGGTCGACTCAGTTCACCAGCAGTGGCAACCAAGCAATCCGTTCTCCCTTACCAATTGGGTTTCATCCATCCACCGCATCGCAACTGGGCTGCCTTTGGTACAAACCGCCTTGCATCACAATCGGAGGCTTCTGGACGCCGTATCCACCACAAAGCAAGCTTCGCCCCTCACCCAACCGTCCCTGCTCACTTTCGCCCAATCTCCACCACAAGTTCGCTGCTCACCAACAAGATGGAGGGCACTGTCGAGACGTTGGATAATGCGCTGTCGTCGAAGTACAAGGCCTCGACGGATTATGCCAAGCTTGCTGCAGGAATGAAGGTTCCTTATCTCAGCCAAGATCCGCATGAAACCTCTACTGTGATCAACGGCCTCGAGGAATGCAGCAAGAGGGGCAAGGGCCGCGGTGGGTTCAGTGCGAAGAAGACGAAGTACGCCGTTGCCTCGTCCCCAACAGGCATCATAGTCGACTCGTGGCGGTTTCAGGAGCACGACTACAAGCGCCGGGACCTGCCCACCTATGCCCGCGGCCTGTTCACCACGAGGACCAAGCAAGGCGTTCCCGAGATCGCCGTTCGTGGTTACGACAAGTTCTTCAACATCGGCGAAGTGCGCGAGACCTCGTGGGACCACATTTTCGAGCGGACAAAGGGCCCTTATGAGCTCAGCCTGAAGGAAAACGGCTGCATCATCTTCATCAGCGGCCTCGAGGATGACACACTACTCGTCTGCAGTAAGCACTCGACAGGAGACCGCTCCGACGTCGCCGTCAGCCATGCCAACGTGGGAGAGCGACACCTCGAGCGGCAGCTTCAGCGTATCGGCAAGACCAAGCAGGACTTGGCCCGGGAACTGAGGAAGCGGAACGCGACTGCCGTCGCCGAGCTCTGCGATGACAGCTTCGAGGAGCACATTCTAGCCTACGGCCCGGATAAGGCCGGGCTTTACCTCCACGGGATCAACATTAACATCCCTGGCTTCATGACATATCCTTCCCCTCTCGTTCAGAAGTTCGCCGACGACTGGGGCTTCATCAAGACGGGCCTGATCATAATAGACGACGTTCAAACTGTCAAGGCCTTCCTGGAGGAGGTAGCAGAGACAGGTGCCCATGATGGCCGGGATGTTGAAGGCTTTGTCATTCGCTGCAAGATGACTACCAACCCGGGCGTGGCCCCGTATCAAGACTGGTTCTTCAAGTACAAGTTTGAGGAGCCGTACTTGATGTATCGTCAGTGGCGAGAGGCAACCAAGGCGCTCATCGGGGGCAAGCAGTTCAAGCTCAGGAAACACGTCAAGATCACCGAGGAGTACCTGCTTTACGTCCGAAAACGTCTTGCCGCCGACCGAACCTTGGGCAAGGCCTATCTGCAAAACCACGGCATCATCAAGTTGCGCAATGACTTCTTGGAGTACAAGAACCTGAGGGGATCTGATGCTGCCAATTTGGAAGACCTTGACGGTGGGGCTTCCAGCGTCGATCGCGATATCATTCTGGTGCCTATTGCCACAATCGGCTGTGGCAAGACCACCATCGGGCTTGCACTTAGCAGCTTATTTGGCTGGGGTCATATTCAGAACGACAACATTACTGGCCCCAAGCGGCCCCCGCGTTTTACCAGGGCACTCTTGGACGAGTTGGACGAACATGCAGCCGTATTTGCCGACCGCAACAATGCCATGAAACACGAGAGGAAGCAGCTGATTAACGATGTCAAGATGCAGCATGCGACGGCCAGACTGGTCGCCCTGAACTTCGTCCATAATGACATCGACAAGATTCGACAGGTAACCCAAGACCGGGTGCTGGCCCGTGGTGACAACCATCAGACCATCCAGGCCGCCACAGATATGGGCAAGGTTGTTGGCATCATGGAGGGCTTCATCAAACGGTTTGAGCATTGCGATATCGAGAAGGAGCCCGACGCCGGTTTCGATGCTGTCATCGACCTTGATCCCACTGCAGGCAGCCGAGAGAATTTGGAGATTGTCGTCAAGGAGCTACATCGCCAATATCCCAATTTCGTCAAAGAGATACCCTCCGCTGAGGACATGGACAAGGCCATTCAAGCGGCTCTCGATGGCTACAAGCCCGACATGCGGCACATCATCCCCGATCGCTCGCGAAACGACAGCAAAAAGAACAACAAGCAGCAGCAGCAAGCCGCAGAAAAGCCACAAAAGAAGAAACCGCTCGAATACATGTCGGTCGACCTCACCACCAACGACATACTCGCCGCCCTCGAGAAGACCTTCTCCCCCAATCTTTCCGCATCCCAAACCCGCTTCTTCAAACAACTCCAGGGTGCCCGCCGCGTCCAGCCCAAATTTCACGTCACGCTCATGCACCGCGCCTCGGCCAAGGAGCACCCAGAACTCTGGAAGCGGTACATGTTCCTCCAGGAAACCGACGGCGCGATCCACCCGGACGGCAAGCTGGGCGAGCTGCAGGTCCAGCTGGAGCGCGTGGTGTTTGACGACCGCATCATGGCCATCGTCGTGCGCCTCGTGCCCACCAGTCCAGAGGACGAGAACATTAACGCCGGCGACGTGTCCCTCCCCGCCAAGCCCAAGTGGGAGTGCGTTAACCGGGTGGCTCATGTCACGGTGGGGACGCGGGACGATGGCGTCAAGCCCAAAGAGAGCAATGACCTGCTCGCGCGGTGGTTGAAGGATGGCAGTGGGGAGAAAACGGGGATTGGGGAGCTGCTGATTGAGGGGAAGCCGATGGTCAAGGGGATCGTCAGGGGTGTGCTGTCAAAGTAGGATGATGGAGGACACTCGCGGCGCAGGAGACAGCACCAGAGAGCTAAGAAGAAGGGTAACGGCTGTGTGAGACGCCGGGGAGAAGAGAGTGTCAGGGATGCGCCAACTGAGAAGGAAAAGGGCGTAAAGAAGAGTTAGCTGAGAGTCATCTTCAAGGTCATCCCAACTCAAATGCCCTGGTTATCCCTACTCACTCAAATATGTATTCAAATACAACTCGGGTCCGGCTTAAAAGCTCTAGCCACGCAGATCATGATCAAGAATTAGGAACGCCCTCGCCGTATTGCTGCTGATCCTCCCCTACCTCTAACCGCCATCGCCATGAGCCGCAACATCTGTCTAAGCGATCAAGCAGCCACTCCCCAGCTAAATCTCAGTGAACCCATTTGTCACCTTCACAAACTTCGCCCACTGCCTCGCCGCCTCGCCACTCTTGATCGCCCAGCGTGCCCTCCTTACACCCTCCTTCCACCGTCCTCCGCCCGGCCCACGCTCCTTGATGACAACCCCATCATCACCATACCCCAAACTACTCGTGTCAGCCTCGCATATCCCCGACAAGACGAACAGCGCGGCCGTGTTAATCAGCACAAAGTGCAGAATCGGATCGTCCTCGGGCATCTCGCCGTCCAAGATCCGCCGCAGGATACCCGCGTTCTCGGTGGGCTCCTTGCCCGGCGATACCTCGGAGAGCGGGTGCGCCGGCAGGCCAAAGTCGCGCGGGTGCAGGCGAAAGTGCTCCGTCACTACGGCGGCGGTGCCCGGCTCGGCGGACGGGTCGTCGTCCGCCGGCCGGATCCGCCAGCACAGCGTGTCGCCCGCACAGCTGATCTCGTCTAGCTCCTCGTCGCCGCAGACCACCATCGCCTTGCGCGCGCCGGCGAGCTGCAGGGCGTGCGCGAAGACGGGGCCGATGTCCTTGCGCGCTACGCCGATCATGCGCGCTTCGAGGAGCGGGCCGGTGGTGCTGGTGGAGGTGGGGTTGAGGTCGGTTGGGTTGGCGAGCGGCCCGACGAGGTTGAAGATTGTTCGCCAGGGCAGCTGTTTCCGGATCGGAGCCACGTAGCGCATGCCCGGGTGGAATACGGGGGCGAACAGGAAGCCATAGTTGGTGTTGCTGTAGAGCGAGGCAATGGTGTCCGGGCGGATGCGCGCTATTTGGGGCGCCTGCGGCTGCATGCAGGCCAGGAGGTCGGCCGAGCCGGATTTGGAGGTGGATGCTCGGTTGCCGTGCTTGGCGATGAGGAGGAGGCTGGAGGCGAGGATCGAGGCGGTCGTGCTGATGTTGAAGGTGTTGTGCGAATCGCCTCCTGTGCCCACAATGTCGACCTTTAAGAATGGTTAGCCACGTCCAGCAAAAGAGCCAGCAGGGAAGAGCTCACCAATCCACCCCGGTATTCCCCTTCCTTTCTGCGCCTTCCGTCGATGACTGCACGAAGAGCCGGCTCATCAATCTTCGCCGCAGCCTTGAGCATGCACTCTGCTGTCTTGGCCAGCACCTCTGCCTGCCGGTCTAGGCCGGTGAAATGGAGGGTCATCAGCAAGGCGCCGGCGTGGACTTCCGAGACCTGGTTCGTAAAGAAGTACGAGATAGCCTCAGCGATCTCGTCTGGCGAGACAGTGTCTGGGTGTCCGACGGGCCAGAGCCTTGCGAGCAATGGCTTGATGTCGATGAGGCGGAGCTCGCCGGCCGAGGCACCATCCCCGGCTGCTGTCGCCATGATGTGTGTTGAGAGTCCCGGAGAAGGGCTTGGACTATGGGAGGCAATTCGACAATGGGTGACAGCCAGATCCTTAAGTGATTGAAAGATGCCAGTCACATGGCAACAGCGTTGAGATACGAAGCGAACGTGGGTGGTACTGGGATTGACTCATTTCGGATCCGAGGACAAAGAACTCAAGTTGCAGCAGCTCTTTGAGGTGCATGCAGCCAGAAATGCCCCGCGACGAGACCGGAGATGTTAGCGGGGTCTTTCAGGGATCAGCAGTCAACGCCAAGCCTGGTAAGTTAATCCGTACACTATACGGTATTAGGGTCTCTTGGCAAAGTAGGCTTCTGCGCCGTACCGAACTGTCCTACCAGATAGGGTAGGGTATCGAGAATCGCGCTTGGCGCATGCGTAGCAGGGTGCTTGAAACATCAGCGGGCACTAGCGTTGAATATCGGTTCATACTATTACGCTTCTGGAAAGACAGCCATTGAGTGATGGAGTTGCGTGTTGACCTTCAATTTCGCACGACTTACACGAAGCAGGTGGGCCGTACGGCAGGTATAATATGCATGTGATCTTGTCTGCTCGCCATGTTGGTTTCGTTGGGCATTCGTAACTCTCATTCACACATTCTCTGCTCTCATATCGACTGCCTTTTCAATATCCTCTCTTTTTCTCCCGTTGAACACCTCGAGCGGAATCCTCGGCTGGTCTGAGTGGACGCTCTTTACCTTCTCGCACATTTTACAGGACCTGAGTCGTCCCCTAAACAGCTCGTCAACCGGCTTTATAACATGCGTTTCGAGATCATTGCACTTCTGGCGGTAGCCGCCACTACCTCGGCTCAGTCGGTCGTCGGTACAGCCTACGGTTACGGTGCCGGTGCGACTGGCGGAGGAGACGCCGCCCCTGTCACCCCGGCCTCAAATGAGGAACTCGAGCAGTACCTCGCCGATGACACCAAGCGCGTTATTCTGCTCAATCGAGAGTTCGACTTCACCGGCAAGACCGCGTCCGGTGCTGGCTGCGACAAGACCACCTGCTCCGCCAATAGCGGCGGTGGACAGTACTACTTGGGCGACCTCTCCTGCGGCGGCTCCGACATGACACGCGTCAGCTCCATCACCTACGACGCAGCTGGTATCACCCCGCTCAAAGTCGGATCTAACAAGTCCATCCTCGGTGTTGGCGGGAAGGGCGTGATCAAGGGCAAAGGGCTTTCCATCGCCAAAGGTGCCAGCAACGTCATCATTCAGGGTGTCGAGTTCACAACAATCAACCCCGGCATCGTCTGGGGAGGTGACGCTCTCGACATGCAGGGAGGAAACACCAAGATCTGGGTCGACCACTGCAAGTTCTCGCTCGTCGGTCGCATGTTCGTTGTCAGCCACTACGACGGCGCCGAGGCCACTCTTTCCAACAACGAATTTGATGGCGTCACCGACACCTCGGCTACTTGCAACGGCAACCACTACTGGACAATGATGATGATTGGGAAGACCGACAAGTTCACCCTTGACAAGAACTACTTCCACCACGTTTCCGGTCGCGCCCCCAAGCTCGGTCAGGACGGTGTCAACAGCTACTTCCACGCAGTAAACAACTTATTTGAAGAGATGAAGGGCCACGCTTTCGACGCTTATACTGGTGTCCGCGCACTTGTCGAGGGTAACGCATTTGTTGCTGTTAACCAGCCCAGCACCGAGCACGCTGCTGGTATCAACACCTTCGTCAGCAAGGGTGGTAACGCCTGCTCGTCTGTGTTTGGCCGTGCTTGTCTTGAGAACAGTGTCGACTCTTCTAGCGGCAAGCTGTCCTCGGGTTATTCCTCTGGCTTCATTGCTCAGCTTGGAAAGATTGACGTTCCTAAGCCTATCGAGGCTAGTAAGGTCGCCGCCTACGTCAAGGCCAACGCAGGTCCGGCAAACCTCGGTGCTTCTTCTTCACCTGCTCCTGCTGCTACCGCCACCACTGCTGCTGCTGCTACGCCAGCACCTGCTGCTCCCATAGGGTCTGGTTTTGCCGCCGGTACTGCCAAGCTCTACGCTCAGTGCGGTGGTCAAGGCTTCAATGGTCCTGCCAGGTGCGAGGCCCCTGCTACGTGTGTCAAGATGAACGAGTGGTACTCTCAGTGCATCAACAGCTCTTCCAAGTTCCGCCGCGCGCTGGGCCACTACTGAGCCTGAGATTTTGTGGTAACTTTACGAAACCTGCAAGTGTTGTGGAGGCACTATGAGGTCTGTTCCTATGTAAATACTACACTTTCGATTCGAAGCATCTAATGTACATAAAAACTGAATATTAATGTGCTATAGCCAAGCTATTGACATGTCTAATCCTTTCCACTACCGCAGCGTTTAAGGGATTGGGGTTTATGGCCGAATGCACCATGGCTTGCCACAATGGTTGAGCTTGCTCAATTCTAGTCAAAGACAAGTCTTCTCCCATTTTTGTACTCCCAAACTAGGTATTTTATCCGTAGAATACCTTTAACTATGGATAAGGTAGTAGGAAAACGTAAACACAAATGGCCAAACTTAAACCTGAACATCCTGTCAAATTAGGTCTAGCGGCCATTTCGAAACTGTTCAAAATTCCTGTGACCGATTTTCAATCTCGGCTTTCAAGGGCTGCCCCCAACCCTGGCCCGAAACCATGCATCCGATGATTGGCGACGCCAAAATTTCGGTTCCTGCGTCGCGAACATCAGGTGAAGCCAGCAAGCAAGCTGCGGTTGGGTCAGGTCGGTACACTCCACGGTTGTCCAATTGCTTCCACATCTGACAGGTGTCACCTCAGCATGCCTTCGAGACTACGATGCGCGGCCCCTCGTGGCCTGAGTTGCGCCGTGAACCATGCGAGGATACCGAATCGATCCGCCGTTCTCCTCCTTCCTTCAGCACCCGCAGCGATAGCTGCCTCCAGACAGTACGCTACAGCGGCCGCCGCCGTATCCAAATCGTCGAGCTTCAGACTGCCCGACGACTATGTCCCGCCGACCAAACCTCCTACAGCCCGTCCGGCCGACACGCGAAAGTCGCAGCTCCTCCGAACCTACACCTCCCTTCTCCGCTCGACGCCTCTGATTCTGATCTTCCAACATAACAACCTCACAGCAGTAGAATGGGCCGCCGTCAGACGGGAACTTAGGCTTGCCCTCGGCAGCATTGCCAGCGAGAGGACAAATTCGGCCGAGGTTGCGTCGAGAGCCCAGTTGCAGGTGATCCGGACACGCATCTTCGACGTCGCGCTCAAGATTGTCGAGTTCCACGACCCTTCCAAGGTCGGCCCCACCACCGTATCCGCGCTCACAGGAGAGAAGGTTCAAGTGGTCTACAACCACGACCTGTCTAAGGCCGCCTACAAGGCTGTCCAGGCTGCCACGAAGGCCGATGAGCCATTACCCGAGTCGTCCGCCTACGCCCAGATCTCGCCCCTGCTCGTCGGGCCGCTGGCGATTCTAACCCTTCCCGCCGTGTCGCCGGCGCATCTGGCCGCCGCGCTGAGCATCCTGGCCCCAAGCCCGCCTGCGTTCCCTGCGCCGAGCAAGAAGAAGAGCCCTGGTTACCACGACCCTATTGCGCAGAGCGGCCTTCAAAAGCTTATGCTGATTGGTGGGCGGATCGAGGACAAGGTTTTCGACCTCGAGGGCGTCAAGTGGGTGGGCGGCATCGAGGGCGGCCTGGACGCGCTCCGCGCCCAGCTGGTCTACATGCTCCAGAGCGCCGGGCTCGGCCTCACGACTGCGCTCGAGGGTGCGAGCAAGAGCCTGTGGCTCACCCTGGAGAGCCGGCGGAGCGTCTTGGAAGAAGAGCAGAATGGCGGAAAGGAGGGGGAGAAGAAGGAGGAGAGCTCGTGAGGCGAGGTTGTTGGAGATTGTTGGATCTGTGTTTCTACCCGCCGCATGTAGCTTGGTATTCGGCTATGTCGCAATGCAGCAGCTGCGATACCTTGATTTGTAAAGTATACTGTATCAAATACCAATGGCAGGGATTGCTTGGTTGAGGAAACAGGAAGCGTGAACCTAGTCGTTCCAGGTTGTCGGCGAGACCAGACTTTAAGCCGAAAACTGCTTCGGATTAGTAACCTGACCGAACCCTCAGCTTGTCCCTCCATCTGCTGAGCTAACAAAGTCCTGGAAGCATGTAGATCTGGCTATAGTACACATATATACAAGGGCCGTGTGGCTTAGATCGTTGTAGGTTATATCTGTGATCCACTCTCGATTAACACGACTCGGTTCGCGCCTCGGGTGGGCAAGTCGTCATCCCGGGAAGCAGCACCACTGTCCGAAGCCTTCAGACGACGGCGAGCAGGCCGGTCTCCCAGTGACGTGATATGGGCTGCTTACCCGGCCGAGTCACTTGAACCCACGCCTTGGACATGGCCAAGCAAATATCTCTCGCCAAGCCATGTCCTCCCTCATTTCACTGTCCTGTTGCGCTGTGCCAGAGCAGGACAGCACCCCAAACTTAGCCGTCCAGCAAGCCGACAGCCCAGTGCACTACCCGGTCAACCCCCTGCCCCTTGATCGCACTGACAGGAATAGCCGTACAATCCTTTGTCCACGCCCCTTCCACACCACTTGGATGCGGCTCCTTCCGCCTGTTGATAGCGTCGAGATACTCCCTCAACTCGTTGAAATTCTCCTGCGTGCCCGGCAGGTCGCCCTTAGTGGCCACGACAAACCACGGCTTGCCGGCAATGTGCAGCCCCCCGGCATTTGCGACAGGCGCGCCGTGGTCGCCCGCCATGTTGCTCGGCCAAAACGTTGCGTCCTCGGCGTCGGTCCCCGCGGCAGCGCTCCAATCGATGGCGGCCTGGCGCTGCCGCTCGCGCTCCTCGTCCTCGCGCATCTGGGCGTACAGGCCGACCTCGTGCCACAGCGCCTTGAGCGCCTTCACGGCGTTCCCGGCGCCGAGGTCGAGCACAAAGGCGAGCACTCCCGCGCGCTCGACATGCCGGAGAAAGGCGATGCCCAGGCCCTTGTCGAGGTGCGCGCCTTCGATCAGGCCGGGAATGTCGGCGATGGTGAACCTCGTACGGCGCTCCAGCTCCGGCTGCTGCGGGGAGACGTTGAAGGGGTAGTTTTGTGAGGGATGGGCGTCTGAGACACGGTGGTAACTGGTGAGCATCGGCCGGCCCTTGTTATCGTCGAGCACAACCGTGCCAATGTTTGGTTGGAGCGTGGTAAAGGCCCAGTTGCCTATGCGGGTGCGGCTATTGCTGATGGAGCGGAGAAGCGTACTCTTGCCGGCATTGGGCAAACCGACCAGACCGACGTCGGCGAGGAGCTTGAGTTCCAGCTCAATCTCCATGGACACGGCATCCTCCCCCTTGGTGGCAAACATGGGCTTTGGTGTGCCCTTGCTGACAAAGTGTGGATTCCCCAGTCCGCCGAGTCCTCCGACTGCAAGCAGTATCGGTCGTGGCGTGGGCCGTGATAGGTCCAAGTGTACTGGCTCCTTGGGCTGCTGAAGCAAGCGGTCACGGTTCGGTAGCGGAGGCAGGGCCATTCTCCTCTTGTCCGAGGAAGACATGCCAGGGTACAGCAGCCACTTGTCGCGATCGGCGTCTTCGACCGGCTCTCCGTCTGGCCCTTCTTCGATCGCCAGTGTCTGTGCCTTCTTCCGCCTCCGGTCCCGCCGGCTTAGAAATCGATTTTCAGCTTCTGGGTCGTTCCGGCTCAGCTCGCGCACCACGGTCCCGACCGGGACGGCGATGACGACGTCCTCGCCACGCTGTCCTCCCCTGGAACTACCCTGGCCACTCTTTCCCTTGCCCGCACGCACAATCTTCCTCCGTGCCAGCTTGTAAAGCGAGGTTTCGCCATGTACGGCCTGGATGTAGACGTTTCCGCCGTGGCCCCCGTCGCCGCCGTTCGCAGGCCCGTCCTCCATGAAAGCCTCTCGCAGGAACGAGATGCAGCCGTGGCCGCCAGCGCCGGCGTGGATAGTAAGCTTGGCCTTGTCGGCAAAGTAAGACATGGAGTAGTCGTCGGGGGCCGGATTCAGGTGGGAAGAAATCGGAGCGGATTCATCCTTCGGCGTCGAGGCCTCGGTGCTGCTCCGTCGCGTGCATCGCGTGCTGCTGATGGCTGCGGCCAGGCTCGGGCGAGAGATGCCATTGGGTGCGAATAGTGACGGGTAGAGAAAGTGTAGAAACAGGCGCGGACTGCGAGGGCAGCAGCCGGCCATGATGGGCCAAATGTGCGCCGATGATGGCTAAGACTTGCCAGTCTTGCTTGTTCATCAATCCATCATTGAGTTGAAGCAGAGAGTTAATTTGAGCAGGGGTCTACGATAAGATAAGGTAACAGCGCTAACGCTACTCCAGTGACCCCACAATCTGAGCTGCTTCCGAAGCCAACCTAAACTTTTGGGAATTAGGAACAACCTCTCGATGAGATGATTTAAAGAGATCCGTTTGATCTTAACAAGCATCTCATGGCATTCTTTCCAGATTTCCATGTCTCCCAACTTGTACCTCTCGATTCGTCGGGGCTGGCCCTCGCCGTTACGATGGTTAGGTAACCAAACATGCGGTCAGCAGCCGAAATGAGTTCGCCTCCGAAGCAACCCAGCCGGCGTCAAGCCGAGATTCGAGAGACGCCAGAACACCACTGGAACGAACAGGTACGTTTATTTCCAGGTTCTGGACCAATTGAGTTCACCTTGACAGTTTCGAGACATGTACGGACGTACCTATTTTCTCATACAGTCTTGCTCCCAGCTTTGGAATGGGCCTATCTGTACCTCAGATTCTCGCTTCTTCGCTCGTGATCTCCTCACCTAGGCCGTCTCCACAAACCTGACCGCGGATCTTGCTCCTCCCTGTCACCAACCCCTCCGCGCGACGGTCTCTGCTGCTGTTCTCTTCTCTCCCCCATCTCTATCACAGAGGACGACGTATCGTTCAACAGCCACCTGACATCAACTGCAGCTGCAATTAATACCCTTGGACGCCGCGGGTGGTGACAAGGGAAACAAATCCAGCCAGTTGAGGGTTCATTGGGCGACCCCGCCGAACCCAGCGCGTCGTGGGACTGGCTGAAAAGCAAGCATTGGGCCGCTGCATGCTGCAGACCACTGCTGCCAAAGGCCTGCTGCATTCGAGCCACGACACAGATTCCAGTCTAAACGTGGTTAAGCCCGCCTTGGTTTGTGCGAGCGCCCCAGCCCTCGCTGGCCGTCGCCCAACTTCATCGACACCTCGTCCTGCGACCTCTTGCTCTGTCTTGCTTCGTCCTGCTGCACCTTCGCTCGCTCTCCGCCAAAGAGAGCCGCCCGCTACCCACCTAGATCGCTCTTCCATCACTGCCGTCTGGCTTTGCTGCTGCTCCTGGTGTTGTCCACGGCATCTAGCACGCGACGCACGAACTGCAGCAACTCGGCCTTGTTCCTTCCCTCTCATCTTACCTCTGACGCCCTACGCCCGCGCTGTTCGACTCCCGTCTCCCTCTTGCGCTGCTCTCCAGCCCAGGTCAGTACATCTGTCGTCCATCAGCCCATCCACGCTCTGTCCCACCTATCCTCGTCCTGCCCACTGTGCGTGGGCTGCGTGTTCCCTATCTTTTGGCTCTCGCTCCTCCCACATCACCTCTCCTGCTTCCGTCCTCTCCCATTGTTTCGTCTATTTCCTCTTATTCTGGGCAGGACTTTGGAATCCGCTGGGCATGACCCGCGGCCATGACCACCTTACGCATGTTAGCGTTTTCTGTATCCCTAGGTTGAGCCTTGGTGGTGTTCTTCTCATATGACCCGAGATATTCCGGACGAACAAACACAAGCGCTAAAAAGATGTATACCAGAGACTATAATCCGAAGCCCCGGAAAGGCGTTGTCAGGATGGACCCTGACTGTGCCATATGCCATGCCCCGGCCTCCCTCGCTTGCGAGTGCGAAGCGAAGAGCCTGGAGGTGGCCGTCCGCCAAGCCGAGAGTCGTATGATGCAGTCAATATTGAATGATATACGGTGAGCAAACCCGGCGTACACGACACACGGCCGCTTTCACTGACCTTTCCTTAAGCTCATGGGTTCGAGCTCACGCACAGGACTACATCCTTGAGTACTTTCGACTCCTGACTGAGCGACGCAAGGCGGCTCACGCCCAGCATCTGGACCGGCTCTCAGCCCACTCGTACCACTACTACCATGCACCACCGCATCCCAATGAGATTGCTGCCGCCCAGGCGCAACTGAAGCGAGGCATTGACGAAGATTGGCAAGCATCCGTCCAACGGTACCCCGAGGTGCTCGAGTACTTCTACAGCTTGGTCGAATTGAGCTTGCCCGACGACAACGAGCCTGCCGTCAAGGACCCCCCCCTCAGCGCCCTCAGCGGACCCCGCAACAAGCCAGCGCGCCGTCCCGGTGCCGCCACTACTGTGGCCAGCGGGCCCAGCCTCGCCACGCATGAGCGAGACTTGCCCCTGCCTCGAGGCCGAACACCACCACCACTCGAGCCTCCGCGGGAAAGGAGGACACCCGGGCCGCGGGACCGGAGACAGTCCTACAGGGGAGTGCCGCCACCGCCGCCATCCTACTATCCCCCGCCTTACTGACGGTCTTACCACTTTCGCTACTGCGGACTGAGGAGAACCTGTCCGGGGCTGGTCTGTCGGCCGAGTCTCGCTTGCTTTTGGGACCATGATATTCGTCTCCGTTTCCGTCGGTCGCGCCTTTCTATTTCTAACACGATCATGAGTCTGACGAGGTCTGACGAGTCTTGGGTTTTCTTACTGCTACGTTCCATGAAACAAATTGCATAGCCTCGTGTGCTTATACCGGATGGCATTTTGGGAATTTGTTACATTTGTTTATACGGATTCAACTGGCTTTGGCTGGCCGTGTACCTGGCCGTGTACACTGGCCAGGATGCACTCTCTTAGACTTTTTGTTTCGGGACCGGATCACGGCACGGACGTTTGGGAGTTTTTGGATACATTTTCCTCCTCTTCTTATTGATGTCTACCTCGTCAAGCCTGGGTGGTTAATGTGTGCTCTAGGGGCTCCGGGCTCCTTTGGTACACCGACACAGACCCGCCAGCTTCGGCCCAGCTGACAGAAAGCCGGGCTAGACAGGCGAAACATGGGCACCCATCGCTCCATCTGGTGCCGCTAAACCAGCGTGCATTTTCCCGTATCCCGCTCGTGCCAGTGGCTGAGGGTAAGAGATGCTATTGGTGTCCCTCTCGTTCAAAAGGGGCGAGAATATGCGGTAGTTGGGTGGCCTGGCACATTGCTGCATGAGTTTCCTGCGGGGCAATTAACTTGGGTGACGAATTATGCATAGGCTGAGGTGGGAGGGAAAAGGGATAAAAGACCAAATGAGCCCAGGTTTTACAGTTTGGCTTTGTTCTCAAGTAGCTCTGTGTAACTAATGTCTGGCATTTGCCTTGAATTAATTAACACAATGCTTCTATCTTCCGTCCTAGCACCCAACGTCCTTTGGGCGGCTGCGACCCTTGGAGCACTCGTGCTTGCCAGGGTCGTGTATAAAGTGCTCTTATCACCCCTGCGGCAGTTTCCCGGCCCCTTTCTCGCAAAGTTCACCGACTTGTACCGCGCTGGAGTAACCCTCACCGGCCGGTTCGACATTCGGAATCGTGCATGGCATCAACAATGGGGCTCGGCCGTCCGTGTTGGGCCCAATACCATCAGCATCAGCGAGCCGAATCTCATCAATGTCATTTACGCCACGAAGAATGCCTGGCTCAAGGTAGGCAGGGCTCTATCTATCGTATCCCGCTCCCAAGTCGTCGGTTTCCAGTCGAGTCCGGTGCAATGCCGATACCACAGGTCTCCAGCTTCTCGAAAGAGATGAGGGACATCATAGCTTCATGAGATCTAACAGCACACATGAATACCGTTTATTAGACCGACATGTACCAGCCGAATGACATGGCCGTTAACGGCCAGCGTATCCAAAACATATTCAACACGCGGGACAAGGCGTTTCACGCCAAGTACAAAACGCCTATTGCCGGCTTCTGGAGTCAGACCAAGATCCTCGAGCTCGAGCCTCTCATGGACGAGACGCTGCGCCTGCTCGTGGACACGCTGGGCGAGCGTTTTGCCGGTACCGGCGCCGTATGCCCGGTGGACGACTGGGTGGCGTACTACGCCTGGGACGCCGTGGCGAACGTCAGCTTTGGCCGGCATTACGGCTTCATCGAACAGGGCAGTGACGTCGAGAGCATGATCGCCGAGTCCACGGCGGGACTTTTTTACTTTGCGCGCGTGTCACAGGTTCCCTGGGTCGACGAATGGCTCGACAAGAATCCCGTCATGCGCATCGGCCCGCGTCCGTTGGTCAACGGTTTCCTCTACAGCGTCAAGATCGTCACCGAGTACCAGCAGCATCTGGCGGCGGCGGGCCGCACAGTCGAGCAGAAGCCAGCCGAGCACTTCCTCGACAAGTACCACAGGCTCAAGGAGAGCATCGACTTTGTGGACGACAACCAGGTCATTCGCTGGCTGATGCTCAACATCCTCGCCGGCGGCGACTCGACTGCCGGCGCCATGCGCGCTGTCTTTTACTACCTCGGCCGCAACCCGTGTGTCCAGGCCAGGTTAGTCGCCGAGCTCGACGGCGCCAACGTGACGGTCCCGGCCCAGCACAGGGACATCAGGCATCTGCGATACCTGGACGCCGTCATTTGGGAGTCGCTGCGCATCTGCCCGGGCGTGGGTCTCATCCTCGAGCGCGAGGTCCCCGCCGGCGGTCTCCAGCTGCCTGACGGGCGTCTCATCCCGGCTGGCATTAAGGTGGGCATCAACCCGTGCGTCGTGACGCGCGACACCGGTGTCTACGGGGGGGACGCGGACGAGTTCCGGCCGGAGCGGTGGCTGCGTCGTGACGGCGAGAGCGAGCATGACTACCTCCGTCGACACCGCCGCATGTCCGAGGCAACTGACTTCACGTTCGGCGCGGGCAGTCGAGTGTGCCTGGGCAAACATCTTGCCAAGACGGAGATGTACAAGTTGGTTGCGACCTTGTATCGTGCCTTTGATATCAGGCTTTTGCGGACGGATCATGAGTGGAAGTATTGCAACTCGTGGTTCATGTACCAGACTGACATTCCCATGGTTATAAAACGCCGTGGAAAAGCATGAGGACACGGCAGCCGGTTTTGATTCCAGTCCGCCGCGCTGCCGGACCGATCATTTCCTTCTGTTTCTAAGCTCATGATAGCGTCTGCGGGTTTCATGGAATAGCACGACGAACATCAGGCTTGTTCAAAATATTCATTGTTGGTACGAGCCTCTTGTGGGCTCGTGCTGCTGCAGTTCGGCGCATAGTTGTATCTTGCTCTCAACGCGGAAGAAAGAGAAACCTGGCTGGCTAGCTGCCGCCTTGATGACTGGAGAGTAACCGACTGACCGTACAGTCCGTAGCTATACTACGACATGAGATCAGCGAAGACAACGCCGCAAAGGTGACACATCCGCCGACAGACGACTGGAACAGCTGGCACTTACCCAGCTCCACGACGACCCAACAGCGTCTCATCCACTCAAGACATCCAATAGGCAATTTCACATCTGGCCCAACGCGGACAAGCCGCAGCGCACCCTTGATGAGCGGATTTGTTGTATTCCAGCCAGCACTCACTTCCCCTTGCCATTTTCCCATACCCGGTGAGACTCCTGATGCTGAAGGTAGATATCTACAAGAAGTGGAGGAGATGGCCGGAGAAAAAAATCATACCACATCCCCCATCCATCGCTCGCAACCGGGCGCCAGGAGAGTATGGCGAGAACACGATGGAGAGGAAGTAACAATAAGATTAATGCCACATGATACATAGTAGACAAGCCAAGCCAGTATATATCAGCACCCGCCAGCCCACGTTCGGGCCCGCGCCAATGCCATCACGAAAGGGTGTGTGGTGGTTGGTGAGTCAAACCGTCAGCAGTTTTTCGTCCTTTTGTGAGAATCCCCGCTCAAACTAGGCAGTCGCCTCGTTCTCCTTCTCCTCGAGCGAGACCTCGGCGACGTTATCAGAGGCCTCGGTAACCTTCTTATCAGCCTCCTCCTTGGCAGGGGTGTTGGCGCCTGAGCCCTCGGCGGCTTCCTCGGCTTCAAGACGCTCAATCTCCTTCTTTGCTTTTTCAATGTTCTGCGCAGACGTTAGCGGGATGTGTAACACAGGTGAGGGCGACATGGGAGACGTACCTTGCGCGTCTGCTCGGGCTGGTCGGCCTTCCACTGGGCAATTTTGGCCTTGACCTTGTCGACGACCTCGGGCACCTCGGCGGCGCTCATGGGCGGGTTGACGCCGACGAAAGCGCAGTCCTCGATGACGGACGGCGGACAGCTGAACTTGGTGATGGCGGCCGGGGCGTCGGCCGGGGAGCTCTTCTTCCCCTTCTTGCCCTTCTTGACCGCGAGGAGGTACTCGTCGTCACGGTCCTCCTTACGGACGAGGCGCATGCCCTCGAAGCCCGAGGCGTCCACCTTGCGCTGGGCGGCGGCGGCGAGGCCTTTGTCGGCCACGAGGGGGCTCTTCTCCTCGATCACGTGGGACGGGTCGAAGAAGCGCACCAAGTTGTTGGCGCGCCGAATCTGCTCGGCGAAGGCGGGGTCGCTGGCCTCGGCGAGCATCTCCTGGGCGCGGGCCATGCGGCGCTCCCTGGCGATGCGCTCACGCTCCGCCTGCTCGCGCTCGCGGCGCTTCTCCCGCTGCTGGCGCTCCCAGGCGAGCGCCGCCTTGCGCTGAGCGTGGTAGTCGTCTTTGAACTTCTTCATGGCCTCCCAAGTCGCCTGCTGTTTGCTCCGCGCCTCGTCCCGCTCCTTACGCAGGGCCGTCAGGTTCTTGAAGGCCGAGTCCTGCTCGGCTTTGATGCTGTCAAGCTCGGCCTGGGCGGCGTTGTACTGCTCGCTGAGCGCCTTGGCTTCGGGGTCCTCGAGCGAGTCCTTGATCTCCTTGATCTTGGCCTTCAGGTCGTCAATCGACTTTTGGTCGTTGTCAAAAGCCGAGAAGTTCTTGCGCAGCTTGCGCAGGCTCGTAACCTCGGCAAGCGCCTTCTTCTCGTCAACGAGCTTCATCTGGCCGCGCTCGACCTCGCGCTCGAGCTGGGCGATCTTTTGGTCGATCTCCTCTACATTTTTGAACGAGACCTTGGACCGGGCGGCCTTCTGGTCGGCAATGCGCTTGCGGAGCTCGTCATCGAGCGCCTTAATCCGCGCCATCTTGGAGGCCCGGGCATCCTTGCCAGTGCCTTGCTTCTTCCGGATCTCGTTCAGCTGGGCGATCAACTCCTGGCGCCGCTTCTGGGTAGGGCTCTCCTTGTCCTTGTTCGGCACGGCAACTTCGATCTTGGCCTTGATGGCATTCTATTGAAGGGCGATGCGAGTTAATTTCCGGTCAATTGCACAGTAAGTGGGTGAATCAATGGCGCCCAATTGTACTCACGTATGCGTCAAGGGCCTCCTTGTGCTCCTTCTCGAGCTTTGCTAGGTCCTTCTTGAAAGCCTCCTCGTCAGGGCGCACCGGCTTGGTGGCGGGAACGGCGGTGGCAGCAGCCGCGGGCGTGGTCGACTCGGTCGCCATTGCAATGATTGTACCAAGCGTAGAATCCAGGGAGAGAGGCGTTAGGCGAGGGAGTCAACCCAGGTCCGATGGTGAATTGCAGTTGAAGGAGCGTCTGTAGCGGGCCAAGATTGTGAAATGGATTGAGCGGATTATAATCCGTATAGGGACGGGAGTGAGAAAGATGTGGTGGGCTGTGGACCGGTCACAGCCGAAAGGTGCACTCCCCCCAAATTTATTCTCGAAGTTCGTCTGAAAGTCTGTATCACCAAAATTTCAGTTTGGGGTCAGCCAAAGCCCAGATCTGTTCACATGCGTTTATCGCGGTGTACGGAGTAACACCAACACGATTGAACCGGATGTTCAGTACTTACAAGCACAATATGCTGCAATTCTCGGCATTTCTCCACTTGGGACTCGCAAACTGGCCTCTTACTTGCTTGAGTACTCGGCGAGATTGACTTCATGCTTAGGAAGTTCAGATTTCATATAGCAGGTGGGAGATGGTGCTCATTAGTGGTACAAGTTGTCCGTGTATGATCCAAGCATGGTTTGGTTGTTCCTGTAACACGGTGCCCGTGCGCTAAATACCGGAAAGACGAGAATGTTTCAAGTTATGCGAAAAGAGAATTAAAGCAAAAGAATAGACAGAAGAAGGACATGATAATGGATAAGTAGTAGAAATTGAAGCAAATGGAAGCGATTCAATTTAAGTAACCTACCATTGACTGCTTTTATTGTGTAAGTCATTGGATGCCTCGCAGAGCAAAGCTCCTATCCAGCGGTCCATATATATCATTATATCGAGCTTATGCTATCATCGATGCGGAACTTGGGCCGTGTGATCCACCCTTGGCGTGTGTTTAGCGCCTTGGCGGGGGACCGCTGCCGCATTGAGCCGCATTTTTTTGGAGCTGCGGCGTCAGTTCTTTCAGCACCATCGCAACGCACCGAGCCAAAGCGCATTCTCCATCGCCCACCCACACTTTCCCCAAGATTCCGCCGAACCATTACCCTGCTGCGCTACCTGAATTGAGTGCCTACATCATCACCCAACATGGAGGAGGAGAGCAGCGCCAGCATGCATTTGAAGGAGGTCACACGACTCTGGCGGGCGTGGAGGACCATCCACGAGATGGCCCAGGACAGAGTACGCAGCCCAACGTCATTGTGGCAGGAAACTGTCTATAACCACTGACACCTCCTGGCCGCAGGGCTACGAGCTGGCCGAAGAGGAAGTCAAGATCTCGCTTGATCGCTTCCGCGCCGAGTACACGAACGACGATGGCAGTCCGAAGTACATCCCCTCCACCGCTACCCTTCCACCCTCTAGACCACCACAACTAACCTCGACACCAGCCGCGCCAAAATGCAATTCTCCGCCCGCCCCTCGGAAGCCATGATCAAAAAGTTCACCCCCCCACCAACCCCCTCCAACCCGGACCCGGCGCCTGAGTGCGGCACGATCTGGGTCGAGTTCTGCCCGGACAAGTCCTCCATCGGCATCAGCGTCATGAAGAAGTTTGTCGAGCACTGCGCGCAAAACAACTTCAAGGCCGGGATTCTCGTGACGGCCTCCGCCTTGTCGGCCCAAGCCCGCAAAGTCATGACCGTTACCTCGCAGTTCACGCTCATCGAGTGCTTCCTTGAGGAGGACCTGCTTGTCAACATCACGCACCACGAGCTGGTGCCCAAGCACATTCTGCTCAGCCGCGAGGAGAAGGCGGCGCTGCTCAAGCGGTACCGCCTCAAGGAGACGCAGCTGCCGCGCATCCTCAGCAAGGACCCCATCGCGCGATACCTGGGGTTGAAGAAGGGGCAAGTTGTCAAGATTATACGGACTAGCGAGACGGCGGGGCGGTATGCCAGTTATAGGCTTTGCGTATGAGCTGCAAGCTTGCCGGGGAAAGGAGGAAGCTGAAATGATGGATGGAAGGTACGGGGCAATGTTTAGATTGGCGAGGTTTGCGGTGCATCAAACTAAAGGATCACAAAGGCGTTCTGAGTTTGCGCGGTCAGCATGGTTTTTAGTTTCGTTGCTTGCTATTTTGGGCGTTTGGGGGAAGGGTGCTGAGGGCTCTTCTGCTGATCTCTATTGATCCTCAGTGACAACTCAGCGTGACCCTGGTATAGGCTCGGCTATATATCAGCGAGGTAGTCATGGCCGTGAGAATGAATGGATCATGTTGTGCCATATAAACTACTTCGGAGTTCTTTGGAGTTCGTCCGCCCAGTCCGTTACTTCTGCCTGTGGTCCATCCGCCGTATATGGCCAAAAGCGTCTAATCAGATATGTCCCTGTTGTCCTGCGAATGATCTTACGTGGCATGTCACCTGGGCTGTGTATCGTCTACTATCATACGCGAGCGCATCGAGGCTGGGCTCCATGTGGCGTTGTAGAGTACATGACCAGAAAGATGCAGAGATGCCCGAAACCAAACACCGAGCAGAGTGCCATCTGCAACACCAACCAAGAAACTGCAACTGCGGCTTGCAACGCTAATCCCCAGCTCTGAAAATGTGAGCCCCCTGCTATGAAGTCAAGGCCCCTCCTGAGGCAGTTCATCGCAAGCAGAGCCCTGCACGCATACTCCCTTGGTGCGATGCATGGGGTGTCGCATGAAAACAGAATCCCAACGATGCCACTACCCTTTTTAGCAAGCCTGTATGTATCTAGTCATCATCGTGGTGTATCTCGACCGCCCCGCCCGGGGCAAACAACAATCCCTAACGCCATTCCATCTACGTCCCTTCCAGCCGTGCCAGTCCATCCTCTCTATACCTTGAACGCCTGTCGAGTGCCTCCGCCCACGTCATCTGAAGTGCATGTTGTTACGGTGCGTGATTTGTGATGTGTGATTTGTGATGTGTGATTTGTGATGTGTGATTTTGTGATGTTTGTGGTACACATGCCTCACGCTTGGTGTGCGAGGGAAGCGCAAGAGCAATTCCGGAAGCAGTTCATCCATCAGGGTTTCGGCGGCTCGAGTAAACCACCCACATCCATGAGCTGCAGCTCCTGCTGTCCTCCTGCATCGCGCTGCGACGTTGGTGACTGCTTCGACATCGTCGGCGACAAGAAACGGCCCAGATCCTGCAGCAGTGCAGCCGACCCTCTCCTGAAGCCATTCCCGCTTGCCGGCACTGCGGGCGGGGGAACGGTCGTTGAGGAGTTACCGGACAGGTCGTTGAACGTGTTGCTCTCTTGTCGGTTGTGCTGGTTCTGGTCGTCGAGCAAACCGCCGTAGTCGAAAAAGGAGACCCTTCTATGGGCACCGCTGGAATCGCTCCTCGACGACTCGCCGCGCTCCTCGCTTCGAGACATGCTCTCTCTCTCCTGCGCTGGGAACCGCCATGAATTCATGTCGTTGTGCATGTTGACGGGCGGCGCGGGCATGTACTGCCGGTTCTCGGTTGGAGCGAGGTGCGTATCTCGCAATTCGGGCTTCATGCCCAGGCCCAAATCTCGGACGAGATCTTCATCGCTGCCCCAAAATCGCAAAACCGTCGGCCGTCGAGACTCGGTTGCCGATGAGCGATCCACCGAGCCCCCTGCGATCGAGTCGTACTTGAACCTCCTCTTCTTGACGCCTCTGTCCCGCACAAAGGAACCCAGCACCAAGGCGTTCGCCGCGCCGGTCGCGAAGAGCAGTTCGATGGAAGCGTAGAGCGACCGAGTTTGTTGGCTCCCGTTGTCTTCGATAATGCGTGGCACTCGGTAGATGGTGACGATAACCGGGGCGAGGCTGAGGGAGAACAACAGCACGAGCTGGAACTTGCGCTTTGCGCTCATGGAGCTGCTCAGGATGACCGGAACGGGGAACAGGACCAGCATCAAATCTGTGACAACATTGCAGATTGCCATGGTGAGGAGCTGCGCATAGCCCTGACGGCATCGCCCCCCTGGGTCAGGGAGCACCTGCCAATAGTGAGAGAAGGGCTGGCATTCGGCGAGATTGCTTATCACGACGGCGATGAAGGTCGTGATAAGGAGGCCGCGAATGAACACCAGGGCCAGGTCATACGTCCGTCTCCAGTTAACGTTAAGCCTCCTGAAGAATTCGAGGATCGCATACTTGAGGACCCATAAACTGCAGCCACACAACAGTCAGTAAGATCAGACGAAACTGAACATGCAAGACGTAACCACATACGTTGCGGCGTATAAAACCCTGCTCAGCAACACCAACCCGCTAGCGATCGACTTTTGGTGGAGTTGTTCGTCCGAAAGGCCAGCCCTGTCGAGCTGGGCATTATTCGTGCCATAAACCAGAATGACATGGACGCAGCCAATGCGCAGGAACAGGGGCACAAGCGCCAGGGCGGCCGTCTTGTCCTCGTTGAAGAGCTTCTCAGTCCGGATGAAGCGCCCAACGACCCGCAGCGCAATGATTACGGCACAGAAACTGGTAATCCACCAGCACACCAGCAATGTCGGCTTGTCCTCGCTGAACGGGTGCAACGCGGGGGGATCCGAGTAAAGACCCATGGCAGCGGTCAGCGCTGTAGGCAATCCACGCCCGTCATCCTCCGAGGAGGGACGAGCGGGGAAACGTGTGTGCCCTCAACCGAAGCACCGTGTCCCTCTCCAAGGATGCTCTCGGTGATTTTGAGGTTGTTGTGCCTCGTCGCAAACTGGCGGGTCCTATAACGGGCGCAGGTGGTCCTGGTCCTGGTGCTATGACGTCGGGTTTTTCTGTTCAATTCTGGGTTTGTCGGATATAACGGCAAGTGTTGAACCGCTGCAAGCACAATGGAATTGGGACGAACTCGATGTTGCAGCATGTGTACGGCAGCCTAGAGGGTCGGACTGCGGATTGGAGTCACAGAGCAGAGAGGAAGATGGAAACAACAGGGCATTGAAAAGAACTCGCTCGTGGAGAAGTGGGATGGCCCACCCAAGGCCGCAGGAGCGGCGGATAGGCGGGTGCGCTGTCGCAGCAGTTGTCTAAGGCCTAACCTTATCTCTCGTTATCCTCCCAGGTTCATGGGATTCCAGGGCTGTTGGGTGGTGGGCCCGCTTCGCCAATCCGTAGATCCTGAGAGGGCGGCAGGTCGCCTGCCATATGCGTGTAACGCTGGCATTCCCGGATTCCCGCCGCATCCCACCTCCTGCCGCTCTCACCACGACTTTGATCGAGCGGGGTGTAAGCCCAGGTGCGTTGGCAAGTCGATGGCAGCGGCGGTGTACAGATTAAAGTGCTGGCATTCCTTTTGCCGTTGCAGATGCGCATGGAGGACTCTTCCACTCCAATTTTGGGCGATGGCTGAGCCTGTGATTGTCCAATTTCCATGCAACGAGGCAGCGGCATGTCCGCCCCCATTCTCTCGAACACAGCAGCTCACAGTCAAGCCACCGGCAAAGTTAGGAAAAACTAGCCCGCCTGATCTCGTACCCTTAGGACATAGCCCTTAGCATAAAAGAGTGAAATTCACGTTATATACGGAAGTATATATATATACAGTAACTAAGTTATAACGAACATTATCGGCGAGTCGTGGATATCAGCGAGTCGTGGACTGGGGTTATTTTTTGCAGGTGCAAGATAGGAAGAGTAACCTAAAAATTGTTAGTGCAGATTAAACAATTTCCGTCTGATATACAACCAAAATAACTGAGGCATAGCTGAAGGTCCGGCACGCCCTAGGGCATAGCGGAGCAGGAATAATAATAATAACTGAGGCCACAACTCGCTGATAATGCACGCTATTTCCTTGTTACCTTTCCATATCAGACGGCGGAGTGGACCCGGCAGTTGCGACGGATTTCGACCTCATTTCAGCAACCAACAGGGATCAAGGCCGAGTGTTGTATTTTGAGTGTTGAGGTACCCAGGCGAAGGCCGAAAGGCGAGCTGGAGAAGTTGTTTTCAGCGAGAGGCATTATCTTCACATGTCGGTCTGTGAGAAGAGACCTGCCTTTCGAGGTGAACCGCGCTTGTCCCGAAGACGGTAGGTGTTAATACGGTTGCCCAACTGAGCAGAACTTTCTGCCCATCTAATCACAGCGCAAACCCGGGTTGTGAGGATGCGCTCACCACCAACTCAGGTAAGGTAGCACCCGGTTCCCAAGTGCAGCTCCTGTTCCAATCAAACTTGGGAAGGCCGGACAACAACGTGCTTGTTGCAGCTCCAGTCGATCGAAATACATGGACTGACCGATCTGCTAATTAGAGGGATAGTCGAGATATTGATTTTTACATTTATCATGTGCTGCACTCACAGCGTTGATGGAGCGTACTTGCGAGCGTGCTGCCGGTAATCAACAAGGGGGTGCTCCTTCCCCGACTTTACAAACGGGAGACTTGCTTCGCATTCCCTCAACTTCACTGGGTTGTCAAAATCCCACACCTCATGAATTCAGCATCTCAACCATTTTCTTTTTTTGTTCTTTTTGTTTTTTTGTAGGATTTCACGCCGGCCGTTGGCTCAGTAAAGGACATCATTCCAGCGGTTTTAGCTTGAAGGGAAGCCGAAGATGACCTCATGACCACAGGCGACGGACCTGACACCGGAACAAGTCAAAGCCCCCTTCCCTCACCCGCCGTCATGACTTTTGAAGTCCCTTGAACACAGCATTTCAGGGCCAAACCTCAACTTTCTCCCACTCCCCAATGACCTCACCACCAGGAAGTCTCGAGTCTCCCTCAAACCCGCGATACACGTGCAGCCACCTCCTCGGGCGCAATTCATCGCTTAAGTCCACCTGATCAACCTCATCCGGGACGATCACCACGACCCTAAAATTTTGCCCGGCCACCTCATCCTCAAGATCATCCAGCTTCTGCCCGACCCCCTCCCCCTTTCCAGTATGATACGCCACGGGTGTTCCAGGCGGGGGCGCTTTGAACGACCCCCTCATCATCGGACTCAAATTTCCGAAGTGCGCCTTTACTTCCCTAGCAAAGCTCCAGCTCCCTTCATCCCCTTCTTCCGCGGTCCTTCTCATCCTCCCCTTCAAGACCTCCCTAACCTTCCTCGCCCCATCCCTATCGGTCGAATCCACATCCTCGCCGGCAAGAACCCACGCGTGTCCCCTCACCCGCCACTGCGTTTTAACACCAGGTACATCGACCCAAAATACCGCCTCGACCGGTCCTCCGCCGCCCGTCTGCCCGCCGCTGGCCTCCACGTCGCCTTCGGCCGCTGAGTCAAACACCTCGGTTGTCTTGTCGCTGCGGGCGTCGGTGGTGAAGACGGGCAGGTCGGACTCGAAGAGGGGTGGGTTGAGAGGTGCCGAATTGTCCGAATTCTGTGGGAGGGTGGCCCATAGGCCGCGGAAGACGCAGGTGCGGGCGCGGGGGACGCAGGGCAGGGCCCGGGAGGGTGCCTCGGGGACGGTGGCTGGGTGTAGGGTTGAGAGGGTGAAGGTCGGGGAGGGCATTTGGGAGATATGGGATAGGAATTCTTTGCGCCACGGCGCGGGAGTCTGGGAAGTGGACATGTTTGGTATTGTGATATCGGCGAGCCTGGTGAGTGAAGCTGCGGTTGGGGTTGATGGTGGTGAACGAACAATTGCAGGTCGGGGCGAGAACGGACGGTGGTGGACTGCCGCTGGAAATAATGTTCTGAGACGTCTGGAGGATATTCTTGGTTCCATGCAATGTTTTGCAACACTGAAGAGAATTTTTCTTGAGCTCCAGGGAGGTTAGTTCCTACCGTGAACAGCGTCTTCAATCATGACCTCATCATGAACATGCGGGGCCGACGCCAAGCTCCTCTTGGCAGCAAGTACACTATGATTAAACTGCTTATAGTACCGACCCAGTGTGGCTCGTGTAACTGGTTTGTGAAGCTCTACTTAAAAGAAGTTGGTATTGTGGAAATAGGAAGCAATGGTCGGTGAAATTAGGAAACTCGAAGCAACGGAGCGTCCTTCCCCAGCAACCACTCCATTTGAAGGGGATACCAACCTGGAATTCCTCAGCATCATGTCGTCGGCTGCCTTCGCATTTCCCACATGACATACCTTGTTTCGACATATCAAACCGACAACGGCGACAACATTCGCAAAATAGTGCATTCAGGCGCGCTCGATGATAGTGGCTCAATTTTTCCGCGACGCTCCTCATCCTTCTCTTTCCGAACCATCATCATGCCTCTCGGAATCATCATTGTCCTCCTCGCTGCCCATGATTATCGCGCCATTACCACTTCCTTAGTCTCCCTTCTTACCTCCGTCAACTCAGAAAGCACCCAGCTTGCTCCCTAAATTCGCTTTGTACTACTGTCGTCCTGGGAGCTGTAGCCAACACTTCCACCGCAGCCGTCACTCTCTCCTCATCATCCCCATCCCTCGCCAGACGCCAGTATGGCTCTCAAAACCACCAGCATTCCTTCTTCACACTCATCCATCTCGTAGTGCGAGATGCCGTCGATGATACAAACGACCACCGCGTGCGGTGGTAGCCGCCGGATGAGCAACTCCAGCAGGGACGCAGAGTTGGCGCATGTTGCCCTGCCTGGTCTGGTCACAGTACCAGGCGTTTCCGTCCGAGAGATTGTGTTCCTCGCGTGCCAGGACTGTGTCAAACGGGTGTTGCCGGAGGAGTTGAGCGATGAAGCTGCGTGCTATGGCACGTCGGCCTACAGCTGGCTTGTTCCTCTTTCGATCACCCTCCCCTTTCATCGTCTGATCGTCGTCGTCGTCACCATAATCACCAACGTGGCTGCCGCAGAAAAGGACGAGCGAGATGTACTGGCTCTGTTGTGCACGCATGGCCTGTGCAAGGGTGGCGCACATTAGCGAGAAGGCGGTGATAGTGTGCATGCTGGGACTGTGGAACTCCCGGAGCACGAGTAGTTCTCGCGATGTTGGGGTGGTGAGCCAGTGCCGGAACCGGGTAGTTTTGAAGGCGCCCTCGGCTTTGTTGCACTCGCCACGGGGAATCGAGGTGTAGCTTTTGAGGATGCGGTTAACATCGACCATGTCCATGTCGGGCACCTCGGGAAGTCTGCGGAGGCTGGCTATGTTCATATGTTGTCGTGCCTGTATTGGCGGCATCTCGACTGGGAACGGCGCGGGAAGTGTCTGCCCTGCCGGCTGTGCCATGGCGGACAAGCGAACAGCCATGGCAGGAAATATGCTGCTGCGGGACACGATGGCACCATACGGGTTGCAGCGTATGAGACAGCGTGTACATTGTCGGCAGAATGGGCACCTGGTTCAGTTGTGATGATGACAATGCGGAGGACGGCGATGAGCCTGTTGTGGTCGCTGTCAGAGACTCGTGTCGGCTGTACTAGGGTCCGGGCCCTGAGCTCGTCGAATTGTGCAGTCGACAAGTCCTACTCGAGACGAACTGCGTCGGGAACTATAAGAAGCTGTCAGCTATCGGCTGATTTCGGAGATAGGGAGCGGCCCGTTTTCAGACGTATTTGCTCTTGGGAAATGCCTGAACCCATCAGCCCGATCTAGTAGTTCCTTCCTGTTCATCTCGTCCACGTTCGGCGCATCGATCAAGGATTTGCGCCTCTAGTCGCACCATGGCCAGCGGGAAGATGCTGTCCCAAAAGCCATTGACTTCAACACCGGCTTGGCCGGCCGAAGTCACTCCCTTTGTTTTTTGTCTGACCGATACATGGGGCCTATGCCTGGCGTGCCCTGGCCGGTGTATAGGCGCCTTCCTGACGCGAGGGTCCAATTGAGGCTGAGTGCCCCTGAAGGCGCCATGAGAGGTAGGCAGGCAGGCGGTTATTGATGAAAGCAATGGAAGATTGCCGAGAATCTCGTAATTCGGTGGGAAGAGACATCTGATGTGGATGGACAGTCCTGCATGATTCTACGTTGCAGGTACCGTCAGAAATCCGCATGCACGAGGCTGGGCAACACCTCGATTGCTCATATGCAGAGAAGAGCCAGCCGGTTTCGCGCACTGCAGGCTTGTTTTTTTGGAGGCGAGAGTCACGTCTAGTTCGGGGTTTGAGATCTCACTGGCCGAGGGGCGCCCTTCCAGTGCAGAGAGGTGTGTTACAAAAACGCCGGTGCTGACTCGTCTCGCTTTTGACTGCAGCGGGCTAGCGGCCGTGTCGGATGGGGACTGGAATCTGTCAATAGTGTATGCACGTCGTCAACGGCCTGCGACTTCGGCAAACACTTCTCCGCGCCTTGGCGGTATTGTATATCCTTTGCCTGCCCCTAGGCCATTGCCGGTGGTTTCAATCTAAGTGGTGGTTATTGACTCGCATCTGTGAATTCCTGATCAACAGCTATAGCATCTTTCCATCGACGTTAACCCCCCGGGCCTCTAACCGGCGTTGATCACCAGCTATCGCTCACGATTTTGGAGTTGCCTGCCTCTTTGAATTGGAGAGCAAGGTCTGAAGATGGCAGGGCCACAGGATTACGACATTGAGGATGACTCGGAAAACGTGTCGAGGCGCCGTTCCTATACGACGAGCGACGATGAATATGGCGGCTCGAACAGATCTGTTCCATCAATCAAGTCAAACGACGACGTAAGGGACTACTTTACGAGATCGACTTTGCACATGCCTCGCGGTGTCTCGATAACTCGTACCAGCTCAAAGCAAGATTCTCTCCATCCCATCTTGCGCTAAGCAAAGAAGTAGACACAAAGAGACTTCGAGGATCTGGACTTCCGCTTGCAGGAGGAAGACGATGATAAAGTTGAGGACGATATCCCTAGGACATGGGAACAAATGCATATGCAACACAAGAGTAAACTGTTCGCAGACTTCTTCCGCCGTCACTACAGGTAAACCGCCGGTTATGGACCACGGTCTCCTCCTCCTCTCGTATTTGGCGACATCTGGCAGTCCAAGGCAGATTACAAATTCGCCGCCAGGTTGCTCTCACAGATCGGCGGCGCCGTTTGTCGAGCTGAAAACGCAACTTAGGAGTCGTGCGAGTCTTGCTGCAAACTTGCCCGCGCAATTAGGAGGCGCTCCGGGTCACAGGACACATACGTTGCAAGAAGGTCCGAGTTCGAGGCAAATTCTCGCTCCTGTAAGCTTTGTATGGTATTTGTCCGATTCATTGAGTCGATTGGACAGCACCAGGAGACCGTCAAGCTCCAGGGAATCGACGCCGAGTTGCTGTTGAACGGTCGAAGGATTCTCAAAATATTTCCAGATCCGGAGAATCCCGACCACTCCGACTCGGCACTTGTTCAAGCTGGATTCCAGGTGCTGCCCAAATCGAGGAGAGGCCATACCCAGATGCAGCCGCTTCGCAAGTGGCTTCTGGACAGCGACAAAAGGCAGGCTAAGTCCAGATGTCACTCACGCTCCTCCCCAAACCATGACGCGATTCTGTCTACGAGGGTCCTAGACGTCAGAGACGGCAATGGTCCATATTCATTACCGCTGAATTGCTCGAACGCAGGCGAGCGAGGAAGATTTGTTACGCTGTCTCACCGATGGGGCGAGCCCGAACAGCACCGGGCGTTCTTACCTACCGCTGCAACATCGCGTCTCGATGCGAGAACATCGCCTTCGATGAGCTACCAAAGACATTCTAAGCCGCCGTGACCGTTAGCCGCGAGATTGGCGTGCGGTATCTCTGGATCGACTCGCTTTGCATAATCCAGCCTCATCATGGCTGTTCCGATGGCTCGGGGTGCGCCGGAAGTGAAGACTGGCGGACCGAGTCACCAAAGATGGGGCAATATTACGGAGAAGCATACTGCACCATTGCTGCTACCTCAGCCAAAGGCTCGTCCGAGGGCTTCCTCGACACGCGGTCGCCAACACTGTGCATCGAGCTGCCCCGCTCCTCTCCTGGTGAACGACGTTTGTGCGTGAGCGATACGGACGACTTCAGCCGAGATATAAACCAAGCAGAGCTCAACCTACGCGGGGGGGTGCTACAAGAGCGGGCGATTTCGGCAATCACCAAGAGACTCTCCGAGACCTTCACGGCCGGAGACGTCTACGGCGTCTTTCCACAGTATCCCGACAGGACTTTCTTGTGGAGACGGGCCGGCGAGGGTTTGGAGCGGATCACGACCCCTTCCGGCCAGGAGCCAGTTCCGTCGTGGTCTTGGATGGGTATTTGGCTGTCAAGAATTGGAAGGGAATTAATTGACTCATGATTCAACTGCCCACGTACTATGTGTTGCTTGTGGTGCTGTTGGGTCCAGGCTCGGGTTCGGAAGATGGTCAGATTTATCCAAAATATGAGAGGCTCGGGGTAGGTGTTATTGAAGGAGAATGGGTGGAGATGGAGACAGGTTCCACGATAATCGTCGAACTCGTTTGAACATGTTTTCTCGGATAAGGTACTTTGTAACGTGTAATGATCCTGGTAGGTGGCCTTCACGCAGAAGGGGATGAACTGCTGTGCATTGAAATTGAGGAGATCGCGAACCCTTAACCTAAAGCTATCACAAGGAAACAGATACAGGTGTTATTCAATCCACTTCGCATGAGGTGATGACTGGAGTAAAGCTGACGTCAACTTGACGAGCGCTATGAAAACGAGACCACACCTAGAACACGTTTCGTTCAAGTTCAGTTGCCAATGAGCCGTGCACAAACTTGTGATTCATTCCATTGATTCCTCCTCGCCACAAGTGCTGCCAGCCCAAGTGTATTAGTAGCACACCAGGAAGACGGCCAGGTGTATTCAACATAATCGTATTACACCGCACTAGTATTATCTGAACTTGCCATATAATGCTCCAGGTCACACCCTGTCTATCCCTTTATGCCGATTCGTAACCGGCCATCATACGTGACTCGTAACGTGCCTTCATCCGAGGGCCTTCACCTGAAATACTCCTTCTCACCTAGTTCAAAGACTACCATTCGTCCACGATGCGAAGCTTTTCAAGCCTGGCGGTCTTGTTCGCTATCATAATAACCTCCGTCAGCGCCGTCTACCAAGGCTTCAACTACGGCGCCTAATTCAGCGACGAAAGGCCCAAGATGCAGTCGGACTTTGAAACCGAGTTCAACACCGCCCAAAACCTCGTGGGTGCACCCGGATACGGCTCTGCCAGCGCTCGTCTCTACAGCATGCTCGTAAGTCTCCAGTCGCCCCCCCCCCCCCCCCCCCCACCAAGCTCACCCTCTTCAGCAATGGAAGACCACCCACGACGTCATCAGTGCCAGCCCGGCCGCCATGGCAACCAACATGCCGCTCCTCCTCGGCATGTGGTGCTCCTCGGGTCCGCCAGCCTTTCCCAACGAACTCACCGGCCTGAGAACCGCCTTCGACACATACTGCCATGCCTTCACCTCCCTCGTGGTCGGCATCTCCGGTCGGCAGCGAGGACCTGTATCGCGACTCGCCCACCGGCAAAGCAAACAAAGCCGGCACCGGCACCAACGCGACCACCATCGCGGGCTACATCCACCGCGCGCGCGAGGCGGTCAGGGGAACTCCCTTAAAAAGACCCCGATAGGGCATGTCGAGACCTGGACCGAATGGGTCGACCTGCCCAAGGACCAGGCCGTGCTGGACGCGGTGGACCGGGTTGGCGTGGACGCGTACAGCTACTGGTAGAGCCGGGTGCCGAACGCCGCCGCGAATGGGAAGCGTCTGTTTGACGAGGCGATGGCGCACACGAAGGCAAAGGTGGTGGGGGGAAGCCGGTGTGGCTTACCAAGATGGGTTTCCGGTGAGTGAGGAAGTTTCGGGCGCAGCGATACCATCGGTGGACAATTCGAAGCAGTTCTGGGACGAGGTAGGCTGTCCACTGTTCGGGAAGGTGAACGTGTGGTGGTACATCTTGAGGGATGCGCCGCAGAACCCGGGACTCCGAGTCTTGGAATTACTGGAGCGGACTTGGGGACGCAGCCGCTTTTTGATATCTTCTTCAAGGGGAGGGTGGAGGAGGAGGATGAAGGCTGTGATGCCGTCTGAGACGGGGAGCGTCTCGGGGTGTTGTTGAATACGGGGGACGGAACTGGAAACAGTTATGGGCAAGCAGAAATGATGCCCTGAGACCTACTCGGTAGTAATTCGTAGAACGAATCGATGACTTGCGAACATGAGCTGGTAATAGTGTCCAGATCTCGAAGCCGTTAATGATGGGTTGGCATCTTGGTGACATAGTTTGGCGACCCGCATTTCCGGTTACCGAGGAACATTGAATTTTTTCTTCGACTCAGATTGCCCAAATCGGTTTGACAACCATGTACCTTTATGCTTGATTGGCATCCGATCCCGTTGCATATGTAGTCGATGCAAGATTGCAAGTCTAAAGCAATCATCTCAATTCACCTTCCCCTTCAGGCTCAGCCCTATGGCCCGCGTCTTGGCACGATTATCCTCCTTCCAAATTCGACAAGCTGAATTCCGATCCACTCCACACGACACGCGACCCCTTTTCTTCCCGTGGCGCTGCTTGTCAACCCTCCGCGACACCCTCGCCCGGTCCCCGTAAACCGTAGCCATGGCCCTTCTCCAGCACCGGCGCACCCGCGCCGCCGCGGTCCTCCTCTTTGTGTCGACCTTCGCGCTCACCGCATGGGCCACCAGTAAATCCGACCTCCCATCCCCCGAAACTCTCTCCCTGGCCGAGCTCGACGCCCAACTACAAGTCTGTCTCCCCTCTACGACCTCCCATATCGCGCAAACACCCTACACTTGCCAGAACAAAGACTGACTTAGCCGATCCAGGAATTCCCCATAATCCGCACCCTCTCGGACGCCAAAGCCGCCTCCCACGCCGCCGCCCCCTCCTCCATCACGACCCGCCTCTTCGCCCTGCTCTTCCCCTCTTCGCACCCGGGTATCAACGCGCTGCTCGCGACACTATACATCTCGGGCCCGCCGAATTTTTTGCTGGCCCTCGTCCCCACCAACATCGACCCATCTTCGCTGTCCGTCATGGTGGCGTTTGCCGTCGGCGGGCTGCTGGGCGACACGCTGTTTCACCTGCTGCCGGAGATTTTCCTGGGGGAGGACGAGCCGGACCGGGTGAGGATGGTGCTGGTTGAGCCAAACAGGAATCTGTTGCTTGGCGTGGCGATTCTGGTAGGGTTCTTGGTGTTTGTAGCGATGGATAAGGGGCTGAGGATCGCCACGGGAGGTGGGGGAGATGCGCATGGGCATAGTCACGGGCATGGGCATTCTCATGCGGCTGAGAAGGGGGAAGGGAGGTCGAGCGCGGTTGTCGGGGAGGAAAAGGAGGGAGTGAGGTTGAGGAAGGGGACGGGAGACAGGGCTGAGGAGAAGAGGACGGAGCTCGTGGAGAAGGAGGTGAATGCCTCGGTTAAGCTCGGCGGCGTCCTGAACATGATGTATGTGCATGGTTTTCTACGGATTGGAGGCGTGGATTGTGCTGACGCTTACAGCGCCGACTTCACACACAACATCACCGACGGCCTGGCCATGTCGGCCTCTTTCTACGCGTCGCCCACCATTGGGGCTACGACTACTGTCGCCGTCTTCTTCCACGAGATACCGCATGAGGTCGGCGACTTTGCCCTGCTGGTCCAGTCGGGTTTCTCGAAGCGGCAGGCCATGGGCGCGCAGTTCGTCACGGCTGTCGGCGCGCTAATCGGCACGCTTATCGGCATTGCGGTGCAAGAGTTTGGCGGCGGCGCCAGTGAGGGCGCGTCCATGGGCATGCGCGACGGCCTCTGGGGAACGAGTCTCACCTACGGCGACCTGTTGTTGCCTTTCACGGCGGGCACCTTCCTTTACGTTGGCACGGTGGCCGTGATCCCCGAGCTGCTCGAAACTGGCCCCAATAAAACGGCCGAACTGCGCAAGACGTTGGTGCAGTTTGCTGCCATCCTGCTTGGAGCAGGCATTATGTTGTACATCTCGTGGCATGACTGAGTGACAGCTCGTTTATGGTTCATACTCGTCAGATGCATGTCGGCAACCCCGAACATGGACGGTTATTGATGAGCCTTAGCAACCAAAACTCACATGTGGAACATGTAGAGAAAAGAGTCATAGACGCCGAGCATTGGCTATCATTGCGTGGTGGAGGAAAAGACGCGAGCAGGGACCTCCGTAGCTGGATACCATTTAGAGCCATGATCATAAAAATCTGGGGATAGAGTATAAAGTTGAATTGGACGTTTGTAGGCCCTTTTTTTTTTTTTTCTTGGGATTCGTTTTGGAAATCGTTGCGATCCTCACCAAAACCATGCTCGAGTACCGAAAGGTCTGCAGGATGCAGCGGCTGTGTAAATGCTGGATGGTGAGAGTGACTGCTGTGCAGGATTACTAAAAACACGAAGATTATTAAGATAGTTAACTACGTATCTACGGAAAAATAATGTTTGAGTCGTGACCACTGGGCACAGCACAGGCGGTGTTGACTGGCTCGGTTAGCGGTTAAAGCCTTTGAGTCAAAGCAGGGGTCCTGTCACGCTATGAAACCAAACAGCGTGTCGACCCAAAGGCGCAGCCTGGAGAATCGGGATTCCTTGATCAGCTCTCCTTCGAAAGTCGATCCATGACATGATTCTGTGTCTAACGGAGTATGTCTGACGCAATGATTTGCAGCTCGAGTTGTATTGGATCCAAGCACAAGAACGTTGATGAAGCACACCATCACCTCCATACTGTTTTCGCTGTTACGATCGTACACCGCGTACCTCCGTACACACTCGATCCCAATCCACTGGGCTCGTGCTGTGATCCCTGGGTATGCCATGGCGGAAAGCAACGTGGATCCCGTGCCTTGACGGCGGTGGGTCCGCAAATCTTTTTTCGAAACCCTTGCCGATGACTCTAAACTTCAAGTTTTGAAGGAACCCTTGCCGATGACTCTAAACTTGTTTTGAAGGAACCCTAGCCGCACCGCTTGTGGTAGCTCCGAGCTCCGCTGCCCTACAAGTCAATACAGAGAGCTAAGCCTCCAAAGGTGGCCGGTAGCGAGTACGTGGTTGTTAGGACTTTCGGTTGTAGAAACGGTGTCTACAAGCCTGGCGTCTCTGATGGACTGTACCTGTTATGGCGACGGAGGGGGACGGGGGTGGACGTGCCGCAAGCGAGACTCAGAAACGGACAACTTGCTGTCGGCCGGCCCAACTTTGATGATGTTGTCGCTTCGAACTCGAACAAAATAATGCGGAGTTGCGGGGGCGCGGGGTTCAGGTAATGAGAGACAGGGTTGGACAATCAATCACGAAACGTGAACGACGGGTTAACGTGTCCGACACCGGACCTCTTGAGCGTTGACAGCATTGACGGCCGCGGAGGCCAGCTATCAATAGCCAGAAAGACAAGACTAACTATGCCATATCTGGACGGCATTGCATGCAAACTGAGGGTCTGTGTCAACTGGAGCGAGTAGCCCTGGAGAAGACGACAGAGACTTCGCGAAAGATCCGATGCCCGGACACTGATCTCTGCGCCTTTCCCCAGACAAGCGACACAACAAAGGTGGAATGCCAAGCCTCGAGCAAGCCCTACAGTAGGGTGCGCTAACAGCGGACCCACTGGGCCCAGCTGATGGGGTGGGGTCCACCTAATCTGACATTGGTTTCGACTGTGCGATTGCAGCCTGGAATGCACAAGAGAACGCGAACAGCTGCAGTTTCAACAAGCAGCGTTGAGACGGTGGACCGACGACTGCGCTGCACCTGTCGGACCTTCTCTACGAGTATAATCCATATAGGTAACCTCGGGCTCAATTCAAGACAGCGGAACCTCAGCAGCAAATCGGTGACACGGCAGCTCCACCTCCTTCGGTCCTCGGCGAGCACCTTTTCGGCTTAGAGCCATGTTGCGGCATGTGGCATGGTTCCAGCTGCCAAAGCCACATCCCGCCTTTCGGGCTGCACACCGTTTCCTATTCGCCAATCAGACCGAGGACACGCCCGCAGAAGCACGAACAAGGGCGCCAGCAGATCACGCTCCAGACCATGACGCTCGCCTAACAACGCCCTATGCGTGGCTTGCTGCTGCATTGAGACTCGCTGCTTTGTAATGAGTCAACGGGTTCGTCAACCACAGCATGTTCGTGGATTCGAGTCGAGCCAGTTGCTACTCCATATATAACGAATAGATTCTGCTGCCCACTCGGGTCCATTGTCTCCCACATGTCACATCCCTCAGACCTGCCTTCCAAGTGTTTGTCCTGCAGTTTGAGAGCAAACCGTCGCTTACACGCCGCCTGGACTACTCTTGCACCACCCACAGGTCCTCGGATTGACACAGCCGACTTATACCCCTTCAGCAACACGTCCTTCGGGACTAAACCCCCCTCTCAGCCTTTCAATTAAACCAAACCGTCACAATGGCCGGTCCTATGTCTTACGCTGCGAGTTCCATCGGTCCCGTCGAGCAGCCTTCCAGCAATAGGAAGAGAGCATACGCCCAATCCGACATCAGAGTGAACCTGAAGGACCACTACCGCTCCAAGGTTTACACATCCGGTTCGCCCGTGGCGGGCGATGTGACCATCACCACCAAGCGCGATGTCCGCTTTGACTCGATCCAGATCCTCCTGATCGGGCACACCAAGACGACCTTTGACGGCGTGAGCGCCCCGCAGGAAGTCACCCACACATTCCTCAAGATGGTCATGCCCATCCCCGAAGCGACGACGTATCCGGTCCCTAGGGTGCTCGAGACAGGCCGCACATACACGGTTCCCTTCAACTTCGTCATCCCTCACCAGCTCACCATCAACGCGTGCAACCACGCGCGGCTTTCGGACCAGCTCCAAGACCACCACGTGCTGCTGCCGCCCTCTCTCGGCGGCTGGCAGCGCGATGACATGGCGCCTAAAATGGCCCAGATCGAGTACATCATCAAGGCTCGCGTGATGCGCGATGACGGCGACCGCAAGACGCGCATCATGGAGGTGACGGAGCCGATCCAGGTCCTCCCAGCCACCCCGGAAGAGCCCCCGCTCAGCATCACCGAAAAGGACAACATCTACCGCATGTCCAAGACCAAGACGCTCCGCAAGAACATCCTTTCCACCAAGCTTGGCCGTATCACAGCCGAGGCCCTCCAACCGGGCGCCGCCATCCTATCCCCCGACGGTCGCCGCGTTATGTCGCACCCCATGGCGCACATCAAGCTCACCTTCGACCCAGAAAACCCGCGCGTTCTGCCCCCTACCATCACCAGCGTCACCTCCAAGATCACCGCCCATACCTACTTCTCCTCCGGGACCATCTCCGACTTCCCCAACCTTGGCGTCTGGAACGCCCCCTACCTCACCGATCGCCGCGGACAATACTTCACATCAACCCCTGTACCCACCGTGACCCTCGCCGAGCAACCCGCCTGGACACCCACCTCTCTCCGCCGCCGCGACTCGGGCTACGGCAGCAGCGATACCGAATCAGACCACGCACCAAAATCAAAGCCGACAGCGTCAACGAAGAACGGCTCGCCATCATCACCGGTTCTGCACACAACTACTCTCTCGGTGCCGCTGTCATTGCCAACCGATAAGAAGACGTTCGTCCCGACCTTCCACTCGTGCATCGCGTCGCGCGTGTACACGGTCCAGCTTTCGGTGAACTTGTCCTCGCCCCGCGGCGGCGCGTCGACCACCGTCTCCCTGGCGGTGCCGCTGCAGGTTGCCGTCGACGGATTCGCCTCGAAATCTTCTACGACTACTACTCAGCGTGAGCAGGAGACGGGCGCGGTGGTGGTTGTGCCGCCGGCGGGGCTTGGCGGGTTGCCTTCGTTTGAGGAGGCCGAGGCGGATATGCATTTGAGGCCGCGGGTGCTGCAGGTTCCGGCCGGCGACGAGGCTACTGCCGAAGCAAGGGGCAGCTGGATGTGGACTGTGGGGGAGTGCCTGCAGTCGTCGGACCGTGGGGGGTTGCCTGAGTATTGCGCTGGAGGGTATGCCTGTCGGGCGTGAGTTTGCTGGTGGTGGTGGTAATTGATGGGTTTGTGGTGATGAGTTCTGCTTTCGGGACATGATACCTCTTGTTCTGGTTCGTTTGGCCTGGTCTCTTTTTTGTCGGTTTTAACTTCGCCTGGAGTTTCACGGAAATGAAAAGGGGCACACTGAAGGGATTTGATATGGGTAAAACGAGGGATAGAGAGGTCTGATATTACAAGGATACCAAAGTAATGACAATGTTTGATATTCCGTCATGCTTCTTAGGCACAGTGTCGTTGTCTGAGGAGTTGAAGTTCGAATTTCTCGGTATTTTAAAAATGTGTCGTGTAGCATGAGTCTGCCCAAGATACCTAGCATCGATACACTGCAGTTTTGTGTGAGAAGGCTCCTTCGTTTGTACAAGTTACTCATTTTCTTGCTCTTGCTTCACCCGAGGTTAGTCGATCGGCCATCCGTCAGACTGACCAGAATAAAATCACTTCCCCACGAATGCGTCTCAACAGCTGTTATTCGTTCGGCTGTGGTTTGGTACTTTGGTTGGGCTGTTGCTTCCTCCCAACTGGAGGCTTACTCCGGGGGGAAGGGGGAGGGGGGGGTGCAAAGTATCCAAGTCCCTGATCTAGACTCTGGCATCTCTGGAGACAAATGGCTCTGAAAACCTACGCTTTCGCTTCCTATGTGCCATGCTCTCTCCCAAATTCACTTTTGAGTAAACTTGACATTCTATGATCGAGGGCGGAATTGTGCAATATTGGATAGCATTACTGTACCGAACATCGTCGAAGGTAGGCTAGGGACTTTACCATTGCCTTACTTTACAAGACATGCTTCTGTCAAGCTCTGGACATTGAAACTTGGAGCCTACAATGATGCCTGAATTCTCTTGGAGATACTTCAGAAAGACAGTGGCCAACTTTAGAATGCTGCGACGTCAATGGCTCCCTCGAGCGGGAGGTACCTTCTTTATCGGCCTTGATCCTTCAGTTTTAACGATAAGCTTTACCATATGCATCGCAAGAACCGACTCACCGAGAAACCGCCAGTGAGAACCCAGATACTTCAACAGACAGAGCAAAAAATGGTAAGTCAATGCATGTTTTTTCTATTTATTAGGCTTCAATGATGAGCATTTTGCAAGGCATCATGCTGGTTTTCCTGTCGGATGTTCTTTTCACTTCAAGTTGATACGACTTACACATGCACTTAAACCGTAGTCCAATCATCCAGATTCTCCACTCCAGATAAGGAATAGTTAATCCCCGCCCCCACATTTCGCTTGCTCCGACCTTCTCAGCATATTTTCTTTGCTCTCGACTGCAGCAGTCAAATCGATGCGATTGGATCGCATCGCGACTGTCTACAACTGCGGATTGTCTCTCATTGCCTCGTTTACTACACGTGCAGACATGGGCCGCGGAAAAAAGGTATTTGACTCGAATGCTATGTCGACAATTCGGTACCTGAACGCTTTTCCTGACATGGACCACAGGGACACCGAGGCGGCCGCGGCGGCGGCCGTGGAGGCCGTGACCGTGACAACAAACGCGGAGGTCATCGCCCTTACGAGACGTGGCCGACGGTGAAGAAGGAGAACAAGAGACTCGAGGAGTACTATAACGCCCTGGTCGATCTGCCCGAGGACGAAAGAGCCGAGTTCTGGGCCGCGCTGAGAAGAGAGTTGCCCAATAGCTTCCGCTTCTGCGGCTCCAAAGGCCACGCCCTCGCCGTCAAGCGCCTGCTCCAGACGAGATACATTCCCGAGATCACCAGAATCACTCACGAAGGGGTCACCGTCGAAGCTCCAAAGCCTGTTCCCTGGTACCCTGATGGGCTCGCCTGGTCCATGACCACCCCGAAGAATGTCATTCGCAAGTTCCCTCCCTTCGCCGCCTTCCAGAAATTCCTTGTCTCCGAGACCAGCGTCGGCAACATCAGCAGGCAAGAGGTTGTGAGCATGATTCCGCCTCTGCTTATGGACGTCAAGCCCGGCATGACCGTTCTCGATCTGTGCGCCGCTCCCGGCAGCAAGGCAGCCCAGCTGCTCGAAATGATCCATCGCGGCGAGGAGGCCCGGATTCGACAGGTTATCCGGACCTTTTCTGGCGATGAGGTCAAGTCCGAGGATGCTTTGGAAGAGGAGGCTGCCCGGCTCGAGGCCGACCCAAGCGACGACGGAAGAGCCACCGGCCTGCTCATCGCCAATGACGCCGACTACAAGCGGAGCCACATGTTGATCCATCAATTGAAGCGCCTGTCCTCGCCCAACATGATCGTCACAAACCAGGATGCTACCATGTATCCGCCTCTCAGGATACCGAACCCCGAGAACCCGTCCAAGCCCAACTACCTCAAGTTCGACCGCATTTTGGCCGACGTCCCCTGCTCGGGTGACGGCACTCTCCGTAAGAACGTCAATTTGTGGAAGGACTGGACCCCGGGTAATGCCTTGGGTCTGCACCTCACACAAGTCAGGATCCTCGTGCGTGCCTTGCAGATGCTCAAACCCGGCGGTCGCGTTGTCTACTCGACCTGCAGCATGAACCCTGTTGAGAACGAGGCTGTTGTGGCCGCCGCCATCGAGCGCTGCGGAGGACCCGAAAAGATCGAGATTATCGACTGCAGCGACCAACTCCCTCTGCTCAAGCGGAAACCGGGTCTGAGGAAGTGGCAGATTATGGACAAGTCTGCTCGCCTGTGGAACTCGTGGGACGAGGTAGAGGAGTACACAAAGTCCACCGGGGATGGCATTGCCCCGGGCCGTCTGGTTGAAACAATGTTCCCCCGGCCTGCCGGAAGTGACTGCGCTGATCTTCCGCTCGAGCGGTGCATGCGCGTGTACGCTCACCAGCAGGATACCGGCGGTTTCTTTATCACCGCGCTGCACAAAAACGCCGAGTTCAAGGCGAAGCCCGAGGAAAACAGGAAACAGCCCGTTCAGACCAAGGCCAACGGCAATGTCAACGCGGGCAAGCGGCCCCTGGAGGAGGAGGCCAAGGAGGAGGCCGGCGTGAAGAAGTTGAGGCTGTCGGAGGAGCCCATCAAGGAGGAACGCATCAAAGAGGAGCCAATGGAGGAGGAGGTCGCTCCGACCGAAGCTCCCGCAGAGGTCAAGACCGAAGTCGAGGTTAAAGTTAAGCTCGAGGATGTCGAGAGCCCCGTTAACGGCGATGCCGTTAAGGAAGACGCTCCGGCGCCAACAGACTCAACCTTTGCCACCCCTTCCGCAGCCACCCCTGCTGCCACAGCCCAAGAGCAACAGCCAGAACCCAAGATCAAACCCAATGGCCCGTACGAAGAACCGTTCAAATTCCTCCCCTCGGAACACGAAGTTATCAAGAACGTGGCCGAATTCTACAAGATCTCCCCGCGCTTCCCGTCGGACCGGTACATGGTGCGCAATGCCCTCGGTGAGCCGGCAAAGGCCATCTACTACACGTCGGCGCTCGTCCGCGACATCCTCGTCCTCAACGAAGGCCGTGGTGTCAAGTTTGTGCACGGCGGCGTCAAGATGTTCGTCAAGCAGGACGCGCCGTCGGCCGAGGTCTGCCGCTGGCGCATCCAGAGCGAGGGCATGCCCATCCTGCACGGCTACGTCGGCCCGGAGCGGGTCGTTGTGCTCAGGAAGAAGGAAACGCTCAGGAAGCTGCTGGTCGAGATGTTCCCCAAGATTGCCGGCGACGACTGGAAGAGGATGGACGAGATTGGCGAGCGGGTGAGGGATTTGGCGCTGGGGTGCTGTGTGCTGAGGGTGGAGCCCGAGGGAGGGGATGAGGATTTTGCCGAGCACATGGCCCTGCCGCTGTGGAAGAGCTTCCAGAGTCTGAATCTGATGCTGCCGAAGGAGGATCGCACAGCGATGCTGTTGCGTATCTATAATGATACCACACCCTTGATTAACATGGGCATTCAGCGGGATGGGAAGGAGACGAAGAAGGCAGAGGAGGGCAAAGATGCTGAGATGGAGGATGCGGCTGCTGCTGCTGCTGAGGGGCAGCAGACTGATGCCGCCGACGTCGAGGTCTTGGATGCGCCTGCTGCCGAGGTGGAGACGGCGGTGACAGATGATCAGGGTGAGGTTACCGCTGCTGCGGGAGACGCCAACGCCTAGTTGGCTGGTGTCCTCGGGAGGATTCGAGCGGATTGTCCGACTATGAGCTTGCTTTTGATAGCTAAGGTATATCGGATCTTCTACATACGTACTATGATGAGGTCTACGGGGTGCTAAACGGGAAAAAATATAGACACTGACTTGGTTTTGGGCAACAAGCAGCTTTACTAGCGCTCTCGGTATTGGTGTCGTCCCAAGATCGGGATATGTGCTCCGGAAATGATAGCGGTACCTGCCTCTTTCACCACGCGGGAGCCTCACAGGCTTGAGGCTGCTGGCCTGAGTCATGCCCGTTTATCAACGAGAACATTCGCTTTTTTCTCCTGTTACTGACCATCGCTAGCATGAACAATGGTTGAAGGAATGTAGGTAGTACATCTTATGGTCGATTGCATGATGTTCCGGCATTAGTACTGTCTGTATACAAACCTCCAGCGCACCCTTGAACTCGTCTGAAGCAAGTGGTAATTATACTCCCTCCTCCGCAGTCAACACCACGCAAACACCAGACTGCACTGCTCACATACACCCATCACAGAGTACTGCATAGACATCAGTAGCTCTCCCTAGCCCTCGAATGTACGTCGTTTGCCTGCACGCCCAGAACACCGACTTATCCAAACCCAGGCTTTTACCTATACAGACATGCACCACACACTCTCACCGCCACTACAGCAAAAACTCGCTCAAAACCGCCACCCTCGTCCTAGCCGTCTGCGAACCCTGTTCACCCTCACTCATGGCCTGCATTATCTGAATCATGCGGTCTAATCGTCTCGTTAGCCAGGAGCCCTCCTCGGTTAACATAGTAGATAGGATACGGCAAAGTACCGCCATCAAGCAAGCAACCTACGCGCAAACCGAAATAAGGGCTATGAAAGAAGAAAAGGAAGAAAAGAGGGAATAACTCACGAATATCCCCCCTAGCTCTCACAAACAAAGGATCCTTGACCATACTCTCCTCTCCACCAGGCTCTTTTGCCACCTCCCTCAACACATTCCCGATACACAGCGCCTCGAGAAACGCGCGGTGGTTAAACACCCACCAGACGCGCGCCTCGGCCTCGAACAGCGCAAACAGGACAAAAAAAGCCGTAATGGCGTCGTGCGCCGCCTCGAGCGTGCCCCGCACATTGACCGGCACGTCAGGGCTCTCCGAGGCGTGGACGAGCATCAGATTGTGAAAGTAATTGCTGCTCAGGAACAGCGTCTGGCGCACGACGCGCTTGTTGGTCTGCGCCAGCTGCGCGAGCGCGTCCGGGTCCCACGAGCGGAACACGTCCGGGAAGGAGCGGTAGACGGCGCGGAAGTCGGCGACGAGCTTGGACTTGTGCCGGGCGGTGGTGCAGATGGGCACGTCGAGGGAGCGCGGCGAGCAGATGGTTTCCTGGACCAGGTTGGCCAGCGTCCAGGAGCCGCGGATGTAAGCCGTGTCGGTCGGGTCGTCTGACGCGATGGACGAGTCGTCCGCGACGAGGTCTTCGACGCTGACGTCGGTGTGGGTGGCGCTCGGCGGGAGGGAGAGGAGGACGGTGAGGAAGGTATCTTGTAAGAGGACAGCCTGCCAGACTTTGCGGCGTTGTTGCTTCTCAAAGGGAGGTGCGTCGGGAACGACTGCGTGACCGGTTAGGAGAAGAAAGAAGAGAGGCTTGAGATTCGGTGAGCGTACCAATATTCGGATCGCGGTGCAATCCCATGGCGTAGGCCTGCCGCATCAATATCCCGGCAAAAGCCCAGCCGTCGGAGGCGTGGTTGTCATTGATGAGAAAGTATGTAATGAGAACCATGGCCTGGATGGTCCTTATGGAGGCAGTGCTCAGATACGAGCACATGCGCAGTGCTTGATTGCTCGCAGATGCGTAGAACTCGGCTGTCTGCTTCCTTTCCCTGGGAGACGTCGACGTAACAAATTGCGTGCCCAGGGCCAGCATCACGAAAACTAGCGCAACAAATGCGGCATCCGAGCGGTCTTTGTCCGGCCGCGACAGAGACCAGAAGTGCTCATAATCGGCGTAGAATGTCTGCCTGTGGAGCATGGGGTAGACCGGGTCAACGCACTCAAAATAGCGGTTTAGCAGGATGTCAGCCTGTAGCTTGTCAGGGAGTACAGAGATGACTTCCGGTAGGCCACCTTCGCAGGTCCAATAATTGGCAAACGGGTGCTCTGAACCGATACCAAAGACGTTGGACGATCCGGGAGCGGAATAAGGAACATTAGACAAAAGACCGGTGGACGTGGAGACAGAGCCCAGTGCTTTAAGTCTCCCGACGTTAAAACCGCGGTCAGCAGCATTCGGCATATTATGCTGGACACCATCTGGCCGCTTCTTGGGCGGTCTTGTCATGCGGCGACCGTTGGTTGCGTTTCGAGTGGTCTCTCTATCTTAAATTAGCCACGGCCCCAATGGCGCGAGGTGCGACCTACTCGAGCAAATTGGCGACATGCGCATATTGACACTCTGTCTGGCGTTTTATACCTGAGTCGTGTCTTAGAAAGCGGGTCGGGTCAGAGACAGAAGGTAGACGTACAAGCAAGGCAATGGGGTCTCCCACGATCACACTAGAACGAGCACGACGTCAGTTGTGGGAAGCAGACAGGCCTGGACCGCTCTTGATGCGAAGGCGAAGTTCTGACACTTATTTGTAGCAAAATCAAGAACACGCGACGTAGTATGGAAAAAAGTACTGAATACAAAATTGTCCAGCAACGTGTGCACTCGTTCAACTACAACCGCTGTTCGTTCCTAAACAAACAGTACAAGCCCGAGGAAATGCAGACGTACCTTGGTTTTCCTCTCGACGCACTCAAAGCAAGACAGGGTCGGCTTGTTCCGCTTTTGCTTTTTCCTCGGCTGATCCGCCGAAGCCGTCGGCGAGGCCGTACTACTGTCTCTGTTGTCGGGAGAGGTGCCAAGACCGGGGCTTTGTCCGGCGCGGCCGGCTCCGTCGGCCTTGGCTGCGGCAGTTTGGGCCCATAACGGCGATGACTCTTCAGCAGCCGCAATTTCTCCACGGGCGACCCTTTTGGGCCCACGGCGGAGCGGGGCGTCGCCGACACTCAACTGAGGGTGCGGGTGCGAATGCCGCAGGTGGTGATGGTGGGCGGGCGCGGCGACGTTGGGCGACACGTAGATGGTGACACCGGCAGCCGAGACTGAGGAGAGAGCGGGCGGCGGGCGGCCCAGTGCTGACTGCTGCGCCAGTCTCTCCATCCGCGAACAGCCCGGAAAAGCCACGCCAAGGCGGGAGGCGGCAGATGCGGCCTGATCGAGGACAAGCTCGGTTGACTCGACAACACCGAGGGCTGCGGATGGACGGGGGCGCGGACTCTGACTCCCCTTCCAACGTCCCACCAAAGCTCACCGCGCGTGGACGGGTAGCCGAATGCTGGTCGCTCGGCTCTAGGCTGGGAATAACTCAGGCAGTGAGGTAAGCTGCGGAAGACGCAAAGCCACGCGAGGTGCGACGCCAAGACCGGGAATAAGCCTTGATTCTCTATGCTTCTTGGCCAAACCGTGATGCGTCCGTAGAGGCGATCAGGGAAGGATTGGAACAAGTCGGGAATGAGATTTGGGAGTCCAGGAAAGGAGAATGGAGGCGCGGGGATAAGAGAAAGTTCCGGGGCTTCAGCACGAATGACCCAATTGATGAGGGGCTGCCTACATAACTACTGGGCCCTAGCTGACAGACCAGGCAAGTGCCTGCAAACGCTACCTTAGCCACTCCTGTTAGGATGCTACCTACAGCAGGGATCGCTCCAACATCCCATTGTCGTCGGAGAGCTTCCGTGACCTGTGAGGTCCTTCATTTTTATATGAGTTTAGTGACCTAATCTATGGACAGTCAAAACTCATGGCCTTCGTCCTTAACGTACTTTGAAGGCCATTGTCCCAATCAACACTCCGACTTTGACGCTAGAACGACGTTATTTTGATGAGAAACGCTTCCGTTCTGATTAGATTGATCAAGAAAGCATCACTCTGAGCTTCCAATTGGCATGGTTTTGCATAGCCAGTTGTACCTGCATCTTGAATGCTCCGTTCGAGCAGCTCCACGGTCAAACAACGAGCTCAACCAGAGAGTTGGCACAACATGCCCTCAGCCAAATATAAACTCTTCATAATTCTTCCGTATCCTCGTCAACCCCTCCTCCAGCGACCAGCCTTTGATCTCACAGACTTTCCGAGCAATATCTTCAAGCACCCGGTCCATGTCCTCGCCGGCACAATGCAAATCGCTCTCGAGCAGCACCCGATCATCGGGACACGCCCGCACGACGTCAGGGAACTTGCTCTCTCCTCCGGCTGTCGACAGGTTGATCACGGTGGAGAAGGAAAAGTATACGCGCAGGGGGATGGACGGGTTCCGGTACTGCTGCACCGTCTGCGGCGAGCCACTAAACGAATGCAAGCATACCCGCGGAGGGAAAGGCTTTGGCTTGAAGCCCTTGCCCGCTATCCTCTGTGTCTCCTCCAACCCCTCATCACCATACTCCTCCTCCTCTTCGCTGGATTCAAAGTCCTCCGCCCCCTTCGCAACCAGCTTCTGCTTCCTCCTCGACACCACCTCCTTCTCAAACCCCTTCCATAGCGACGCCAGCGCGTCAAAAAGCACCCCGTGCGCCTGCACCCCATGCACGCTAACCGCCACGCCCAGCTCGCCCGCCAGCCGCAGCTGTGCCTTGAGCACCGCAATCTGGTGCGGCATGCGGACATGGTGCATGCTCAGCGTGCGCCCCTCGCGCCCGCCCGGTGTCAACGTCTGGTCGCGGGACGAATGTTCCGCCGCGTTCCATGGCCAGGGCAGCCGAAAGGCTTTGTCCAACCCCACCTCGCCGATGAGCGCGGTTCGCGCTTCGAGAACACGCCGCCGCGTTTCAGTGAGGAAGAGGCTTAGTGGAAGCGGGTCCGGCAGGGCGGCGATGAAGGCCTCGTCTGGGGGGGGCGTCAGCACCGAGCTGTAGTGTTTTGCTTTGTGTTCGGCGTTGTGAGGGTCAAATGGGTTTTCGCATGCCGTATCGTCGTAGAGCTGGTGCGAGAACCAGGGGTGCCAGCCGAATGCGGCCACCACTCGGTCTGGGGTGTGTTGGGCTGCGGGCAAGGCGATTGCGGCGCGGTTTTGAATGCCGTGCTCAGCTGCGGCGGATGCTACGAGGTCTTGGTCCTGCGAGCGCGTGGCCATGATGGTGAGCACCCGTGTCCGCATGCGGGTTATGCTGGCGATGGAGGACATGGTGTCCGTAGGGTGGCAGTGGGCATCACAGACCCCGATATGCCAGGGGAAGTCATCTGAGCGACAGTCGTCGTGCTCGGTAGCAGCTGCGACTGGCGGTCGGCCATCGATTTGGCACATCGCTGGTTCGGAGATTCCAGGCTTCGGGCGGGGAGCTCAGCCTTGTGTGCTTGGCCAGAGTGAGGGTGTGGCGGGCCAGATTATAGCTGGAACCTCAGGATTCTATGAACACACTGTTGGTGCTAAAGTATGCACTTTTATGTGCTGGTGAGTCGAGATGCTCAGCCGAGAAGCAATGATAAGGCTCTGTAGGTATTCCAGAAGCCCTGGCAGGCAACGGCAGGCGGGGGTTAGGTTGCTGTTGGAGGGAAGGTTCCAGCTAAGGTACCTCCGTAAGGTAAGCTTCACCCCGCAGGACCACCTGGATGCCCCGCATGGTCGCTTGGCGATCCGCACCCGCTAGAACAAGGTACAGTGGGGTTCAAAAGTCTGTTACCACCCCACCCACTTTACGCGTCTCCTCGACGCGTCCACTATCATCCTCGAACTTTCACACCACCACAACTTCCCCAAATGGCACTCGATTTGACCGATTTGGGCCGCATCTTGACGGCTGGTTGCAAGAAACACGAGGAATTGAGCCCTGCTGCATGTGCAGCCATTTGCGGTGCGGTGGCAGCTGGGGTTAGCCAACGCACCGTGGCAGCCGCGTTCGGCGTGTCGCATGTCGCTGTGTCCAAGACTGTTCAACACTTTACAGCTACCACATCCTTCGATTC